TTTCGTCAAAGTTAAAAAAAAAAAAAAAAATTTTTATGTCCTAGATGTCTCCTCAGATATTCTACAAAATAATTAAAATTGGTTTATTTCGATTTTCTTTATGAATCCTTCACTTTAACCCATATTTCATGAGCAACCAACTCGGCAATGGCAGCAGAATGCTTCACCTATTTTCGTGTACAATGTTTGGTCTATAAATAAGTCGAGAAAAACACGTTGTATGGATAACGGGTGGTATAATTAACTTCTCTTAGTATATATCTTTAATATCAATTCATTATAACTAGTGACAATTCCTTCAAAGAACCACGATTTAAAACAAAATAGTGACTGACATAATAAGATACGTAGCGTGATTTATTGCTAAAAGTCACTGAAAGAACATAAGAATATGATCCACTTTGTGTTCCATAGAAATTTTCTGCTGACACGGAATCCGCTAGTTGATCACGTGACTTCATTCGTTAGACTACATTCTAGCAGACGACACCTGGAATTCCAATTACCGCTTGTGATTATTAGGAAATTCGGCCGATAAAAAATGGTGACGTTTGGTAATAACTGAAATCCGCCATTTTGTATTTGTCAAAGTATACATTAATACATTTTACCTTGCTTGCAATTACTGGATTCATTCTACTAGCTGATATTGTACAGAAAACCCATGTTTATCAAAAAAAACTAATGCGGAGGTCGCGCGAGGTCGCTCATGTAAATTATTAATCATTTCCGGAAATCCACGAATAATAGGTTTCCACGAAATTAGGTTACTTGACTGTAACCCTTTTACAACAAATTCAAGTACTGCAGAAAACACATAGTATACTTAATAGTATACTTTAGAAATTTTTTCAAGTATGTATAGCCTAATTTACAACATTTGTGATAATGTAAAGTTAGCATAGCCTACTGCAGGGCAGATTCATTTAATTCGATACCTCTGTGCCTTCAAAATATAGTCAACTTGGCAATAAACCAAAATGGCCCCAAACGTCAAATTTTGTAAAAAGAGCCATTTTGGTTAGGCCCCAAAAGTCAAAATTAGTAAAAAGGGTCATTTTGGTTAAGCCCCAAAAGTCAAAATTAGTAAAAGGTTGTCATTTTGGTTAAATCCCAAAAGTCAAAATTAGTGAAAAGGGTCATTTTGGTTAAGCCCCAAAAGTCAAAATTAGTAAAAAGGGCCATTTTGGTTAGGTGCCAAGTTGACTATATGCTGCAGATTCCAAATTGTGTTATTTGTGGGTGTGCTGACTTTTAATAAACTAACTTTTACAATAACAATACGCCTACACTACTTACAAGAGGAATAACGACAATGGGCGTCAATTGAAAATAAACTTCAAAAAATCATAATGACGACATATAAAAACTGCTTTGATGATGATTAATCAAGGAAGTTGAATAAAGAAATAAATAATAGCCTATCATAAGGAGAACAAAAATAATTTTGATGTCAACTTCCGGTTTAACTTGCTTGATACACGTCGTAGCATATTTGCATTGGGAATGTTTGATCTCTTGTTTCACTTAGCATGATCAGGACATTGCCAATGATACCTTTTCAAACAATTCCTTACCTTTTTTCTACTTTTTTATATATTTTTTTTATTATTACTAAATTTTTCATTTAGAAGATCATTTAAATCTACTTTCGGGAAGATAGTCTTAAGCCAATGAAGTTAATTTTTTTCCGGTTAAGTGTAAAGAATATTTGCCAAGATGTGTGACAAGGTTCAGGATTGGCATAATTGCTCGTAACTTTAAGCTTTAATCATGGACAACGGGCGATTCGTTTACCAATCCGGTCATAGAAATCAAAGAGACGATAGAACGTATAGAAGTTCTAGAAACTGGCAAGAGAACAATAGTAATAGTCATTTTCAACATGGTCAGGGGAGACAATCGGAACGTTTTGGAGATCGAGGTTCGGGTTTCAGACCACAAAGATTTCAAAACTCAGAACGTTACAACGATCATGCAACTGAAGCATCTCTGAGAGGACAACATTTTGGTTTCAGACCTAACACACCCACTCAGGTGCCGGTAGTATCAGGAAACATGTCATTGGTGCAGAATGTAAATTTGCCACATGACGGAGATTTAAATACCAGGCCTAAAGTTCCAATATCAATGTTTGGAAATTATATTGGTTCTGGGACTGTGGCAGCAAATACGCCTTCATCATCCTATAAATTGGGACAAAGTGGACAGACTTATCCGAATTCCAATAATTTAAATTATTTTGGTGGAAATTTTCCCCCAACTCAGCTTCAACAACCGCAACTACAATTTCCACTGCAACAATTTCCACCTCAACCACTCAATATCCCTCCAAATGTTTTTAACCCATCCCAGATGAATTTAGATCCAAACCTCAGGTTTTCAACTCCCAGTGCGCACAATTTCAATTCCTTACAAAATAGAATGCTAATCCCTTCACCAAGTGGTTTGAATCCACCTGTCAATGTCTTAGATAAAGCCAATTCATATATGGAACCAATGAAGGTAGCACAGCAACAGTCAGCAGAAACAGATAATGCAAAGAAACAAAAGTCTGCAGAAAAAGCTAATAAAAGAAAGGAAAAGCAGGGCTCAGCAACGGTAAGAAAGACAGATTCACTACCGGTACTTAATAGTTGAGTTCATCTGTTAAGAATAATTAGTCTAAATTAGATGAGTGGAGCCTGTTTCACATAGAATATATTTCAAATGAAATGAAATGAATGGAGTTTTACATCCTACTTTTCTGCACCCTGAATTTCGCCAGGACAGTCTGCTCCTTTTGTCCAACTGTTGAGGGATCTTTAACGTGCAAAGCCTGTAGCACACGGGGCCTTGGTTTATTGTCCCATCCCAACGACTAGATGCTTTTTCCATGTCAGCCCCTCTTACCTGCATAACTGGCAGGGGGAAACATGGTTGAAAAATATTATCTCGACCTATGCCAGTATTTAACCCCAAGACCTTCAGGATAGCGAGCAAGCGTCTAAATCACTGAGCCACCTCGACACCAGAATATATTTCAAGGCATTGGAGAAAAAGTTTATGAATCTATCTTAATGAATTTCCACAGTCAATGTCTTGAGATCTGTCTTCATTATGTTGAAAAAAGTTACATAATATGCATTTGAAATTTAAGCATCATTATCAATATTTCAGATAAATGAAGGACAAACAGATATGAGAAACCTAATAGTTTCCATGGCAACTCTAAAACATCAAGTTTCAAAGTTAGAGAATATTTTAAATGATGGGTTTGAATCCAACTGGTTGATAGAAGTTAAGAAAACTGAAAGTTTAAAGGTAGTTGCTACATATGATTAAAAAAATTATTGATTATTTTGATTCTGAAAAACACTACACCAGCAGAAGATATACAATGTGAATTATATTTTGAAAATATTTATTTTTATAAAAATAACTTAAAAAAAATTGAAAGTTTGAAATTAATGCAAACAAAGATTATTCCCTTTGAAATTGAGTTCAAAATAAGAAATTGATACATCTGTGTCCTTGTTATAATGAATCTAGCACACTCCCCCTTATATGACAGTTATAACCATCATTTATAAGATCTTATTAAAGTGCATCTTGATTGATTGTTTTGTTCATTGATATGATTGATTGATTTCAGGAAAAGTTAATGCAACTTCAGTCAAATTTTAACCAATCTGGAGACATGAAGAAGTTAAAAAAAAGAATAGCAGCAAGAAGAAAGAAAAGGGTTTGTACACACTTTCTATATCTCTTAAAATAAATAATAACAATTATTTCAGATTTGTTAAAGGGGCAGTGTCATAAAAAAATGGAATCAAACACAATTTTGTATCAAAAAAAAAAAAACAATGTGAGAAATATTGCTAATGATAATACACATATATGATATTTTTAATTATAATTTCTACATATGTATTGCCCAGACCTCTGACTTGTTTTTTAAATTTTTGTCACATTTTTTAATGGGATTTTGTGGTCTGTTGTTTTACCACCTGAGCTCTTTTAAAAATAAAACAAAATTAAATGAAAAAGTGATATCAGCTTTAAGAGATTTATTTTATAGGACATTTACAAGATTTTCATTCTGAAAATACAGATGGCACAATTCCTTTAATCTGCACATTGTTTCTGGTATAGGTTGATCAGTTTTCACTCAAAATTTTATTAATTTTTTGTTTTCAGTTTGTATAGTATAATTTGCACTAAAGAATTATGACTTTCAACATTTATATCCTTAAAATAACATCATTACTGTATCCTTCAATAATAGAATTATATGTGTTGTTTTTGATTTGGGTTTGGATCCCAGAATAGGTTGAGATATTATCTCCTGATTTCCCCGTCAATGATGCAGATCGGGGGGGGGGGGCTGTCACGAAAAGCATCATTCTCATCCATGGATAGAATTGTTCAATTCCCTTGGCACAAGGGTCTGGGTGCTTTGTAAATTCCTAGTAACTAGCCACTGTCCATACCATTCCTTTGTATCAGCATTACTGATAAGGGAAAGAGGTGTTAAAAATTAGGGAGGGAGCAAGCGTCTTACTCTACATGTCAACCCCTGTTCTTGAATAATTTTGAAAAACTGAAAGGGACAGGTTCTCCATTTTTGGGGTTGATTTTGGTATTGAATATATATGTAAATAGTCTTCAGAATTACTAGAAGTGTATAATTGCATAATTCTTTAAAAATACCTCAAACTAGGAATTTCACTTTTTATATATGACAGTGTCTTAAGAAAAGACGTGACATCATTTTAACTTTCAAACATGGATAATTATGGACACACATGGATTTGAATGCTCAAATTTTGATGTTGAGATGTGAACACTATTATTGCTTAGCTTAGCGAAATCCAAAAATTTCTGTTTCTGAGACTATGGTACGATTGGTCAAACCTGTCCCTTTAAGTCGCAAGAATGTTTCAATGTGGTGGTATGTAGAAAAAGCACATGAATTTTGTAACATTTATTTCAATGTGTTATGTTGAATTTTACAGGAAAGGTTGAAAGAGAAAAAACAGAAATTATTTGTGGAGAGACAAGAAGCCATAGTACAGAGAGATATTAAAGAATCTAAGATTGATAAATGGAGAGAGACAGTGACACAAGAAATGTTTGACATTAAGCAGGTATTCAAATTCAACTTATCCATGTTCTTATTGAGGTCCTATAGCAGTCTGTTAGAGCGTTGGTTCTTTACATGACGTCATTTGCTTGGTTACTTCGAACAAATGGCAGCTGTGGGTTCAGATCTCGATCGGTGTGTGAAATTCTGATGAATAAGTCATCTGCACTCATAATTCCAGTCGACCCAGCTGTAAATGGGAACGGATAAACCGTCAAAGATCAATACCAAGAGATTTGGCTAAGGACCAGCTTATAGAAAGGATCCTTAACTGTGAACCTAAGTTGTTGTATATCAATATATGAACATTAGTGAAGGTTGAACAGAATGATTTGGATGTAGTTTTCTGTAAGCTTAAACATTTATCTTCTTATTTACAGAAAGCTGAAATGAAAAAGATGGCTGACAAGACACTGAATTCTGTTAGAAGTAAAATAAGTGAAACCAGTAGAAAGTTAGATTTATTAAAAGGTTTACAGAGATTGAGAAAAATTCGAATGGAGGCTGCTATTAGAATAGGTACAATTTCTAACATATTTATTTAACAAACTGCAAACCCTTTGTTATAATTGATGAATACTACCTTTTAGAATGAACATAAGCTTTAAAGTCTCAAACTTGGCTTGAGTATATATTCAAATCTTTACCATCTGACTGATAGATATTTTGACAGTTATCGGCTGGAGTAGGTCCTGTTTTTTGAGATTTTCCACACCTATGCACTGTAAATTAGTACTGGGCATCACTGTAACTTTCATTTTGTTTGTATCATGTAAATTTGTGACCCTTAAAGTTTAAGCTGTGTATGCAGTTTAGAATGGCTACAAGAAGTCAATTGTCCAAAAGAACTTTCATGGAACGGTAAATGTTACATTAATTGTATAGGGAGATTATGATTTTAAGACTAAACTTGAAAAATATCTGTCTTTCCGAATATAGTTGGGTAGGTTTAAAACCCCTGCACAACCCCTGTACGGAAAAATTTCATATATCAGGGCCTAGTTTTTCTGTCTCTACACCAGCTGACAACTTTCAAGAGGCTGGATTAGAGGTAGATGTTTTGGTCTAGCAGATGGTGAGCCATCAAACTGGTCACTGAATTATTTTGATCTATTTGGAGCTGATTTCATTATAGGTCGGTATACTCCAGATGAAAGTGAAGAAAGTTTTGAAAATCAAATATCCAAGGCTTACAGTATTTTGACCAATCAAAGAGAAGTATATGAAGGAGAGGAAAAAACATTGAAGGTATCAAATTTCTTCAGTTTGAATCCATAAAATTAAATCTTGACCAATCAATAGCAGGAATATCACTCTGAGGAATCAAGGTGAAATTCATAACTGACTCATAATCCTTTGAGATATCAATATAATAGAAATTATTCAAAGAAATTTCATCATTTCATTAGGGGCACGTGTGGCATTTTTGGAGGTTTATTTGAAAATTTGGGGTATCCTAAAATTGAACGTCTTGTTGATATAGTCTCTGACACCAAGACATCTTTTGTCGCAGCTGTGGGTAGACGAAGTGGGACTGGACGAAATAACAAATGTGAATTATGTTGTAGGTATTACTTGAGGCAGAACAAGAAGAAAATAAGGATTTAGCTAAGCAGAAAAAACAGCAAATAGAAGAACATAGGGAAAGACTACAATTGAAAAAGAGAAATGAAATGTTATTTGGAAAAAAAGGTACACTAAGGGAATTGCTTACATTCAGGGCCATTTCAGAATAGTTTGTATTTTGAGAAGTTACATTTGTACAATAACAGGCATGCTCTTGAAATAGTTTCTACTTTGCAGTTTGAGAATTTACATATATACAATAACAGAACATGCTCTCGAAATAGTTTGTTACTTTGTAGTTGGAGTCCAAAGAGGTTTGATTTACTATCAGCATCAATTCTTTACCTAATATCACTGATTTCGTTTTGGTTACAAAGCGTCTTTAACGAGTAATTTGATTTGATTAGCTGAGATTTCAGGGCCAATTTTGATTGGACAATACTTAACTATGAATACATCATTTCTCTAACTTATATAACCACAGCCTCTAGGAAGTATGACACATGTGGGTGTGGTTTGTACACAATTAATGGCAGTCTTCAGAACTAAGATCAGACAGCCTGTCTCATATGCAATAATTATCAATGTCATCATAATATTGGTAATAAGTGTGAAGGTTTATGACACCCTGTAAGTGAGGATAGTGTAATTTGGTTCTTTGTAGGCGAACAACACTTCGAATTAGAATTTTAAAAAAGTGACACAGCTAGATGATATAGGACAATCAGTGGCAAAGTAGTAGAGGACTGTATCTCATGTTAAATGATTCTTGTTTTCAGTGAGTTTTGATGCATCTGAACCTCAACATACATTTTACCAATATTATAATCAAGCCAATGAAAATTTTACATCTTTTCTTCAAATTAGGTGAGTCATTATCAATTAATTTACAGAATACAACCACATTTTTTTTTTAAACCTGAAAAATTGATTTTACATGGCAATGTCTGAAGCTCAAATTCCTGTTTTAAGACTATCAATAATATTTGGAGCTCATATTCCTGTTCTAAGACTATCAACAATGTTTGAAGCTCATATTCCTGTTCTAAGACTATCAACAATGTTTGAAGCTCATATTCCTGTGAAGCTCATATTCCTGTTCTAAGATTATCAACAATGTTTGAAGCTCATATTCCTGTTCTAAGATTATCAACAATGTCTGAAGCTCATATTCCTGTTCTAAGATTATCAACGATGAATGGAGCTCATATTCCTGTTTCAAGATTATCAACGATGTATGGAGCTCATATCCCTGTTTTAAGATTATCAACGATGAATGGAGCTCATATTCCTGTTTCAAGATTATCAACGATGTATGGAGCTCATATTCCTGTTCTAAGATTATCAACGATAAATGGAGCTCATATTCCTGTTCTAAGATTATCAACGATGAATGGAGCTCATATTCCTGTTCTAAGATTATCAACGATGAATGGAACTCATATTCCTGTTCTAAGATTATCAACGATGAATGGAGCTCATATTCCTGTTTCAAGATTATCAACGATGTATGGAGCTCATATTCCTGTTTTAAAACTATCAAGGATTTATGGAGCTCATATTCCTGTTCTAAGACTATCAAGGATGTATGGAGATCATATTCCTGTTCTAAGATTATCAACAATGTTTGAAGCTCATACTTATAGGAAAATTTTATATCCTTTCATGAGTATTAACAGATTCCTATTTTTGTTTCAGGCAAAGTTGGGATTGCTACATTGTGGAGAATTATGTGTCAGGGAGCAGTAGAATACCAGATGGATGGGTGTTACCACCACTACCATCAAATGATACATGGGCTAAATATCTTCAAACATAAACTAACAACTGATAATTCTAAAAAGTTATAAGGAAAGTCAAAATACATCCTATGAACTGTTTTATTGAATATGAAGAAGGGCTACAATGATTATTTAAGATGCTATTCGATATACTAAACAATACTCATCCAACAAGAATATTTACAAGTAAAGAATTGTGAAAGAATTACTCATTTTCAGAGTCAGAAATGTTTTGTTTTTTAAATTTTGTTATGAAAATTATACAATGAATATCAAATCATGACACAAGTTCTTATATACACGAGGATTCTGTATCATTTATTATTAAAGGGTGTTAATAAATAATCGTGCTGATACTTAGTAATTATCTTTATCCAATTTCAATGCATCTATAAGTGAAGAATCACCATTGACTTATTCATGAGAAAATGAAATATAAATATTTGGTGTCTGGGATTTTTGAATTTTCAATTTTCAATTCAATTTTAGCTAAAACTGGCAATATTGTGTCCGTTACCCCATGCAATTTCAAGTCAATTGCATACAATGCTATTATTTTAGAGGAGTTTACTTACAAAATTAGAAGCATAAGAGTTAGACACTGAATGCACCTTTTCATGTTACAAAATCCCAGCGCTGGAGAGGGCAGTAATTTGGTTGGCTGGTTGTGTCATCAAACTGTTGAATGTTCAAGAAAGCTGTCTATAGAACAAAACAAAAGTTTTGTTAATATTATAAATTAGTGGTCAACTGTTGCCTAATCTTTGCATAAACTAATACGTGTGCAAACCAAACCCTTTGAGGCCAAGACCAAATTGCTGTCTTGCCGTAGGCTTATGGTATGCCTTCTATGTGCATGTAAATGTAAAGGACCTTGGTCTTCTCAGGAGAACCCTCAAGACACTCTTGGAGAGGTTTCGGACTATGACACCTTCACAGAGTTGCCGCATCTTTGGCATGTGTCCCCCTATTGAGTCAGCCTGACCCTTGTTAGTACCCCCGGTCTCGGGGAGGATGGTGTCGCCACTGAATATGGAACGTTTGCACAAATTAGTTGTAGAAAGCGGGCAAGAAACCCTTTTATGAAGCTGTGTTATGAGTACGGTAATCAGATCAGTTACCCTCACTACTACTATGAAAGAAAAAACATATTTCAGGGATACATGATTTTATTTAAGAATATAACGAGTTCTATCATCGTGACAGAGGGCTGATGAGAGCAAAACACCTAATTACCGGTGAAAAAAAAATATCGTCTTAATGTAACTTTGACCTTATCGGTTAACCATGACGCGTGGTAAATATCCTACACCCTTGATTGTTACCCAAACCAAACATACGAGCCATAACAGGCTGTGAAGCAGAATAGGCAATAGAGCAGCCGAAGAAGTATGGAGTCATGAAGTATTTTATTTAGGTGTGATAGGATACAATATCGCCAAGTTTGAGATGTCTAGTGGCGCCTGAGCATTAGTCATGACATGTCATACTTTGACCGAGAAAGTTCGGTATGTCCACGTTGTCGTTGGTAAGGATGAAGCTAGCTAGGCCTACACATTTTCAATTCCACTTTACTTTTGAAGAAACATTTGCAAGGAATGCAGAGTCAAAATAAAAAGGATATGAAGTATGATCATCTTGTTATCTTTATTCATTATTGAACTAAATATTTTGAGAAATTGTGCAAATAAGGGAAATTATCTATGAAAAAAACATCTGAAAAGTGAAATTAGTGGAAGAAAACGTTCACTTTGTTGTGATGACGTCAGATCAACGCATGCGTAAAACAAAATGAACATCTTAAACTGGTGGATAATTATTTCGTCCGGCCACACCGGAAGTAGGGTTAGTCTATTTCACATGTTAAAAATCACCCGACTTACCTTTTAGAGAAATGTCAACAAATATAACTGACGTGAGAGATCAAACAATCTGTCATACTGAATAATGTTGTAAATTGTACAGATATTATCAAACCCTGTTATATGATAATAGGCCCTGCCTTGAATATAGGGCCCATTGTCTCTAGTTTTTGAAAATTACCATGTTTCATGCCAAAATTTTGCATAAATGTTACTGTACCCAAATTATGGAGTTGTTCAAAGAAGGGAAAATTCAACCACTCGTCCTTGACTGTTTTGTGGTACCATGGGGGTGCAGGGACATCAGAGAATATCTGAATATGTCTAAAAATAAATTTCAACTTAATGCCATTTGTCTTAGAGAATGTCCTTGGCTCCATAGAAATATAAGGTTCAGTGAATTTGCATTTGAAATGGACACACTTTCCTCCCAGAAAATTCATGTGAAAATGACCCAATTTTCAGATTGAAAATTCCCCCCCTGTATAATTGTTTACAAATATTAACATCTCAATGGTTAACATTTTCATCAACCCAAAGACAATCCACAACTCTCAGTAGTATTTTGAAATTGATATTTCAATTCATATGAAAATAATTGCCAAAATTCAATTCAGAAAACAGTGTAGTCAGAGAGTAACAAAGATTTTGAGGAAAATTTAGTATATTATATCTTTCAGATTGATGACAAATTTTTTGAACTGCAAATGCATATAATGACCTTTTTCTTTTTTTTATATGAGCAAATTTGTTTATAGTTAATAAAAACTGCAAGCTGCTAGTGGGCGTATGATTCCTTGAGTTATCTTATATTTCAGGTTCTTTGTGCAAGTGCTGTTCGATTTTTTGAATTGGTTTAAAGGAATTTATTGAAAACATGTTTCGTATACTTCACTGTGGTAGAGCAGTACTACAGAGAGCAACAGTTGTGTCCAATACTTTACTTACAGTACCAACTAGTTCAAAATGTAGATGGCAGGATTCCTTGTATGTAGGGTCAAGAACTAAAGTACATAATTTCCGTAAACCCAAATTTGTGCGCTATAACTTACAGCCCAAAATATCTGCATCATATGTGAATTTCTTTACACAATCTGTGCATAATGTTGAAGGGACAATCAATCAAGTTGTGTTGGAAAAGGTTAGAGAAATGATGGTTGGTTGGGATTTTGATATAGTGGAGAAGCAGATTTTACAAGAACTGTACAATGGAACTGTGAACTTAGATGTGGTGTTTTATGTTGTCAAATTGATGCTGGACAAGAACTATTTGCCACAAGATCTAATTAATGGTGTGTTCGATTTATCCTTAGACAATCTTAATGATGTTGTTCATAACCATGACCAAGCCGCTGAACTTATGTTAATGGCTTTTATATGCAGTTCTAAAGTGCCTGATGCGTTTTTACTGGCAATGCAGAATTATCTTCATAGAAATATTCAAAAGTTTCATATTAAACACATAAAATACTTTTATCTTGCGTTTCAAAAGTGTAAATGGGTAGTGACGAATTCATTGAATCAGAGTGTTGTCAACATTATGTTGAAAAATATGTTGACCTTGCACCACAATGACATTTTAAACGTTTTCAAATCATTAATGGTTTCAAATTATTATGATAAAAATGGAGTGGAGAAAATAGCTGAAAGTTTATTAGAAAATAACAAGATTCTGAGTCTGATATCGGACCAGCATCTTCAACTCTATATACACTTTTTCATATCAAGACATTATTATCAGGAAGCTCTCTATGACTCTTTCCTACAAAATTTTAATTTTTTAGTCAGTAATATGAAAATAACTAACATTAAAGCCACTTCATTCATCTTAAGTAGCTTTGGTACCATTCAGTTTAAGCCGAAAAATAAAGTATACAGAGAGATTTGTACTAAACTAGAGAAGATTTGTTTAGATACACAATATAAGCCAGCTTATTTTTCTAATAATGATGAATGGATCCCTGAGTTTGTAAATGGAATGATTTTTTTTGGATTTTTTTCTGATGATCTTCTGAGTAAGGTTTTTTCTTCCATTGACAGACTTCCAGGTATGTATTATAAATCGAACAATCAGATGAAAAAGTAAAATGTACTTCCTCCTTGCTCAGTGAATTAGACGCCTGCTCACTAACTTAAAGGTCAAGGTCCAGGGTTCGAGGCAGGCATAGGTCGGGATGATACCTTCAGGATTTTCAACCCGATATCCCCTTGTCAAGCAGGTGACATTCAGATCGGACAAGTAATTGAGGCCCTTTGAGCTACAAGTTGTTATCCCTAAAAAGTTGAAGATTAAAAAAAAGAACAGGCTAATGCCACTGTCCTGGCCCGTCTTTTATTTGCCCACATGGTGAAGGAAAGTATGATGTAAAACTCTATTCATTAGTGAAGTGTTAGATATAATGAGTTACATTAGCACACCCAAAGAGCATTTCATACTTTTTGTTTTCTTACCATTCTTCCTTGAACCAGATCTTACATGACACAATTTGGTTGGTTAAACAAAACCTCATTAGAACAGGACTGCAGTAGAATACTTGATAGATTACAATGGAGATGAGAAAAGGAAGAAACGAAATTGTGATATAATGATTCGTTTTTGTTGACCTAATTGAGCGATCAGATCGTCATCGAATTATATCTTTTAATTTCCTGCAATGAAAAACATTATGCTTGGCATATACCACCTTATTTGACAATATATCTTATATTCTCTGTTTAGATAACAAATTAAAAAGACAACAGATTCTGTTTATCCATTACAGTATGCTTATTGAACATCCAGAATACAATGGATCTCTTCTTCCATCAGTAAGTACTGGTATATATAGTGTTTAGAGGATAATATCCCTTGAAATGAACAGAATTTTACGTCCTACTTTTCTTCACCTTATTGGGCTAATGAATACAGCAACACAATGCGGTGTGTAATGAGGGAAATTTTTGCAGGACAGCGGCAGTAGCCTACTCTTTTTCAATAACCAGGAATCTTTTACTGGCAGAGCCTGTAGCACACAGGGCCTCGAATTATTGTCCCTCTAGCCTGATAGAAATGTAAGATGTCACATATTTTGTAAACTATTATATGATATTTTTGTCTTCTATGTTTTGTAGAATGTTGTCTTTTTTCTCTTGTAGCAATTAATAAAAGACATGCAAATCGATTCCACCGAACGTTTTAGATGGGAAAGGAGATCCGATAAAGCAAGAAATCTAGAAACGATATATGATGTTTTGTGTGATATGTTAGGACAAGATTATGTACATTGGTATCACATATTACCTCATTTCACTTACTCAGGTAAAAATACCCTTACTAATTCTTATTACATCTCTCCATATTTGTATATAAGTGCAACTTGAATAATTGGTCATTTGACTGAATCATCTGCCTTTATTCCAGCCTCTGATAGCTATTTTGAAAGTTGTCAGCTGGTATAGAGACAGAAAAACTAGGCACTGTTTTGTAGGTATTTTCTGCATCTCTTAAGTGAACAGCTATGCCCAACAACAATTTACAGTCATTGTAAAAGTATTGAATATTATGCTCAAATTTATGCAAACTTTACATCAAAATCAAGAAAGATGTGTCCCTTATTTTTTCTGAAAGTTTTGATTGAAAGTGTTGTTTTTTGGAAGCTGTTAGAAAATTAATACCAGTATACCAATTTTTGCAAAATAAATGACAAATTGTAGAGAATTTTTTTTCCTACTTATTTTGAAGATTTCGACTAAAATATTGAGCTATCGAAATATTTCTATAATATGCTAATTTACACTTATGTATCTACTTGATCCAACTGTTTCAAAATGATTTTTTGAAAACTATACTGTACTATTGTTATGTTTGTAGCTCAAACTAGTTTTAGCGTTGGGCCTCATAAAGACTTAATATCTTTTAAATAGAAATGAAATCATGCACCATGTGGGCTAAGGAAGACATTTTTAATAGAAACCTTTCTAATACGTAGGAGAAATAATTCTCTACAATAAGGCGTTAATTAATGGCAGGATATTTTAAGTTGAAACTTTCAGATTAGTTAAGAGACACATTTCTGTAGATGTTGTTGTATGGTTTTCATAAATATATGCCAAAAAAATATATCGCTATGAAAAACAGAATGCCTATTTAAGTATTTGTTTATAATGATTACAATGCAACATATTTTTTTCAATTCTTTATTGTTTGAAAAAGTCATCAACAAATTTACTAATTTTAATTCAGATATTGAAATAAGACTGAAAAAAGATGGAAGTGTGGTAGCTTTTGAACCAGAAACTTATTTACAACGAGTCAACTCTGAATTGGACAAGAAAGCTTCTCCTGGTGTTACTAAGTAGATCAATCTTTATATTATAAATCTTTAGTTATTGTGGGCCTTATTATCCAAAACTTCACTTTTTAGTGTTCCAGTCATCTAAAATTAATTTTAAATTAAGTTTTGTTATCCAATCAGATTACTGTATTTCCTAAAAGCTGAATTTTGGGGGAATAAGGCTCTATAATAAAATTGAGGATATATTTTGTGATTAATAAATAAGGTACCTGTACTATCCTTGGCTCCAAATTCTGTAGTTTTTCCTTGCAGAGATATTTGTGGAGATGTGGAGAGAATTTTTTTTTATAGTAATACATTGTATATGCCCACATCTCTCCATGTGGATACATCTTTGCAATGAATGTCTTCGTACCCTAACTACCTTGATTGCAATAGTCAACTTTCATGGACTGCAGTGATTTGTGTGCCAGCAATAACTGCCAATCAGAGCCCTCGACAGAAAGGCTGTAAACATTATTGCTTTGTGTTCACAGACTTCCTGTTGAAGCCTGTGATTGGCTTCATTCGCTTGCGTACAATGCAATAAATTTCTTCATTTAAGCTTACAAACTTCCATATAAGAAAGGTGACTATTGCAGGCAAGGTATAAGACAAAATGCAATTTATTCAGAAGGTGGATATTTTTGTATCATTATCCCCTGCACCATTTGATGTGCAGTTCCATCAAAGATTTTTTGACTGAACTGATTTTTGACTGTCCATCAAAGACAACGGCGTGCACGACCAAAGTTCAAGGGTCACAGGCTCACATGATGCTGAAAACAAAAGAAGCTGTGATGGTCAACAATTTTACATCCATCAAGCTGTGGATTTGGTCATTAAAGAATGTTTTTTACTAGATGTATATCAATGATAACTCATGTCGATTTTGTTCTATTTCTTTTAGGGTTATTATAATGCATTTGAATGAAAACTCATTTCTGAATGGATCACCTGAACTTAAAGGTCGAAGTGTAGTCAAGATTCGTCAGTTACAAATATTAGGATATCACATCTTAACGGTAGGTTATTACCTGACTATTAGAGATTTCAATGTTTGATGACTCACTATAGGAATGTGATGTTCTTTTGTCGATGACCGAAATTTACATCACCCAGCCAGACCAAATAAGTCAAATTGATAGAAAAGATAAAATAGTGATCAATATAGATCAATTGTAGAGCAATATAGAAATAATCACATGTATATATATGTTTTATTAGTTTATCAATGCGAACTCTTCAAAAGAAATTTAGACGCTATTTTACTTTGTTTACATCTGAACGTCACTTGTTCCTTGCAAAATCATTCAAAGACTTTTTACTAATAAGAATCTGAATTATAGAATTGATATGAAATACTTTTAGAAGTGTAAAACCAAATCTATCTTATGAAAAATATTGATACTAGGGCTGGGTGGAAAAATCAATTATTACATGTATAAGGTATTTCGATTATTAAATGATTATTGATTGATATCATGCCATCAATAATCGGTTTCAATTTGGAAATCTATACCCAGCTCTAGTTGATATAACTAAATTTTAATTTCAGATAGCAAAAGATGAATTACGAGTGTTACCAACTCAAAAAGAAAGAATAGACTTTATGACAGAGTTGATTGAAAATAACTTTGATGTGAAACTCAAGTTACCTGAAGTGAAAAGGAAAATGAAGTGAAAAATTCAAAAATATTCTTTTGATAAAATTATTTATATGAATTCCACCAATTGTTTCAATTTAACATGACTGTTTATCCATATTAGCTTGAAACATCCATAGAGGTGAATGGATGAACAGTAGATACAGAGTTTCTGCCCCAGCCGTATTAAAGTCTTGCCTATTTGAATGAATTTTGGTATTTATATACCTTGTAGATACCAACAAGGTTGGTTTTATGAAACTTAAAGGGATTGTAAAGAGTTTTCCTTAGAGTTTTTTTTATGAGGATTGAACACATGATACACACAATACAGATGTGATTTGATACTGTATAAATTGCACCCTGCCACAGAATGTCTCAAAAATGTTGAGTTCTAGCAAATCTACAGGCACTGGTGTCAAAAGGAAGGCAGGGCATACTAACCACTGTAAAACACCAACAAATGAAAGGAAATGAATGGATATTTACGTCCTACTTTTCTGCATCATGTGGGCTAATGAAGACGGGCAACGCCGTATAGAGTGCAATGAGGGAAAATTTGTCAAGACAGTGGCATTAGCCTGCTCTTTTTCAATTTGCAGCTGTCTAGGTATTATCTGGAACTATGCTGGAATTGAACACTAGACCTTCTTGAAAAACACCAAAGGCAATTTCTATAAAACATACAACATGACTAATAATAAATATTTATTACACACCAATAAGTTTAAAAACTTGAGTTAATATATGCTTCACAACAACAATTACTGTGGCAAAGTCTCTAATACTTACCCTTCCAGAACACCTGATAAAAAAGAAAATCAATATCCAAATACATACATATTTGCATACACAACTGTATACTGACTTTTTAAAATTTGAGAACTCTGAGCAGTTAGGGTTACTGCTCTTGACGCTAGGAAAATGGCTTGTACTCCAATAGAAATTTCTATAGTTTTATCCCCAAAATATGTGTCAGAAAGCATCAATATCAATTCTTTTTTCGTAGTATTCTTTTGAGAAAACCCTTTCAGATGATCCATGTGCCTATCCACTTCTTTGAAGTTTCCACATTTTGAATTCCAACCACTTATAAAGTCAGTCTGCCCCCTATAAATACCCCCAATATCAGGAGAAAATGAGGCAACACATATTCCCTATTTAGCATGAGTGGAATAAAATAAAGTTTCTATAAAATTTACAAACATTGATCAACTGGGGTGCTGAGAATTGATGGCTGAAAAAAAAAAACAATGTTTTTCTCCAGACATTTTCCCTGTTACACAATTTCAGAAATTGAAGAGACTGCATAGTGCATTGTTTGACCATCTCCATATAGGGTATAGTCTACAATATAGGCCTATGGGGAGGTCTATAAGTAACAGTCTAATACAGTAGGGCCTATAGGCTAACTAACAATTGGCAATAATGCTCTTGAATAATATTCAAACTTTAATTTTCATAAAAACTGGAACAAAATGTGCAATTTGTGAGGCCTACACTAATGTATAAGACTGTATGACTATATGACTATAGACCAGTATATAGAGGATTATAAACTAAGTTATAAGCTGTTAAAAGTTTTGCAAATACTTTATAAAGTTTTAAAAACAAGTTTTGTGAAAATAACTCTTTCCTGTAAGATTAAAGAAAATAAATAGTTTGTCTATGATATCACGTGAGATAGACGTGCCTGGCTGCTAAGCATTCAGCTAGGATTATGCTTAAAGCTGAAAGCAACCAATCAGAGCGCTTAACTAAGCTGGGCGAGCAATGAGCAGTCCGGGGAAAATTGAGGTCAGAAAACAATGGTGTACATTATGTGGTCATTTTAACGCATAAATTAATCAATTTCAAACACTTTTGGATACTAAAACTTTACCCGAAGTTGCCGTTTGGAAGGAAGTGTTGTCTGGAAAGGTAAGATATATATAAAACTTTGTAAAAGTGGGAGTTTTTATGTCATTCACTCGTGAAATATAACGGTAAAAATCTTCTCGACTAGAACACACGATGTTAGACAGTATAGAGTATAACCAGCTATATTCTATTTATACCATACTGTTATACTGTACAGTAATGACCTGTATATAGTGTATGAAGGAAATGGCAACGTGGTATACAAGCCGATACAAGTCATATACCATGCTATATAGGCGTCTCTATTTTTTACGTAGTAATAAAATGTATCAATTATTGAATGTTATTCAACACCTTATATGAAACAATTTTGCTTTAGGAATATCAATATATATGCATCTACAAGTGCTTTTTAGGTTTCAACTATAAAGATGTACCTAAGCCAAAAAATCCTTTCAAAACCAAGCTTAGGCTAAATGCCCTATGAAAGCATACTCACTTCCTTGAGGATTTTGTTTTGGGCCATTCACTGAACAATTTGTTTTTTGAATATGATTTTTTCTCCAAAACTTACGAACTAAAATATTTGAAAATGATGGCTAAATTTTTACAAAATTATAAAACTTATAAAACATATGATGATGTCAGTAATTTTCTTCATATCTCTATGTCAATAAAGCCAAAATGATTTAGGGTGATTTTTTTTCTCGATGTTTTGGACACATTGGTATAAGTTTGATCGATTAACCCAACGAAAATATGAAAATATGGTCCGTATAAACCAGTGGTTCTCAACCGTTTTCAGCCTTCACACCCTGGAGCAATCACCTGGACCTTTCACACCCCCAAAAATTTGTTCATCCACATTTCCAGCATGTTATGATGTGAGGTGCTCGCTCAATTCAAAATAAATTATTCTCCTACACCAGTTGGTCCCCAGACACCTTAGTCCCACGCCCCTGGTGTGAAAACACCCCAGGTTGGGAACAGGGGCTATAAACCATGCCAAGTTTTTTTTTATCCTACTGAGAGTCAAATATATCATGGATTAGGTGAAATTATTAAACCCATTCTTCGAAATATATGATATTTTTCTACTTGATTTGAGCATGATATCACTCTTTCAGTTCCTTTACATCAACTTCTGATCTGGTAAAGGGATTATAAAGAGCAACTTTTTACTTTGAATTTTCAGTCAAATGTCGATAGTAAAGTCATGGTATTTTCATTATCAGTATAGTTGAAATTGAGTACTATCAGATGTGAAGCAAAGATTGACTTGAACTTTTTTTGAAGATTACTACTTGCAATTTACTTATTTAATATTTGCTGAATTATTTTTTATATGCCCACTTTATAGTGTGGATGTATATTGTTTTCGCCCCCATCTGTTGTTTCTATTAATAAGTTCTTCTTGGTCAACTTGATTTGACGATCATTTTTTTTTGCGTTGTTGAACTTGACTAAGGAAATATGCTTCATAATTTGTTTGTGGAAAAAATAGAGACTACACTTTCTTATCTGGTTGATACACTTAAATTATCAGAATTTTATGAAATTGTGTGTGATGGTTTAAATCGACAATATCTTGGACAAGTTAGATTTTTGGTATGATTTGACACAGATTGACGACCACCCTAGATATTCTGAAAACATATCAGGGAAGTGGGCGTATCTTGCCAGGCAACCACTTGTTGATTTGTTGAATCTGTAACTAAGTCTGATGTGCCATGAAAACCTAATGGATTTAAAACAATATTTTCTAAAAAGAAAATAAAAGTATTTCATTTGTATAATCAAAATGCATAAGTTAACTGAACGTTTCATTTGATATAGGCTTACTTTCTGCAGGCACAAAATGGAACATCTTTATTTGCATTTTGATCAGATTGATATTTAAAGGTTTTGACTAACTACATTTTTTTTCTTTTACAGACAAAGGCCAACCAAAACATCATGTTTAAAAAGATGACATTGAAAACGGAGCCCATGGAGATGGAAGGCAATGAGGACATGTTTCGGATGAGATCCTTCACACGTAGTATTATACCTAAATCTTTTGATTTAACAGATGACCAGAAGGCAATGAGACTTCCCTCCCCTGATGAACCATTTATTACTGGCATCTTCCATCGAGGTTCAGAACAAATGGCTAACCAGTCTTACAATATGCTCCGGTCAGATGTTTCGGCAATGCAGCAAGGCCATTATTTTGGTGGAGATCGGGTTAAAACTAGTCCAACGCCACCAGCACCAGAAAATAAGGATGAAGAATATCCCACGTACACCATTGCCAGAAGTGAACTGGAACTCAATTCCCGACTCCTGCCAAAGAAATACAAATGTAAATTTTGTGTATATAAAACAAGTTATAAATCAGATTTGAATCGCCATTTACGGCGCCATGCTAAAAAGGACAATATCTATAATTGTGACGTTTGTAATTTACCATTTCGCAGCATTAGCAAGGTTTACAGTCATCGTCAACAATGCCATGGTGAAAGTAGCATAGTCAAAGAAGAGTCACCATTAGCTTGCACCATGTGTAATTTTAAATGTGCAGAGAAAGATATTGATTTGTTTCAATTGCACATACAGAAACACATTGAAGAAAACACATGTGATATTTGTAACAAGTCCTTTAATAGTAAAGCAGCTGTAGAAAAGCACAAGAAAATCTACCATCAAGTCACCAATGAAGTTGTCTTTCCATCACAACCAATAAGATCTGTGGATATGTCTTATATCCCAGAAGCCAGTCGTAATGCTAACTATTCTGGTATGAACAGCAGTATGTTAGATCTAGATTCAGATCATTCTCCAGCTGGCGGCAGTTCTGCTTCCAACAGTTGTGATGGCTCCACCAATTCTACACCAGTACCTTTTAGACAATATTCAAAGGGGATGAATATAAGAAGCATTCTACAAAGGCGTGAAAAGCAAAATGGAGATGACAGCAGGATGAAAGATGTCAACAGATCTCCATCAAAGGCAAACAATGACTTTTCTGACAAGTCTGCCCAGTTGTCCAAGAATTTATATGACTTGAAAAATCCACAGAAAGAAAGAGAAAATATTCCTGAAATTTCAAGCGCTGAAAATGGTAATGAATGCAGATCTTACAAATGTGGAAAATGTGCCAGTATCTTTTTAGATGTGCGTGATTTATTCATTCACATGTCCGTCTGCCTTCAAGAAGAGGTTTCTGTCAAAACAGCTAACTTCAATTGTCCAATTTGTAGCTTCACCTCTGAAGAGTTGAACTTGTTTACTAGTCACATGATACGTCACACAGTAGATAAATTTTCCTGTGATTTATGCAACAGACCATTCTCCAATTTCAGAAATGTTTTGAGTCACAAAAGAAAGGTCCACAAAGTAGATCTTCGATGCAAGAGATCACCTACAAAGATAAAGTTTATTGGTCAAAATAAATCCAGTCCTAAATCACTAAGTGCCAAATCAAACAATCCACCTTATTCTAAAGAAACTATTGGAGATATTTCCAATATGGCTGATGAAGAGTCAAAGAAAGAAACCATGGAAACAGACACAGAACTAAAGCTAAAAAGACCGTCTGCTTCAGTTGAAAGCCAAACATCTAGTCAAGGGCAGTTAACTCTGGGCTCTATTGGTGGCGATGTGAAGGATACCCTAACATCAGGTCGCTATGCAAAATTAATATCTGATTTTGATGATTTTACTTTGAAACCATTTGCTTGCTCTCTATGTTTTTACCGTACTGAAGATCTGATAGATTTAAAATCACATGTAGAAAATCATGTTGGAAACAAAAGTCATCCAAATTTTGTTAAACTTAATTTTGAATCTCTGTCTGAGGTAGATTCTATAATAAAGACCAAAGATTATGTATATGATATAGCAATGTCCTCTGATTCTAATTGCAATCAAAATCCAGTAAACTTCACTTTCAATGATACAATTAATGGGGCTACTGTCATTTATCCAAAAGAATCTCAAAATCACACCAAACAAATAAGATATCTTGAAAAACTACTGAAAAAAACCCAATCTAAATCAAAGAATAATTTTCTTTCCAGAACTAGAAAACACCAAGCTTTGCCTAATATCAGATCTTTCCCATGTAAAATCTGTAAAAAGGAATTCAGCATGCATATTTTAGCAAAACGACATTTGGTTAGAATTCACAATGTTACAAAATAACAATAGTACTTAAAATGCAGCTTTTTTTTAGAAATCCGACTTAAGAGGTATACATTTATCTTATGCATTACAATGTTGAATATTTTATCAAATGAGATTGATTATGTAGTTTACTGAGTCTGTAAGCGAGGTAGCTATGGGTTACAACAGTTGCTATGTAATGACATTTTATTGAAAAAGAGTAACAAAGGTTAACAAAATGATTCAGATTTAGACCAAGTATTATGTTTTAATAGGAGAGGACTGTATACAGTGTTATTATCTAAACTGAACATCTAAATGAGGTTTATGTGAATGAATTATATATTAAATGTAGGCATTACATCACCATTTAAAGCATTATTTAGTCATATTGAAAGCATTCATTATTTATTCTATCTATTTGATACAAGATATATATTATATTATTATTACATTTTTTAGTTTAAAATTTACATGATTTACTACTTATATATATTATAGCATTTAGGTTTTGTCTTCCCATATTTTCATTTATTCTTTTGTGTTTCTTTTTTTATTCGAATTTAGTTGAGAATTTGATATGTATATACTTTTGGTAAAATGTATTTAGCATCTAAATTGCATGGGCTTTCTCATAAAAATTGCCATATTGACCAAAATTAGCAGTGTGACGCGAGGAATATTTTCTTGCCCTGGATAAGAGAAAATGGCCTGTTTGATGCAGCCTGGCTTAAAAGGCTACTTAGTTTTTTTAAATCTTTGATTAAAAACCCTGCCATGAAAATTTACTCTAGTGAACAGCCAATAAGGAAATCTTTAATGTTGCTGTGGTAATAATTGTTTTAAATCATCATTAAATTATTTTAAGAAATCTGATTGGTTAGAATGACACTGTCCAATCAGATCAGCTGACACTGTCGGTTAGATTTATGTTATATTACAAAGCCAACTACCTTGTCCACAAGGAGCTCCAAAATTTTTGAAAAGTGTCTTTAAGATAAGCTGGGATATGGTTTTGTATGTATAGGTTATAATTTCTTTTTTTCTTGTACATGTAAGTTAACTTAATATATGCTAAATACATTTTACTTTGATATTATTTTGAGGAAGAAGGGCATTATTGTATTTAATAGTTTAAACTTTTGTACCCATTTGATATCCATTGTGTTTCATTATTTACCACTTTATAACTCTCTGGCATACATAATAATTCATCTAGTACATTAAGTCTGGATTGTACTCCACTTAGCGAAGCACAGGTTTTTCTTCGCTTGAGCTTACAAGCTTCAAAGCTCAGCTTTCAGAGACACTGAAAAGGCAGATGAAACAAACTGGCGTTGATGTATTTGTTTTGACATCGCAAAGCTAAGCGAAGCTTCATTATCTTCCATTAGCTCTTTCACTTAGCCTTGACTGATGATATTAATGAAAAGAGTGATATATATTGACCAATCTTGACATTTATTGAATCAAACGGGTCCATCGTTGTGAGTTGTCTGATGTATGTAAATGAAGGTATGTAATGAGACTCAATGGGTCCATTGTACTTATGATATTGTTGAAAGCTTTAGATTTTTTTTTACTTTGGTACCCCTCTGTATTTTGCAATACATTTGTATACAATTTAATTAAGATATATGTAATTTTAATGAATGAAAATCTAATAGTGACACTTTTTAGAGGCATTCCTATTATGTTTATGCAAATGTACATACACTAATAGATTTTCATTGTCTAGGGGATAATCCCATTAAAGGGACAGCTGTGCCATTTTTGGGGGATGTAAATAGTCTTCAGAAGTACTAGAAATGTACGAAAATCGCACAATTCCTTCGAAAAATATCTCAAACTAGGAATTTTACTCACTAAATCTATATATGTCATAGAATATCTTAAAATGATGAGTCGTCGTTTTAACATTAAATGCAGTAATTCTGGACATACATGGATTTGAAGGCTCAAATTTTGACGGTGAGTCGTAAACACTATAATGATAGGCTTAGCTCTAGGATTTCTGAGACTAAAAAATGATTGCTTAAAAAGAATGTCGCATCTGTCCCTTTAATCCCCAAAACTTTGCAGAAAGTTCTGGACTTATCAATCTAGAGCTCATCAATGCTGCAGACACATGTTTGAGATAATCAATGCTCATCTGGACATCTTTATTGAAAATGGGGGCTAATTTTCCAAAATTAGACTTAAAGCATGAGGTTCTCTATATGGAACTCTTCATCTAGGAGGGTAGGAAATTGGTTTATTTAGATCTATATGCTCCATTTGCCTAAATTTGGTTTTTATGCAATTCCACAACCCAGTGTCACATTTTTACCATAATTATGCCTTATATATTTTTATGATTGTAACCTTGACAACTAGACTGATATTTTGAACTTGTTTATTTTAGAATTTCTGTTTAAATAGATATATAGTGATATAACCTTTTTAAGTTTGTCAAAAATCTTTTTTTCAATTTGATTTGATTGAATGCTTATTTAAACACTTTTGAAACAGTTTCTTTATACTGTGATATAGGCTTAAAAACTAAATAATATGGTGAGTGCTCGTAAAAAGAAAAAACCAAAAAAAAACCAAAACTTGACAAGCTTATATAAGTCCTTCATTTTGTAATTTATTGAAAGGCATTTCATTTTTTTTGTGACATGCACAGCTTTCTGAACCACAAGCATGTTATCTTGATTACTTATTCGATATGCGAACACTCCACAGGGTTGCCATTATGCTGAGTGGCTTCTATTGTTTATGAAAGGCAACTATGCCTTGCCTCATTACACCCACCATAGAAATTATCGTAGTGAAGCTAAATAATAAAGATTTTGTGCTATATGAAAAACCTATGAGACTGTTTAAAAATTGTGAAAAATCTGCATTAAGAAACTTTTAAAGAAATTGAATAAGAGCTGTACTTATGTTAATACTTCTATATTAGTATTGTATTCCACCTAACCTATTCAAGAGTCACATTTAAATATACTTCTTTTTTATGAGGGGTAGAAGGAAAGGGGTTGGGCAGGGGTGTAAAGCTTTTAATTATTTTGTTTATTTTATTTTATTTGAAAACATAGAAACATTACAATGTAATTACTTATATATTTATATTTAGATTGAAAGGATTTTGCTGCTGAAGGTTTTCGCTTTGGAGGTAAATCAAAAATTTTAGGTTAACCTGCAGTGAGATCAAAAGAATACTTTTATTTAGTAAGTCATTGAAGCATTACTATAGTAGGAAATATAAAATGAAGGAATTTCATATAATTGTATACAAACTGCATGTTTGATTATCATTCTGAAAAGTAACACAGGTAGATTAATTGAAGTGCTATCAACTGGTAAAGAAAATAATCAGATATCTTATAAGCTACCATGAAGATTTTCATAATACCATTGCACTAGGAAAATAGTTCAAATTACATACAAACTTGTATCAAGAGCATCTATAACTTCTATTAGCACCATTTTAATCTCCTGTTTGTTTCATGCCTGTGTATCCAGTAATTCCAGATATACTTTGTCAAGTTTCTTCAAGTATTCCGATTGGAATTATGTTGCCTGAGCATATGAAACACGCCAATAGAAGTTATATATGTCTGATATAGATTTTTGAGAAATGGTATCTTGAAATGTGCCATTATAAACTTTAAAGGGACAGATTCGCCATTTGTTTGACCAAGCATACTTTATAGGACTCTTCATTTCTTGAGACTCTGCCATATATACAAAAAAAGACATATATAGAAATAGTAGGTGAAATTCCTAGTTTGAGATATTTATGAAGGAATTGTACGATTTTTTTACATTTCTAGTACTTCTGATTGAAAGCTATTTTGATACATTCAAGACCTAAATCAACCCCCCAAAAATGGCGAATTTGTCCGTTTGAAGCTGTAAATTCATAGGTCAGTCCAAATACACATTGAAAAATAAAAATCAATTGAAATACAGAAAGTTTAGAAGTTAACTTTTTATACTGTTTATAACTGTTTGCAACATATTTGATTTTTGTGTATATTTTTTTCTATCATAGTTTCCATAGTTTTTTTTTTCACTTTAAAATTATTTAATTTTTGTTCTACTTAAGTAATTTATATAGAATATACTACAAATGTATCACACTTTTAGGCAAATATATAAATGCACGATCCAAGACGATTCAAACTTTAAAGCATAAACAGTCTATTTTTGTGGTAGGTTACATGTAGCTTAAAGGGATAGGTTCGCCATTTTTTTTGACCAATTGTATCTTAGTCTCAGAAACAGGACCTTTTTGGCTAAGCTAATCAGTAATAGTGTTTACAGCTCACCGTTGAAATTTTACCATTCAAAGCCATGTTTGTCCAGAATTATCCACGTTAAAATGACGAGTCATCTTTTCTTGAGAAATGACATATTATAAAGAAAATTGAATTCCAAATTTGTTTTTTTTTTTTAAAGGAATTTGTTTTTTTTTTTCAAGGAATTAGTTTTTTTTTTTCAAGGAATTTGTTTTTTTTTGTCCATTTCTCTTATTTCTGAAGACTATTGACATATATTCAAAACACAAATCAACCCGGAAAATGGCGATTCTGTCCCTTGAACAAACACATACGCTTTGGCCTGTAGAGATCCAATTACCATTTTTTCTAGCCAAAGACAATGTGTTTACATGTACCTATGAACAGATTTTTTATGTTTTGATATGTGCTTGTATGTTCACAAATATCTTTGTCCAATTTACCTAACACATGTATCATAATTCTTTCGGGTATTAGCAGTTAAAGTAGGATTGTAAAAAGGCATACTTGAAATTGGGATCTGATTTTGAATCTTTGAGTTCTTAATGCTGAGCTTTTTAGGACTTTTCTATTAAAGACCTGAGTGTTTAGGGTAATGGCACGTGAACAGATATATTCACTGATTTTTATCGGTGACTCAAAACTTAAGTTAAATCCACAACACGATTGTTTTATCTCCTTGTGCCTGCAGGACTAATGACAAAACTATAGTCGACGACAAAAATCAGCGACCAAGACTGTTCGTATTCCAGCACCCTAAGTTACTATTAAAATTTCATTCAGTTCTTTTGCATATTTTTAAATTTAGATTATAGTAAACATCCCAACCTAGTGATTTTGTTATTGAGGAATGAAGGAACCAATACATGTGTTAGGTATATCACATCCTGGAATACCCACAAGTGTTTTATTACATATCTTAAAAGCCTTCTTTGGTATAACAAGATAGGTGTATAACATCTTGGGAGTTTTATTACCATAATAACTGTATGTTTTAGACTTTACTTATTCTATAGTCTCCCTTGGTATATCACAGGGTAGTTGATTTTAGGAACGTAACTCTCAAATTAAGATCCTCTACTAAAAATTCAGGTCAAAATTTTGGAAATCCAATCAGACATGATTGACAAATATAAATAAATTGATCTTCATTTTAGAAATGGTCAACTTTGCACATTAAGATCATGTACTAATTTTAATCAAGATGCATGAAAAATGCAAATAGTATAGCACATTTGCATAGCAAAAGATCAAAAAATCAAAATTGCAACCAGTTATTTTGGAGATACAATCAGACATGACTGGCACATACAGATAAATTGATCTTAAGAAACATTTTCACTCGAATATTGAGATCTTGTATTAATTTTAATCAAGATTGCATGTAAAATACAAACAATATGGAGCTCTGATCAGACATAACTGGCAAATACAAATAAATCAACAACCCTGGTATATCAGGATGAATTGATTATCTTAAGATAACTATTAGAGTACTATCACATATTTTATGAAAGGTTGTTAAGAAGCCTGTGATAACTTTTGAATTTCAAGGAAGTGAGGATTATATTTAAGGGGGATAAGAAATAACAGTGGGTATTACAGGATGTTTATATATAGAATATATATTATTTGAATGAAGCCAGTATCTCTAGTCAATATCATATACGATATTATATTATTTAATAAAATATATTGGGAAAATAGTTGTATTTGTTTAACATATTGTCCAGGAGTGTCTATATTTCTGATTTTCTATCAGGTTTGCCCTGCAACTTTTTCATGTCGGAGAATATAACTGGACTGAACAGAACAAAGCGCCTCATTACCTCCCAATAATTTCAAAACTTATTCTACTTTCACTTACAAAATTGTGTTAGATGTATTCCCTGCCTTTCAAGATTAAAAAATCCATCTCCCCCACTCTATTGACCCCCACCATGATTAGTGTCCTCTAAAGTTTGTAAAGGGGAGCTGGGACTCTCCGATGGCCAACCCTGTTAATTATATACAAATGACTGCCAAGATCTGTTTAGTTCCACATTTCAGATATGCATCAGGCATCAGCTGCTTCAATACACAATAGTACAGGTACAGATTTCAAATTTTGCCTGAAATTTAGGGAGACTTTGTATGTTATAATAAACACACATAGATATGGTAATATTTCAGTTGAATATAAACCAAGATGGTTAATAACTGTCTATTTCAAAATTGTAACAAAGTTCTTTTAATACAACAATGAAATATAGCGGCTACAATTACTTCAATGATATACTTATAAGATATTCATCCCTGATTAATTAATATAGATTGTCATTTCTCAGATTGATCTTAAGCAATCATAGATAATTCAATGAAATTATAACATGCTATTATCATGATAATGCTATGATATCCTGTAAATATCTTCCAGAATCTCTTTATAACAAACTGTTCTGATGATAATGGCATTGCTATGATATCCAGTTAATATCTTCCAAATTATCTTTATAGCATACTGTTATCATGATAATGCTATTATATCCTGTAAATAACTTCCATCATAACTTTATAGCATACTGTTATCACGATAATGCTATGATATCCTGTAAACAACTTCCAGTATCACTTTATACCATATTGTACTATAACTTTTATCATGATAATGCTTTAATATCCTGTAAACAACTTCCAGTATCACTTTATAACATATTGTACTATAACTTTTATCATGAAAATGCTTTGATATCCTGTAAACTTCCAGTATCACTTTATAACATATTGTACTATAACTTTTATCATGATAATGCTATGATATCCTGTAAACAACTTCCAGCATCACTTTATGACATAATGTACTAGAACTTTTATCATGATAATGTTTTGATATCCTGTAAACAACTTCCAGCATCACTTTATAACATATTGTACTATAACTTTTATCATGATAATGCTTTGATATCCTGTAAACAACTTCCAGCATCACTTTATAACATAATGTACTATAACTTTTATCATGATAATGCTTTAATATCCTGTAAACAACTTCCAGTATCACTTTATAACATATTGTACTATAACTTTTATCATGATAATGCTATTATATCCTGTAAATAACTTCCATCATAACTTTATAGCATACTGTTATCATGATAATGCTATGATATCTTGTAAATAACTTCCATCATCACTTTATAGCATACTGTTATCATGATAATGCTATGATATCCTGTAAACAACTTCCAGCATCACTTTATGACATAATGTACTAGAACTTTTATCATGATAATGCTTTGATATCCTGTAAACAACTTCCAGCATCACTTTATAACATAATGTACTATAACTTTTATCATGATAATGCTATGATATCTTGTAAATAACTTCCAGAATCACCTTTTAGCATTTGATTGATCATGTCTTTAAAACCCAGTTCTGAAGCTATTTTATACTGTATCTTAATATCTTTACAATATGTCAATAACTTTTTAATATTTATCAAACATTGTTCTGGGCTCACTTTATTGCCTGATTGTTGATACCTGTAATAAATATACAAAAAAATGATAAATGTAGACCAACACCAACAGAAATCATAATAAAATATTCCAAACAGCCTGCAAAAGAGTCTCCAAATATCCAGCCCCAACCCATTTGCAAATAACTGCAGTAATTAACTATTCATTTACAGACTTAAAAATCTATGGTTTTTAAATTTCTCTATTCTTTGTTAGATAACATAATGTCTTGTTAATTTGAGAACTTAATTTTAATATAAACAGTAAGTATATCATTAGAACTTAACATCAGGGTCCAATTTAGAATGAAACATATGCTTTAACACACATAATTTCAGTTTTGGCTAATCAAGCTAGATTTAGATTCACATTTCATAAAAATTTGATAGTAATTCAAACTCTTCAAGCTGTAGACTTCAGATAGGTCTGGCCAAGGACATCAGTTCCTTAAGGTTATAGAAACCATCAAGAGTTGCCCTATATTTTTAGATCTGACAGAAAATTCTCTCAAAAAAAAATTAACATCTAATTTGATTTGAAGATCGTCATGGCTAATCATAGGATGGCAAAAGTGGTAATTTTGACTTGCAGACTGCAATACCATACCACTTAAATTAAACGGGGTGTCTCTTTGTTTGAGACCAGCTCAGGAAAAAATTAAGCTGAGTTTTTATTGTCTTAAAATAAACATACTTATCAACAGCATCTTGAATAATAGCTGGTTTAAGTTGAACATGAGATTTTAAGTCGTGTAGATAACGGAAATCGTTGTTAATAATAACATTATAATATATAGCTGTGGACCAATCACATCTCTTACTGTAGGCTTCACTCACTATCAATGTCTACAAAATACAAATAAGGATTTAAATTCATAACTAATGGTAGGTTGTCGTGCCTCATTCTTATTTTTCAAGACTTTTAACCCAAAATAGGTATAATGGGCAACAAGTAACCTTCTGTGGAGAAAAGTTTCTTGACGATAATTTGAGTATAAAAAAAAATTGCTTTCAGCAAGTCATATTTGAATAAATTATAGTGGGTTCAGAGGACTTAGCCGGATAAAGGAGAGCTCCCTTTACCTGCACATTTAATTTCTTGCAATTATCAGTATTTCAGGTTTGTTCAAACACAGTAGCATTACATCCTTTCAAATTAAAACATGCATGATAAACATAGTAATTTGTTCATGCATCATTATATATAACATCTAATTATATTGTCATCTGTTTTAGATGTACATGTTTCTTTTCTGTCTTTTGTTTAAAGATGGGTTTCCTTATTTGTTAGAGTCAAATTAAGCAAACTATTTCATTATAATCATTATACTCTTATTGCATATAATTAAGAGTTAAAACCAATCGTAAATTTCCATGTATGTTCAGTTTTGATAAACAAAATAAAGACTTTTTAACCTTTCTTGATCGGTCACTCATTGGAATTCTGCTGGTAATTCTCTTCTAATTTTAGCTAATTATGAATTAATAATGGACATGTGAGACAAACTGGTATTTTTCCAAGTCATTAGAACACCTCTACTTTCTATTCATATAAGTATGAGCATTACCATTTTCATACATGAAAATAAGGGAACCCATCTTTAAACCTACTTAACATTCCTTTTGTTATTTAACCAATACTTACATCTAAGAATTTAGGATGATGTTGTATAAACTCTGTAAGTTGTTCAGTAGTAAGATTAATGACTACTATAGATGAAGGTAATAGTTGTATTTGTAAAGCCACTAGTCTAGCTTGTCTAATACACTGCTGAGCATGTCTTACACAGCTATCCTACAATAATACATATCCATAACTTTACTTCATTTAGCATTTTGTTCAGTGCAACATATAATGAAACTTTCCACAAACCTAGAAGGCGGGGTCAAAACTAAATATAGGCAAATGAGGCAAATGATAAAAATATCAAAACAAGTGGTTGCCTAGCAACCAATTACCATATACGACCATTATAATGTGGTCGTATAAAATGAATTTTGTTCAAAATATTCAAAATATAAACATCATATAATGTCAACGGAAGGTGGTTTCTGTTAGAAGAAAAAATAGTAATCTGATTGGATAATAAAACTACATTAGATTTAGTGATTGACCAATCAGATGACTGTAACACTAAAATCATTTCAAATTAAGTTTTTTAGAATTAGGCCCCAGGAGAACATATAGGACTTCAAATATTCAACTAACCTTAACATATCGTTCTGCAGCATCAGCAAAATACTGGGCACTTTCTTTTAATATATCTTGGATTTCTTTGGTATTTTCTAAAATATTAAATTTTAAAATGGAAGACACAACAGATTCACAAAATAAAACTTCTATGTCCTATGTTTCTTAAGCAGCTGGGTATTATATCTAATTGTTTTGTCATATTGGGATCTTCAATATATATGATTTTTATAGTTTTTTGCTCAAAATATGTGCCAGAAAGTGCCGATTTTTCCTTTTTTCTTTCTTGGCTGGAAAGTGCCTTAAGCATTTGAAATCCGTACTCCCATTTGATGTCATCCTTCAAAAATTTGGAAAATTATTTTCAACATGACATTTCACATACCAATTGTTTTAGATTTAAGAGACTTTAAACAGTCTTTTCCTTTCTCTTCTAACATCTGGGCTATTTCTCTGTACATCATAAAATTTAAAGCTACCATTGTATATGTGTCGTTATCACTGGGATGAAATCGTGTTAAATAATCTAAAATAGCTATCTTTAACTTATCTTCCTAAAATCAAAGGTAATGTTTCTTGCATTAACAATATAATTTTCTTATAATATGTATAAAAATATTTACGTTCAAATTATGTAAATAATACTGTACAATTAATATACTACGTAACGCTGTACAGTACATGATCTTGAATATAAACAGTAAATAAGTATTACTAGTGATGATGCAGGCATACAAACAGTTTTGGTTGCTGTTTTTTGTCGCTGACTTGAATCTTGATTAAAATCTCATGTGTGCTTGCACTTCCATGACACAATTATTAGGTTACCAACAGGATTTATACTTGTCGACGATTTTTTTATCATCTGCTAGATAGACCGCCATCATCCAATCAGATTCATTGCCTTTCAATTGCATGTTCATAACATGATTATTGACATAGGGGCATATGACAGATTGGAGATTTTTTTGTTTCCTTGTGCGTTTGCAGATGGTCGGCAAAACTCACAACAGGAATCTAGTCGGCGACCAAAATCGACAACCCAAACCATTTGTGTGCCTATACGATTACTTGTTTATACATGTAAATGTAAGATGATTTTAGATGTTGATTGGTAGATGAGAAGCAGACTAGTGACCGTAGATATGGCGGTGAATCTTTTTAATTCTTCAAAAACTTGTTCAGATTATGATAATTCTATTTTGGAGCGTCCTCTTATGGTAGACTTATAAAGAGGTAGAGTCACACATATTCTAGTACCATGGAAATAATTTCTGCTTTATGAGACATTTGATTAAATACATCGTCAATGTCAACCAATATAAGCTTTATTTTTCAATCAGTAACATTAGATATAATTCTAGCACTATAATTACCACAACTAATTATAACAATGACTTACCTTTTCAATTCCCTTCTTGAGTAATCTTTCAAATTGATGGTATAATTTTAAAGCATCAAAAATATAGGTCATTTCACTAAATCTTCCTACCCCAGTTAATAAACGAATCTAAAATAGTGAAAAATAAGACAATGAGACCAAAAGCTTCGGTTGTCAGCTGGGCGATATTACTTCAAGTGGATATCACAATATTTATCATTGACTTAGAATAAACAAAATTTCAAAATTATAAACTTGGCTAATATATTCATCAGTAGATATACCTGTTGTCATAAATAACATAACAGGATTCTTATATAATCCGATAAATCCAAATAACTTAATAAAAATGCAATTAACTAATGAAAAACGCTTAATGTTATAATTAAGCGTTTTTCAATAATTACTTAGTTTTATGAATTTTCCAATTTTCTAGATTTGACATGGATTCTGTTGTAACTTTATGACACCAGGTAAGTTCACTGAATATATACCCATATTGACCATTCTTGAGAATTAAATTTTATGTTCATTCTATGACTTTAATGCATCATAGTATACTATTTTGTATAATATCTTATTGATGAGTGAGAGGGGGGGGGAGTTAATTTTGAAAAATCTCAAAATTCTCTTGTGGTGGTCCAACAGTCCCTATACAAATAAACCTTAAATTCGCAAGGAAATGCCAGGAAACCGCGTTACAGGGAGTCAAATTCTCTAAAATTTTGTAGAGGAGCTCCCTAAACTTCAGAAAATCGTGTTTCCGGACTTACAATGAGCGTCCTATCAATAAAGATAGCAATAAGTCTATAGAGAACACCACTGTAATGCGTAACAATTCATAAAGATTTCTGGGAAGCGAGGGAGGTACTTAAACTGCTCCCCTTGAAGTACTTGGCTGGCTACGGGCCTGAGGAGAAATAAGAACCATTTTTTGTAGAAATATTGTGATATATATATTTCTAGTAAATATTGTGAATCATCAGTCAGCCCAAATTTTCTTTAGAAAAATTGAAAAAAGAAATTCTAAATATTAAAATTTAACAAATAAACTCTTATAAAACTATGATCTTACCATTAATGAAAATTCTTCTGATCTACATAAAGTTTCTGTTATTCTTCTGGCAGCTCTTAAAACATGAGATATTCCCTCCATATTACAGGCTATTGTATAACAATCATGAGCTAATATCAATAGTTCAGTCTGGGTAGTCATGGCTAAAATAAAAAATTTGTTTTATTTGCTCATGACTTCTTTTTACTGTTTAGTAACTACACTACTTGGTTCATAAGTTTTCTATTCAACAGATTCCAAAACTAGCTATCCTGATAAAGATTTTGTTCCCAAGACCACTTTTTGGCAACTTGAGACAGATTCTTTTCCATTTGTATTGAACTGGACACTTTTGAGTAACTAGACATTTTTTTGGATATTGACTTAACTTGAATATTCATAACAATTTTTGTTTTTTTCATCATACTTGCACAATATTTTTTTTGAGATTTCCAGTGACAAGTTTTACACCTTCCCCTCCTTCTCCTTATTCAAAATGAGCAACACCATACAGTGTGCAATAAGGACAACTGCATTAACATCATTGCACTGATCATTAACAAGGCACAGATAGTAATGCACATGGTTACAATTTCTAGGCCCTCTCAAGTGACTAGATGCTTTTTTAAGAGGCGAAGGCCTTGATGAAAATGGTGAAAGTTGGTCTACTATCAAAACCAAGTCAGGACTGAATTTCTCGCCTTGTTTAAGTCAGAAAGCACATAATTTGCCATGTCATTGTGGCTCCTAGCTAAAAATATAGAAGCACATAGCTTACCACTTCTGGTAATTTCAGTTGAGTCTGTATTAACAGCTTGTAGCAGACGGTCACCTAATAAAGATGGATCTTGACAGAGTTTGAAATATTGTTGACCTCCAGTATTATTAATAACAGGACGTTTGGTTGGACTGCCATTTTCTAAATTACAGTCTTCATAATTTAATGTCTGTAATATGGAATCTGCCAAAAATCCTGCCACCTGAAATTGATGTCAAAGCAATGAAATAATTCATTACGAAGCAGACCATTCTTACTCTCTTTGAAACACCTGATGGTACTTCTGCGATTGGTACGATTTTGCCATACATTTGGATGAGATTTTATTTCTATTATTGGGCAAATTTTGTTGAACTCTCCTGTCAAGAAGGATGTTTTTGTGGTTGTTCTTGCTGTTAAAAACTGCATTATGCTGATCTATGCATTAATAAGAATATGTAATATTACTAGCCCGAAAAACCTAATCCTACCCCGTCCTCCGACGTGATATATATGGATGGGACATCTGCACTTTTAGGGTCAAACATAAAATGTCGCTTTTTATGGGAATAGACTTAACTACAGAAAAATCCTTCCCCTCCAAGGTTTTGTGGTACTGTTTTGGGCACGGGGGACATTGTAGAATATCTGGTAATGTCTTGATGGACAAATTTGTAGGGCTACATAATTACATGAATCATTTCACCTAACATGGTTTAATTTCTCAAACTAGTGTCCCAAAAGTTGGGTGGAGCAAATCCCATTAAATGTGAATTTTATGTCTGGTCCCAAAACGTGCTGATATCATGTCCTGGGAACGGGCAAGGACAAATCTGTAGGGCTACATAATTATACCTACCTCATTATTAGACAAGGAACTAGTTGCTAGATAGTCTTTAGCTAGGATGAATTTAGCTGCGAAGTTTGTTTTCAATAACTCCCTGAGTATATCAAACTCATTATTAACAACCACTTCTTGATATGGTAAATCTATCACCTGTTAGTGTTAACAAAAATCAGAAATGCTTATTTTCCATTATCAAAATTTCATCATGTATGTATGCAGATACAGAAAACTGTGCTTGGCAACTGATAAGCTAATATTTGCAGTAAATCCACAAAAAAAAAAACAATTTTCATTAGAAAATTTCATTGAAATGATGATGATGAAAACTTTAAAAGAAGTTATAACTCTAAACAGAATTGCTGAGCTTTATTACAATAACCAATCAATCTGTTCATAATTACCGTCTGCAATTACAGCTACTATTAGTCCCCAAAATTGTATCATGTATGCATGCAGATAAAGAAAATATCAGCAAATTGCAGTAAATCGAGAAAAAAATTTTTTTTTGTGAAAACATCAGCAACATCATTAGGAAAACTTACACAAGAAACTTTAAAAGAAGTAATAACTCGTAAACAGAATTGCTGAGCTTTATTACAATAACCAATCAATCTGTCCATAGTATCTATAATTCTTTCCTGTTCTATAGGTATACAATTCCATAGAGTAGCATTGCTGGATAAACTTATAGCTTAAATATAGATATATTCTTCACAAATAATACAGTGTTGCTGTAAATCATTTAAAGGGACAGATGCACCAATTTTTAGAATTTTTTTGTTAAGCCAATCAGTAATAGTGTTCACAGAAGAGGTGTTCTAATGACTTGGAAAAATACCACTTTGTCTCACATGTCTATAATTAATTCATAATTAGATAAATTAGAAGAGAATTACCAGCAGAATTTCAATGAGTGACCGATCAAGAAAAGGTCAAAAAGTCTTTTTTGTTTATCCAGACTGTACATACATGGGCATTTAAAACTCTTAATTATATACAATAAGAACATAATGATATAATTAAGAATACATGATAATTCATTAGAAAGACCAATTAATCAAATAATTTGCTTAATATTACACTAAAAAAATAAGGAAAACCATCTTTAAATAAATGCACCAATTTCCAAAACAGTAGAATAAAAGATACTTACAGCTAACAGAAGAAGTCATGCCTAATGGTGTAGATATACTCCTCCTGGGTGTAAACTGTGAGAGTAATTTCTTTAATACTGGATCTATCATATCAATAGTTATAGAACCAATACTTAATCTTATACAAGTCTACAATTTAATAATATTATATTTCAAAAAACACTTTTTGACAAAATTAATCAACAGGTACCCACTATCCGATGCACTAATTGCAAAAGGCCTTAAGCATATTTTGCGATTAAAGACATCATTACTTAGTTTCAGTGGAATTACAGGAACCACAGATGTCTGATAAAAAATTGGAATGGTACAAATGGATGCTATCAGTGTCCCTGATACACATAAAATTTTTTAGAAAGCCTCTTTACAATCCATTTAAAAATCTTGAACTACCTTTGTAAAATGAAAATGAAATGAATGGAGTTTTACATCCTACTTTTCTGCACCATGTGGGCTAATGAAGATGGGCAATGCCATGCAGGGTGCAATGAGAGAAATTTTGCCAGGACAGCGGCATTAGCCTGTCTTTTTCGATTTCCAACTGTCGAGGGATCTTTAACGTGCACAGCCTGTAGCACACGGGGCCTCGGTTTATTGGCCCATCCGAACGACTAGACGCTTTTTTCAGCCCCTCGTACCTGCATCACTGACAGGGGGAGAACTACCTTTGCAATAGCAATATATAACTTACAATATATAAGCACAACATACCAATATGATAGCTAAATCTTGACTGTAATGAGAGAAGACCGCAGCAACACGACAACTTTCAGATATATTTCCTTCTTTTAATAATTCTAATATTAACTCATCTAATGCTTCTTTACCCTTTAAAAAAATCAGAGAACTTCAAGTTTGCAACCATATCAATTGCATATCATATAGCAATAAACATACAAAGTAAACAGTATCAGATTATAGTACAAATATATTTTAGGACAGGCTGTAACCTGGGCAATTAGAGTGTTGAAATCTTAACAGGAATTTCCCTGGCTAAGTCAAACAAATTCTGCTTACTCTTTTCGAAACACCTGATGGTATTTCTCCTTTGAGGCGTCCATTACTATACATCTATAACTCCCAATTTTGTCTAGTGTTGGACGAGATTTTAGTTAACGGAATTGTTCAGATTTTAATGATAGTAGGTTCTAATCTTGGTCAGCTTGAGACAGTCTGGATCGCATGTTTGTTACAATTTTTCTGAAATATCTTATGAGCTACTTGAAATTTTTTCAGAATAACCTTTCTCTAATCAACTTACAAAATCATTAACCATTACTAAATTACCTTTGAGTCTAAGCTTGTGGTTTCAACTATTAAACTGGGCATTTTGCCAAAATGTAATAATTCTGATTTTTCAGGTTGTTTTTTGGTGGTTCTTTGAGACTGAAGAGAGGATAAAATCTCATCTAATGGTTCCATTATATCTGTTGATTCCTTCTGCAATTCAAAATGAACAAAATTCTTACTGTGATGTTTTGACTCAATATTTTGGTGTCTGTGTTATGCCAACTTGTTGATTTTTTTCGTCAGAAATGCCACACTATATCATATGGATCATAAATCATATGGTTCTCATTTAATACAATGAATAATTAAACCTGATTAAATTAAGCATACTTTAATAAATTTCAATGAAAATTAGACATTGAAATTTCATAAATATTAGTTTAAAGATGGGTTTCCTTATTTTTTAGTATCAAATTAAGCAAACTATTTGATTAATTGGTATTTCTAATGAATTGTCATGTATTCTTAATCATATCATTATGTTCTTATTGCATATAAATAAGAGTTTTAACCAATCATGACCTTTCTTGATCGGTCACTCATTGGAATTCTGCTGATAATTCTCTTCTAATTTAGCTAATTATGAATTAATTATGGACATGTTAGACAAACTGGTATTTTTCCAAGTCATTCGAACACCTCTACTTTCTAGTCATTTAAGTATTGGCATAAATGAAAATGAGGGAACCCATCTTTAAAGGTTGTAATGTGCATTGGAAATAGAGACCTTTAAAATCATGAAAAAATATGAATGCACAGCACAGAATAAGAAATGCTTAAAAGATAATTTTTCTTAATTTGTCTTAAATACAGATTTGCAAACCAGTAAGAGCAGAGTGATATCAAGAATAAAATACTTATAATTGTCGAACCTGTTGGATATGATGCTTCATTCTGTATTGCCACATATTTCTATAAACATCTTCTTGTAGAGTTTTATCTTTAGTTGTAGCTAACTCTTCAATATGTCGTAGACATTGCTCATAGATAACTGATTTCTCTCCCACATCTTCTATACATTCACTCTCTTTCTGTAACATAACATTCAAATTATACTTGCTCTCTTTCTATAACATAATATTAAAGAATCTGTAACATAATAATCAAACTATTCTCACTCTTTATGTAACATAACATTCAAAATACTCTAACTCTCTTTCTGTAACACTATATATAAAATATTCTCACTCGCTTTCTGTAACATAACATTCAAAATACTCTAACTGTTTTCTGTAACATAACATTCAAAATACTGTAACTCTCTTTCTGTAACATTATATATAAAATATTCTCACTCTCTTTCTGTAACATAACATTTAAAATATTCTCACTCTCTTTCTGTAACATAACATTCAAAATATTCTCACTCTCTTTCTGTAACATAACATTCAAAAAAATCTCTCTCTTTCTGTAACATAACATTCAAAATAATCTCTCTCTCTTTGTGTAACATAACATTCAAAATAATCTCTCTCTCTTTGTGTAACATAACATTCAAAATATTCTCTTTCTGAAACGCAAGATTCTAAATCATCCAATTTTTTCTGTAACATAACATTTAAAATAATCTCTCTATTTCTGTAACATAACATTCAAAATATTCTCACTCTCTTTCTGAAACGTAAAATTCTAAATCATCCAATTTTTCCTGTAACATAACATTTAAAGTTATATTATATAAACCAAATTATATCTTAATAACTCAAAATAAAGAACAGTCTAATGGGCTAACCTTAAAGAACTCAGCTGCTAAATTAACATTGACTTGATGTTGTGTGAAACAAGTTGAACAGTTTTGCCAGTAATTTCTTCTGGCCACTTTAGATAGCCACATATCACTAGATATCAAACTTTCCTTCTCTTTTTCCAACTGTAAATAAAATAATACACAATAAATATGGTGTGCACAATATACAAAAAAAGGCATATATGAAATGATGTATTCCAGTAGGAAGTAGTAAGTACCGCTTAAGTGCCGATTCTGAAACCAACAGCAACTCAAGACCAACATGTGCCCTATAGTGAAAAATATGGTATCTGCCTGCTTCTTATTTTATTTTGAATTTGCCACCATGTTGTTACCTCACTACTCAGAAACATTTGTTGCTCAAGACATACCCTACTACTTCACTGTGAATCGAGTTTCATTTGTGTAAAAGACTAATTCCTACTTGGAAACTTTCAATTTCCAACTGAATCCTTGGAACCCTGAGTGTAAATAAAATATAATATCATATACCCTGAAATCCCAAGTAATAAAAGTAAAAGCGTATGACGTTAATGTTGTATGACGTCACTTAGTAACGACCTGTATACTGGCCGCTCGGTTATATATTGCATTAGCGTGTGGCCAGTAAACAGGCTGCTAGGGTTGAAAGGGTTAAAGCATTAAACTCTCATGTGTATTGGAACACTGATAGCATCAATTTGCACCATTCCACATTTCAGTCAGATGTGGGTCTGGAATTTCAGTTAAACTGAGAATTTTAAGACATCATTATGGCAAAGGCCACTAAAATTATATAAGGCTTTTTGTGATACTGACCTGCGCAATAATAACAAAATCACCATTTATTTTGGTTAATTCACTAAATCTTTTGGCATCTTGGTAAGATTGTTTATCAATTAATAGTTGAGCAGATTTGTGGCATATTTCATAATAATTTTGGTTGCTAGGAAACAAGAGACTAGAGAAATCTTCCAGTTCTATAGAATTGGTATGAAGGATATCACATATTTTATGTAATTTACCAAATTCACAAACTGAAAAAAAAATGAATGTGTCTAAAGATGAAAGAATGGTGTAGAAATTCCAGCCTAAAGAATTCGTATTCCAGCGCTGCTGATTTCGCTCTATATGACGGACATGTCTGACATGTATCATCAGATGACTGATATTCACAAGGCTCTTTTGGGCATCAAATATAGGTTAGACATGAAGTGTCATTCAAAATCGAAGCACCATAGGTTTAGGCTCTCATGAATGGACTGCTGGAGTCTCCCTCATAAAATAATTGAAAAAACAAATTGATTTGGAGCATTCTAACACATATTTGTGGGGAAAAAAGTATAAAAATCACACTTTGAAATTCTGCAGAATTGAAATGGGGGTACAAATGTGGGTGCAAACTACATTTTAGGGGGAGAAATGTCCCCCCTGAACCCCCATTGGTGCCTCCATCAGTAGATCAAAGGTCAGGTATAGAAACTCATATAGCCCTTGAAAAATCAAGATAGCGTGTACAAAACTTACCGTCAAAACTAAAGACCAAAGCAATATTTTCATGATCTAATAACTGTAATAAATGTAGTAAGGTATATGTCTTAGATTGAGTTGTCAAATGATGTAAAATAATGTTATAAACAGTCTTCTCTATCCATTCTTTATCATCTAATTCATTCAATTTCTCTTCTTCTTTCTCTCTATTCTGTCCAAACTGCAATTATTCAATGGTCAATGTAAGAAAAAATGAACAGCAACGACCATGGTTCCAGAACGAGGCTCATAATGCAAACAAACAAAGGTATCTGCAGCCTGAAAGCCTCTTTCTCCAATCCCACTAACTCGAAACTAACAATATCTTACATCGTTAACTTTGGAATTAATTAAGTTTAACTTTCAGATGAAGTATCTATTTTTGAGAAAGGGCAGATTTATGCTCATTTTCATATTGTTGATGAAGTTTTTAGTGACATCACATAGGCTATTCATTCATATGACATTGCCATTTTATTTCCAGCTGGTCCTTGGAATTAATTTTTTGCATGGAATATGCACCCATTTACAGCTAGGTCTATTAGAATAATGATGGAAGATGATTTATTCAATAAGGTCATCAGACTTTTCACAGACATAGATTAGAACCCACTACGGCCATTTCTCCATAGTCAAGCAATTGACATTATGTAAAGAACTAACAGGCTGTGATACAGAACTCCACAAAATGTATGGATTTAAAGTAAATCTTTTCTGGTTTCTTTTAAACATACATGACCATAAACAAAATCACAATCATCATCATTGTCGTTCTATACTTTTTTGCGTTTTGAGATAAAAAATGTCAATCTGCTACTTGAAAACGGATACGAACATGCAACTTTGACTTCTGTTAAAATCATCAAGGACCAAAAACCTTGATAATTCACGATCATTCCAACAAGAAAAAAACATTCTTTCATACATTTTGTACCAGACAAAATTTCTGGTTCAAAATAGATTGTAATGGACATTTTGCTGAAATTCCCTATAACTTAATATTAACTTACCCCATACATAGCCTCTTTAAAATCTCCTAAATATAACTTACATACATCATGATTATTTCTTTGAATAAATTCAGCTGAGAACTTTAAAAATGGTAACAATGCTATCTCCTATAGAATTGGTCAAAAAAATATTAGTTCTTGAAAAACAAAGGATAACCATCCTGGGTCTGTACATTTGGAAGAAATCAAAGCCTCTAGTACATTCTTACAGCTTTCCAAAGATAATTTTTGATAACCAATTGCCTTTTGAGTTTAAACTTGTGTTAAGTATGCATTGATACATATAACATAGTACAATTAAGTAATCTCAATCTTCATGTTATGGCAAACATTTTCTAAACAGTCTTATCAAAATTAGACCCAACTCTCATTTCGTTTTCTTGTTCTTATTTTAAGTACCGCCACATCACATTAGAGTCTAACAACCAGAACATTTGTCAAAATAACCTTTAGTCAATCAAATTTACGCCATCTCCACGTTGGCATTTTGTGAGAGATCGTTAAAGTAGATGTCAAAACATTAGGTCAAAAGGTTAATTTAACAAATGTTCAAGAGTCCTATTTCTTTTCTAGTACAAGTCGTCATTTTAACATTCAAATGCAGATAATTCTTGACACACATGGACTTGAAAGCTAGAATTTTGACAGTAGGCTGTGAAAACTTTTTAGCTTTGCTAAAAAAATTCCTTTTCTGAGACTAAAGTATGATAGGTCAAAAAGAATGGCCCACCTGTCCCTTTTAGGGTATATGTTTATATTATTCCATATAAACAAACTTACTGGTTGAAATATATCAAAGGCAGTAGCCAGAGTAAAATCCCACTGGCATTTAAGATACACATCCATCAAGGCCTCCAACTCTTTCATTGACCATTTATATATAGCACTACTACCATGGTGCATTAGAAACTTCTTGTGTTCACCAGTTTCCATCATTGACACCAACCATCCACATAAACAAGGTAAAATGGCTGCATCCTGTTGAAAGATAGTTCTTCAGCCTCCAAAGACAATGGGTATAAATAGGGCACAGATCGACATTAGGGGTCAACTGTCAAGGTTGGATTCAAAATGCAGAAAATCTGAGGAGGCATCATAGTCACAAGCCTCTCATGGAGCCTCTAAGAGTGTTCTTACAAGAATATTTCGAAAAATTGATTTAGTGCATCACATACACATATTTTGGCCAAAATTTTCTAGAATTTGTTAGAAATAAAGTGAGATTACAATTTGGGCTGTAAATGCCCCCATGTGCCACTGCTTGTGGTTTTGATCCCACAAACATACAATTTTATTCTTGTTAAAAATTGATTGATTCCAAAAAACACATTGGTTCTATGGGCAGATTTATAGCAAACTTACATTTTCACAAAAAGCTAGTTCAGCAAAAAGAGGATTTTTTAAGATAACTGCATGTGTGAGGAGTGATTTCCATGGCGATGGTGTATTTTGTGCATCAAAGACAACACCAAAGACATCATCTGCTGCTGAACTGAGTGTGACTGTTGGAACTGAAAAATGATATTAGAGAGCTTGAACATGGTTGTTTGTACATTCTGATATTTCTGGACAGTTATCAAATTTTGATAAGAAGAATATATGAAAATCGGACAAAAACAGATCATTTTAATGAAAATATATCATTTGGATCTAAAATGCAAACAGCCATTTCAGATTTCCATTTACACATGTCTGGCAAATTTGATTAGTCACAGTATTGGTAAGTAAATTTGTCATTTTCAAATATTAAATGGATGAAATGAATTAAAAGTATGTTTGTACCTTCTTTTTCTTGATTAACCAGTAATTCTAATGCTGGTGGTAGAGTTATCTCCTCTTCCTCTTCACTACTCCACTCTTCTGCAACATGAAATTATTTTTTGAATTAGCAGAAGTCAGGGCAGCATTGGATGTCAGATCATGCATGGGGCGTATGGTTACCTACAGAAGAAACGAAAAAACAAAATCTGCATAATGTTCGGACTTTTATGATAAATGAAAAAGAATAGTTACCAGTTTCCCGAGAATTTGTTACACCAATTTTAGAATATAATGACGATCTCACATCTTTCTTGGTCATAGTTTTATCTGGATTACTTGCCCCTTGAACACTAGGGGGAGCTAGTGATTTAGCGTCTGCATTCTCAATAACATAATGAAGATGGTCCCTCAAATGTCTACTATGAAAACAATGCAGTAATCCTTGAAGCTGCAAAAAAAAAACAATGCTAGTATAAAGGATTCTCAAAATGAAAGTGGTTATCCTTGTAAAATATGATAGAAACATCCAATTGCAATTTGTACTAAACAATTTTCATTTAACAAATCTAAATGCAAAAAATGTTGGCAACTGACCTGTTGCCGTGGAAACTGATGATACTGTGCAAACCAAACAAATGACAACCATTTATCAGATTTAGCACAAATCTCCAGGAATTTTGTAGATAATGGTAATTTTTGTAGATGACAGAAAATAACTGCCAACGTCCACTGTTCTCCAGCCTCAAAACTACAACTAAATAGAAATAGAAAGGTACATTATATACTACTTATTGTTGAATATCTTGAGTCCAAACCCAAAAATTTGATATATTTCCCAAAAAATTGAAATGAATGGAGTTTTACTTCTTACTATTCTGCACCATGTGGGCTAATGAAGACAGGCAACGCATGCAGAGTGCAATGAGGAAAATTTTGGTCTGCTCTTTTTTGATTTCCAACTGTCAGGGACATAAGGAGACATCCAGTCAGTTGTTTTCCACTGCATCGATAATCACGTTTGGATCATGCAATTGAAAGGAAATGAATCTGATTGGATGATGATGCTCTGTCTTGCAGACGATAAAACTATCGACGAAAAATATCAAGCTGGTTTGATATTATAAATCAAGTCGGCAATGCGATAATCTTGTCGTGCAAGGGCACTCGTGAGATTTTACTCAAGGTTCAAGTCGGCGACAAAAAGCGCTGACCAAGACAGTTTGTGTGCCTGCACCATAAGATTCAATAGCTTTATAACAACAAATTATATTATTAAATTATATTTTGAATATTTACCTTGGAATGTTTTTAGATTTTATATCAGCGCATAGAGCCTCCTCCAATAATATCAAAACTTTTGGTGAATATTTTCTTCGACTTCTTATATTAGCTTGCAGAAGTGAAACTGAAAAACAATTATTGATATCAAAACCTATCATGTTGGTAGCATAAATAGTTTAAAACAGACTAAGCTTTTATTTTTAAGAAAAAATATTTGAGAATGATTTATCAAAGTGTTTCAGACATAACTGCATATTATACCTAACCTATCGGGCTGGGTGATATTGGTTCAAGTTGATATAATGATATTAAGCATTAACATATCACGATATTTTTTAAGTATGGTATTTACTGGTTTTTAATACAAAATTTTCAGATCTGGATCTTATCTGGACAATAATTTGATGATTTATCATGATAACTCCCTAATATCACGATAGGGTGATATTTTTGATATTTTTTAATCAGACGATGCTGCGATATGAATTGCTATACTGCTATTTATCATGATACTGCCAGTATATCTCCCAGCCCTACTAAATTATTTATCAATCATAGCAGAATTGAATATCGACCAGTGGTTGATATTGATTTTTGAACAATTCATTCATTTCCTTCTGATACTACATTGGTGTGTGCGGTACCTTTAAACACCACAATGATAGGATATGGTCCATTATCAAACTTGAAGAGACTATATACTCACTTATTTCTTGTTCATTATTTTTCATGGTTATTTTATGTTTCTCAATGTTTGCTACCAGACCAGTATTTTTATGGTTTAAAATGGTGCTTGCTACTTGTAGAAATGTTCTGATTAAAATACTATCTTGGCCTAACATATCAACAAAAGCTACACATGAACTGGTTACTGCTGGTTTAGTGAAATTTTTTACTGCTACCCATAAACTGATACCACATGCTGTTTGTATTCTACATTAAGAGAAATAATACCAATTGTAACAAATTATTTCTTTTGATGTTTTTAAGAATAAATTGCTTAAAGGGACAGATGCACCATTTTGGAGGGTTGAGATCAGTCTTGAATATATGTAAATAGAAGTAAAATATATAAAATGGCATAATTCCTTTAAAAATATCTCAAAATAGGAATTTTACTCTATTTCTATATATGTCTTTTCTATATATCACAGACAAGTTGTCATTTTAACATTCAAACGCGGATAATTCTGGACACATGGATTTGAAGGCTCAAATTTTGATGGTGAGCTGTGAATACTATTACAGATTAGACTAAAGAATGATTGGTAAAAAAGAAAGGCGCATCTGTCCCTTTAAAATGTGTGTTCGAGGAAAACCATGCTCTATTATCAGCAATTGTACCATACTTGGATCACTTAACATGAAAGCCAAATAGAATCTAAGAGGATAATAGGTGGAGCTTAAGTGTGCTACAACCAGTCCATTTTGATGTTATTACACACTGGAAGTCTACCCCTTTTTTAACTCATGGCTTGCACAAGCCGTGTTCCTTCCTGTCATTTTGATCCTAAACAGCATGGCAGCCTTGTCTTATAATTAAAAGAAAGAACACATTGTTACATGTGCCTACCTTTTATTTGATAGTGTAGATGTTCCTGGTGACAGCTCCTCAGCCAAAAAGGAAAGAAAAGCATAGCATGGTCGCCCTTGCTTTAAATAATAGGTGAAGCGTAATTTTTCTGCATAAGCAAACTGTGAAACAAGTTCAGGTTGAGAGAAATATGGCAGTGTTTTCTGACAATCTGTAAAAACAAAACTCATTTTTCTTACAATATGGACACCCAATGGCATAATAAAGGAGGTAAGAGAATAAATGTACATTTCACAGGCATAAAATTCTACAAGGACAGTGACTGGCTTACTTCGTCTGAGTAATGTTTTGTCTAAAGATTGGCACAAGACGAAAAAGATTTGGGAATTTGGTCTGGTAAATACTGAATTTTTTTTTTAATCAAAATTGAAATTTCAAATCTTACCTTCTCCTGCCAACACATTAGAATCTTGCCAACCAAATAATCTTCTTACATCAAATGGAGCATTATCCTGGAAACAGAAATAAGAAGATTATAACTGTGTTTCCATTGAGGGAAAAAGCTAGCTTTCGTGTGTTTCCACTGGAGAAATTGCCGAACTGTTTGGGAACCGAAAATCTCTATTTTTGCTAGCTTAAAGCAGCACCAATCATGCTTAAGTTTCAGAAATGGGAATTCTTTTAGCTAAGCCAATCAGAAATAGTATTCACAGCTCACTGTCGATTTGAGCCTTCAAATCCATGTGTGTCCAGATTTATCTTTGTAAATTTAAGACACTCTGTGATATATAGAAAATACATAAATAGAAAAAGTGAGTAAAAATCCTTGTTTGAAGTATTTATAAAGGAATTACATTTTTAATACTTCTGAAAACTATTTACATATATTCAAGATTAAAAAAACCTCCCCCCCCAAAAAAAAAAATGTTATTTGTATTATTTTGAAATCTTACCTTTAACAACTGGTAAAGATTGATGTCACTATTTTGAGTGGATTCTCTAAATGATGGTATCAAAGCTGAATACAGTTTAGGAAATGGTTTTAACGCTGATTCTAAAACTTTGTTATCCATCTGGGAAAATATACCTCCTTCACCAATCACCTACAATTTGAAAATTCAAACCATGTGTGCCAAGACATCCTAATTTATATGAATGCTATGTGAACAAGCCCATTTAGATACACAATTGCTGCTAACCATCAAACCTCAACTAAACAGTAAATTAAAGTAATCATCACAGATAGATCTGCCTTTAGGAAGCATGGACACCAAAACATCTGTATGCTTAAGAAATAAGACAAAGATATTCAAATGTTTGATATTGACAATGTTTCGAAACATACCTGATGTATTGGAGAAGGTGAATAAGACATGGTTGCTATGGCAACTAAGGTGTGTCCTTGAACTATCATATCAGCAATATCAAGGTCAGAAGACCAAATGTATCTTCCAGATGAAAAACTTGCTTCAAATATTGCATTAGGGCCTAAAAATAAGATATCTAAAATCACGAAAGGCAACGATGAATTGAAGATAAGTCAAAGATAAATTTGTTATCTATATTTGCATCAAAGATTAAGCCAGCATTTGCAAGTGATTTTATAAATTTAAGTAGCTAACAAAATTATGCGATATATATATATATACGAGTCTGATGTTGCAATATTTTGACACTAAAGTTCATAGTTCAAAGGTTAATTCAAAGGTCAGATTGATTGATGCTACTATGATAGGGATCTGCACTTCTTTTCTTCTTATAAAGAATACATTTGGGTTTTTTTTTTCTCTAAAATATGGTTTAAGAAATGTAAACAAATGCACAAAAACAAAGAAAAACATCTTACATGTGGTAGATTGAGAAACTTGGAATAATTTAGTAAAATACTGAAACCATTTAATCATATCAGCATTTTCGATTTCTATTTTCTCTGGATTTAGTCTGTAAAAATCAATATATACAAATATATTTGACATAAACAAAGTGATTTTTGTTCAGACATGATTGACAAAATACAATCTGCCTGACTTTAAAGGGGGATTCCGCTTTTCAGTCAAAAATGTTGTAAATTATACCTGAAAATATTTCTAAAGTATGCTATTTATATCTATGTATCTATATATGGCCAGGGAACAGCTGGGTGAAACCAAGCTCAGATAGCAAACAGATATTACCTATGAAGAGAACAATAACTCCATAAGGGATGAACCAATTGATGATTGACACAATAGTTAATAAAGTATAGATGGAATAAATCAATGTCACTCCAGTCTGTTAGTGGGTGTGGTACTTGCAAAACTCCTCCCACTTTCACCAATTCTGACATTATTCTTGGCATATTGACATGGAGATCTTCACTGAACAAACCATTTCTGAAAATACAATCATAAAAATCTTAAATAACATAACAACTAGAAATTTTAACAACAACACTGGGAAATACACAGTTTAACATTCAACTGTGGATAATTTTGGACACACATGGATTTGAAAGCTAATTTTTTGACAGTGAGCTGTGAACACTATTACTGATAAACTCAGCTAAAATGTTTCCAGTTTCTGAGACTAAAGCATGATGGCCTAAAAATGGCCTATCTGTCCCTTCCCAAGATATAACCCTTGCATCCCAAAGATTGAACCTACCAAAAAATAAAGTGAAAATCTGCGATAATCCAAATATTGCTCGCTTCCTAAGAATAAACCCACAAAAATAAGAAGTGAGAATTATCAACTTTCCAAAAATTAGGATGTTTGTGTTCAGTTGCAACTAAAGAGTGAAACAAGTTGAAAGTGAACTGACAGGAAACTGATTAATTGTAAGGAAATAGCAAACCAATTCAACTTCATTTCCTTACATATTGTGTTCAATTTTGGAGAAGTGACTCTGACACAAGTCTTACCTTAGTAATTCAGTAATAATTTTAGTTGATAATAGACTACCACAGTATTTCAAACTAGACCATAACCATTGTATAACACTGTGTCTATCTTCTGTAGAACTAGAGTTGAATTGTTTAATGATAATGTCTAACAATAGTAAGGCCTCTGTTTTTAAATTGTGACTAAGGACGAACTTCCACAATAACTGATGATTTTTATATTCTTTCATGTTAAAATCTACAATAGAATATACAATTCTTTCAAAAACTTTTGTGGACGGAATTACGGAATTGGGTGATGCAAATATACATATTTCACATTGGCGTATTTAAAGCGATTGTCAAAGATTTTTGTCATTGGTATTTCTTGAGAACAAATGAAAAGCAGGTGAAGATATCTGTTACTAGGGTTCCAAATTACCAAATTGAGATAGATTATTGATGACTCGATAATCAAGTATTATTTAAAATATTTCAACTGAGAAACCATGTAATTTGTTATTTTTATGTCATTGAAGTATATCATTGCTTTGATCGATTATTATAGTTTATTGTGGGTAAGTTATGTGCTGAAGGGAAACTTTGTGCAAGAAATTACGACTTGTTAACGGGTACACTGAAAAAATATAACTTTGACATATATTTGATTATGAAATTTGATAATCGATAATCAAAATTTAAATTCATAGTGACAATAATCAATTAACCTAGACCTATTTACGACCACAGAATGGAGTGTTTAAATTGGAGGACAGATATTGGTCAAGTGTATATTTGTATTGTATGATCAAGTGCTGAATAAGAGAATGGGACTCATAATATGAAAGCAGACGACAAAATTATGGACCAAATTTACCATACCTGGTTTCATGATTTGGGTTTCCAACAAAACTCTCTCTTTACTTTCATTATCCCAGTACTGTAACCAATCTAATATAAACTCAGAATAGTGTCTACTATCTACTACAGAACTATTACTTTTACTATCAATATCACCATATAGACTAGTTAGATCTGGTGTATTACTTTTTGTATCAGTTAGTTTTAGATTATCATCAGACCACTGACTACTGAAAGTCAAAATTTATAGCAATAATGGAATTAAAAGTAGCAGCCATATTTTAAAACGATAACAATTCTAGTGAATTGATTGTGTGTTTATCTGATCTGCATTTTAAAATAAGGTAAAAATGTCTAATGACTATCCATAATAATTCAAGGCCAAAATGGGAAATGAAGTCAGTCAAAGAAAAGTGTTCCGTGTTGGCAATATCATGACAAATCTTATAAACATAACATTACAATATTTCGTTTTCTTTCAGAAATCATGACGTAGAGCAATATGGTATTTTGGTATTTGCTATCATTGTTATCAAGAAACAGATCCTACATGATACGCTTTGATTGGTTACAACAACATCATTGGAACATGATTGTGATAGATTACAGTGGAGACTAACCTTGATTGAGAAGTATTTTTGATTAAAAAAGCTTGTTGAAAGGAATGTTGTGGATAATGTTGATGTAAGAGAAAGGTAAACTTTATTAAATCAGCTTGATTCTGTGATATGACGTCTGATTTCAGTAACTCATTCAAAATAAACTTCTGCAACTGAAGATCTTTTACATATAGTACAATCTCCCATAGCTTCTCTTCATAGTCAAATCCCTACAAAAATATACAAATATACGTTTTGTTTTAAGCTATCATAAGCTATGCCCTGGTTGAAAGGGGAGACCCTTTGATGGGATGGATAAGCTAAACCACAATGCCAATTGGCGCCTAAATTCAAAGAATTTCATGAATTTCTTTGAGGTTCATTTACAGTTAAAGAGATCCTCCATTTCCAAAATTAGTATTCCTATAGCCCGACAAATCTGAACCTAACCAGATTCTCCAACGAGATATTCTAATGGGATATCGGAATTGGGTTTAGGGCCAGAAGTATAATGTTGATTTTCATGAGAGTTGTTCCAATCCATTTTGGGTTGCTAGCTTTGAGAATTTTCACCAGGACAAAAGCCCAATTTGGCAGAACTTTTGGTATCCATTCAAAGCTGAACAATCAATCCAGATATTGCCAAATATTCTGCTATGCCTCTGTGCCCTACACAATACCATAATACAGTCAAGGGGTATGTTTTTCCCTGCTTCATAAAAAATGGATCAGAGCAAATCCCATGACTATATGTCTAGTCCTAAAACCAGTTTCTATATCCTATCACGTCAGAGGTACTGGGTGAGGCCAGATTTGTCAGACTAGCTGTCACGTTGCATATTTTGTGTTTGAAACACATGATGGCGGCATGAGATGAGCTATAGTGGATTAAAAGCCTGTGTAAAAATATGAGAAAGAAATAATGTTATGTATTTACCAAACTAAGTAAGACAGTTTTAGCTTCACTTGTTTGATGTTTTTCAAGGTGATTTAAAGCTGTATTAACACCCATTTTAATAATATTACTATAGTCTGATTGTCTCCCTTGTTCTAAGAGTTGGTGCTGTAGATTGGGTAAATCATTCTCATTTACAGCTGCCTCTACTGCCACCTACAAAATAAATTGAAATAAAATCGAGTTTTGCATGACCTACATTTCTGCCTCCGTTGAAAGAAAGATAACAAACACCAACAGAATGAAAAACACAAAACCTTCACCCCTGGCCTTTCCAAAAGCAACTGTTAACAAGTAATCATCTAAACCACCCAACAACCACAACCCCATTTATATGCTCTCAGTACACATTCGATTAAAAATAAAAAAATAGACTTTTCTAAAAATATCTAAAATGTTCCAAAAAATAATTTGTGTTGATCACTAAAATTCTGTACAAACAAGCCAATTCCTTAAAATTGAGAGTAAAAGTTGTATAGCAGTGGACCATAGCAGAAGCACCATCAGGTGTTTCGAAAAGAGTAAGCATGGTCGGCTACAATCTTTTTCACGATAGTATAAGATTAAGAATTTCAAACAAACCTCGATAGGCTTATCTGAAGTAGCAACTGATTTCATGCTAGAATCTTGACTACCAATACTCTGTCCGTCTGCTACATCACTCAATCTAGAGCTTCTTCTTTCAATACCTTTAGACTCCACAAGTTTCAAACAACACCGTAATTCAGCTATCAAGGTCATCAATGAATCTAAAGCCAATTCCAAATTTTCTTTCTCATGCTTAGCAGACGCAGTTGAACCTAATGACCTTGATACATCAAGACCATCATGCAACAAGCTATATAAATAGTTTAAGGTCAAGGACAGTAGATTATGTGCAAAGTTTTTTGATTGATTGTCTGCTGCACATTCTTTCACTGTTTCAACCAATAGAAATAAAACTGGTTCTAAATTCTTGATGCTATCATGATGGTCATAGGTTGGTGTCCAAAGAGATGCCTCATCTTGATGCAGGGAAGGAGAAATGGGCAGACGTTGTCTTGACACTGAAAAAACTGGAATCAAAATGTTGTAATAAAAAAACAAACCAAATAAACATATATGCCTTAATTTCACAATCAAAATTTGATCTACTAATGCAGAGTAGTGCATCGTGGGATTTGTTTATTATATCTGGTTCAATCATAGCCAAGGTGATGAAAGTTCAAACCCAAAGCTTTAGATGAAATGGCAAACCAGTTCAGCATTCGATTGTGCATTATCTGATATTAGTTTGTGTGGAAATGTCAAAGTTTAGGTTTTTTAGGTAGTAAACTGAGTTCAGTTGACAAAATCGTCTCAGAGACGCACCATGAATTGTAGATCTTGTCCTACCCTATAGAGAAGCTCTAAAATAAAACAGTAAAAATAGTTCAACTTACTGTTTTCTTTGCTTTTCAAGAAGAAAGCAACTGTGTCTAATTGTCTATGTTTTAAACCAACTTCTAATGCTGGTATAGGTATAGAACCTCTCTCCCATTTATTTAAATGACACAGGTAATCAGCTGCCGTAGCCCCATCATATAACATCATCTAAAATAGGCGAAACATTCAGGATCTCGTTATCCTTCTGGAATTTATGACTCAAAATGATGAGCACGTCTCAAGCTAACAAAACAAGTTTCCATCATTAAAAGAATACTACATCTTAAAATGGACATAGAATATAAAGCATCAAACTTGGTCAATATGAGTATATATTCACTAGTTGGACTTATTAGGTACCATGACTAAAGAATAGAATCTATATAAGACGATATATCCATTAAACTAATAATCATTGATAACGCTTCTACTTAGTTAAATGAATTATTACTAAGTTTTATGGATTTATTGGATTATTAAATTCACTGATGAACAAAGACTCATTTTGACCAAGTTTAAAAATTTCAATTTATGATCATCCTAAGAGGTAGTATACCTTTAAGTTAAGTCCTCAGCAGGTTTGCTTGTTTGAAAATTTTCCATATTTGAAGTTCTTATTTGGCAATATATGATAATTTGCTGGACAGAAGAGAGAAGTCAACACCAAGAATATTCTAGAATTAAAATTATATCACAAATTCCCATAAAAGGGGAAAACAATCAAAAGTATACACTATTGTCCTGTCGGTTAACATTTCGGCTAATTGCCTTCTTCAGAAACACCTTAGAATTTTACCTTACTAACTAATACATCAGGTTGACTATTAGATATTACGTATATGATATATTGATGTGAGATTATAATATGAGGACTATCATTATCTTCTGATAGTAATACTAACTGGTCCCTTGGTATACTGAAATAAACATATAACTATCATTAAAGACAAATAGGGCTGGGTAAAATGATCGAAATAATCGATTATGGTCGCTTGGAATTTATAATCCTGATTATTGATTATCAAATTTCATAATTGATTAAATGTCAAAGTTACAATTTGTTCACTATACCTGTTAACAAGTAGAAATCTCTTCCACATGGGTTCCCTTCAGCACATAACTTACCCACAATAAACTACATGTATAATAACCCATCATAGCAATAATAATACTTCTATGACACAAAAATAAGTCATGAAACAATTTTGGCATGTTTCTAATTTAGTATTAACAGCGTTTTTCTATAAGAGAGTATCTCTTATAAAACCTTATACCGGTACTATGTTAAAAATAAAACTGAAATCTTTCACTCAAAAGTTCAAGTTACAGCATCCTCCTATGTAAATCTACATACCTTTGAGTAGAAAATGTCTTTTTCTCCATATCTATTATAGATACGGTCTGCATTGAATCATCTTCACACACAAATGATACAGTTTCATTACAAAATACAATACTAGTTACATTCAAAATGTCAAACTTTGGGTCTAAATTGAATGTCTGCAAATATTTTATATTTGATACAGAAATCTTTGGCTTCCTTTCTTTTTCAAATCCTGAAACTTTCGCATCTGTCTTTGAAGATTTTTCAAACAGTCTCTTATACCATGGCTCTGCCCTTTTGGATTGGTCTAGATTCAAGTTGGATACACTTTCACTCCACAATGCATCACCAGTTTGATATGTTTTTAAATTTGGAGAATAAGCTCTTCTGTCAGATGTCACTCCCAAATTATCTTCCAGAAGACACAACGGGTTGGTAACTAAGTAGTTTTTCAGGCTTAATCTATGTATTTTGGCACCATTTTTCAATACCATTTCTTCCATTTCTTGTGAAACTGTCCACCATGTTTGATCATGTATGTCCACACCTGATTTGTTTAAATTGATCCTCCATACAACTGTATTCAATAAAATATTCACAGAAGCTAATGCATGGTTAAGGCAGATAGTGAAAGCAGCCCTGTTGTAAAGCTGGGCACCAGTGCTCAAGTGAGAATTAAGCCTTAGCAAAACCCTCTTCAGTTCGGCAGTTCCAGTCGACTCAGGGAGCCACATTGTCTCAGTGAGTTAGATGCTTGCTCGCTAACCTGAAGGTCCTGGGTTCAATACTGGCACAGAGTACTACAGGCTGTGCACGTTAAAGATCCTTCGACAGTTGGAAATCAAAAGAGGACAGTCTAATGTCTTTTCCCTGATTGCAACCTGCATGGTATTGCCCATCTTCATTAGCCCACATGGTGCAGAAAGGTAAGGCGGTTTGATTAATGAAAAATCACTGTTAAACTGATTCAAATAAATCTGTTTGGATAATGTGAACCACTGGCTGAAACTATACAATTAAAACGGAAAAGTATAAATCACAAAATTTTAAAAAGGATACTAATTTCTTGAGTTGTTGACTGTAATACTATCAAAGTATCTGCTACAATTTTATAAGTACTATTAGTTGATAGTTGACTCAATGGTAAAAACATAACTTCAATGGTACCAGCTTCATTTTGGTTAATGGTTATAAATCTAGAGTTATTGATCAGATATAGTCCTAGATTGTTAATACAATGTACTATCTCTAACTCTTCTATATTACTAATACCTAAAATAACCCGGAAATCATAGCTGAGAAGATATTTTTAATATAAGGTTACTTCAAAAGCATTAACTCTGGCATAACATCTAAGGGATTTAGCCAGCTCCACATTTGTTATACCAGCTGATATAGTTAAATTTCATCTGTATGTAACTCTTTTTATTATGAAAATCTGACACTTTGTTCACCTGCAATTAAGTAAAAGTCTACTACATCAGTTTAGACTTGATGATTTAGAGACATACACACATTTAGTTATTAACAATGAGGTACCTGACAGCACATGACAAAGTCAAAGTCTTTAAATTCTGAAAATTGATATTGATAGCTTGCTACAGTTAGGTAAATATCTAGATGAAATTATTGACACATTTTGTTCTTATATCCCCATCACAGTTTACAATACAAACATTAGCAGTAAGAGATGAACTACTTTCCATTTGGTTCCCTAGGGAAATGAGTCAAAAATCAAATCTTAGATCTTATATCCTGACAAATACTCAAAACAACCCTTAATTAAACAACTGTGGCTCCATTCTTCGATATCACTGATTCAGATTCAGATATTCTGACAGACCACTAAAAGAGGTACTTCGTTCAGGAATAACTGATGATGCAACTTGATTTATCAAGTCGGCATCTTTCCTGCAAGTCCATAAATCATATTTTTCATATGGTATAATTCCTTTTGACAATCTTGTGAATAAAAAAATCCCTATTTGTATCAATCAATATGATTTCTTATGAAAAAAAACTCTTAATGTACAAACCTTTTTGTGTCAGTATTTGATGCCATTGAGTAAAGTTGATATTTAATGTATTAATAAATGATTTATTATGTGGTGTATATGTGTAATATACAATATTCTTCTCATTATCAACTCCTAGTATTTTCTTATTCTTCACATCACAACTAAAACTATACATATCAACAATTACAACATTATTTCTACGTTATATTTTCTTCACGCTTTGAGTAGGGGCAATCTACTTTTGTTCAATAACATTCTCTCCATCAAAATCAGTTTTAAGGGTTTTCATGTAGCTTGATGGGTTTTGGGAAGCAAATTGTGACAACATATACAGTCGAGTAACCTAATTTCGTGGAAACCTATTATTCGTGGATTTCCGGAAAGGATTAATAATTTACATGAGCGACCTTGCGCAACCTCCGCATTAGTTTGTTTTGATAAACATGGGTTTTCTCTACAATGTCAGCTAGTAGAATGAATCCAGTAGTTGCCAGCAAGGTAAAATGTATTAATGTATACTTTGACAAATACAAAATGGCGGATTTCAGTTATTACCAAACGTCACCATTTTTTATCGGCCGAATTTCCTTATAATCCCAAGCGGTAATCAGAATTTCAAGTGTCGTCTGCTAGAATATATTTCAACGAATAAAGTCACGTGCTCAACTAGCAGTTTCTGTGTCATCAGAAAATAGCTATGGAACACAAAGTGGACCATATTCTTATGTTGTTTCAGTGACTTTTAGCAATAAATCACGCTACGTATCTTATTTTGTCAGTCACTATTTTATTTTAAATCGTGGTTCTTTGAAGGAATTGTCACTAGTTATAATGAATTGATATTAAAGATAAATACTAAGAGAAGTTAATTATACCATCCGGTATCGATACAACGTATTTTTCTAGACTTATTTATAGATCAAACATTGTACACGAAAATAGGTGAAGCATTCTGCTGCCATTGCCGAGTTGGTTGTTCATGAAATATGGGTCAAAATGAAGGATTCATAAAGAAAATCGAAATAAACCAATTTTAATTATTTTGTAGAATATCTGAGGAAAAATCTAAGACATAAAAAAAAAATTTCGTTTTTTTAACCTTGACGAAATTTGGTGTTGAATCCTTATATCCACGAAAATAGGTTACACCACTGTATGGCTTGAGTACTTGCTAAATTTCAATGAAGTCAAGGAAGGGTTCAACATGGCTTATGGTTTTCAAAACTCCTTTTAGTTTTAACACCAGTCAGTGTTAGATGGTGATGAGAACATAGTCTCAAGAAAGCACAGGCCTGGGTCACAAAGTAAAGATTTATGATAAAACAAGGTGCAGATAATTAGATACGTTAATGATAGAGATGGGAAAGTTTATCCTCAGCTCTATGTGCTACAAAGGTTGCATGTTATTTCAGGCTATCATTGTGAAAGACAGGAGGTTTGAACTGCTGTATTGGCAAGAGTTCACTATTCACTGCTGAACATTAGCCCAAATTAAAAGATACTGGTGCCAGTTTGTATACCTCTTCAAGCCAGGGTTGATGCAAATGTTACTTTTAGAGCCTGCATTGATCAAAACTGCGTCTAAACTGCCATTTTGTTGATAGACAATGATAAATTTTCCAGTCGAATCTAATCTACATTTGTTTGCAGAAGTCACACTAACTGCATCGCCCAATCGAGCTATTCTACATTGCAAATTTGAAGTATTTTCCTCCAGGTAAAGTTCATCCATCCTGTAGGCTGCCATTTTAGGTGTCACATGATTAACATTGTCATTTGGGAGAATTCATTTAGGCGAGGGAATTTAGTTTTCATTAAAATGTCTGAAATTATTTCCAGTTGAATTGTACGTTTTTTATTTTTCCGAAGAATAAATAGGGTTTTCGTGAGCTTCAGATTTTAGAGGCATCAAATATGAAAACTTAATTCGGGATAAAAGTTTTCATAGTTACTTATTTGTATAATACTGAAAAATATTTTTTGGATACGCTTTGCTAATAGTTACGTTGTAAAATTGTGAATAGTCTTTCTGCGTCCGCATACAATATATCTTGTGAAATATATTTTTTTAAATAATTTTTTTACTTTCTTGTATTGTTTACTTTTTTGAATAAAAAAAAGTCATTTCAAATCATAAGTGGTTGCTGAAATGATTGTAGTACATTTTTTAAGCAAAGAACTACTTTCTTAGACTAATGGATGAATATGGTAAACATGAACCTTGACCCGATGGCGAAAGAAATACACAAATGCAAGAAAGAGAAGCTCGATTATTCTAAGCCAAAACAACTTGCATTGCGGATCATTTGAGAAATCTAGATATGAGTTCAATCCAAAAAACAGTCTACACATTTTGTTCAAATTTCCAAAACAGGCATTTCATTTTTCACGCAAATTTTACAAATTTTCTGAACAGAACATATTTTGTTCCAAAACGCTACTTTCGATTTTCTGGACATGTCAAGTCTTTGTGGGAACCAGAAAAAATAAACAATATTGAAGCTAAACCTAAAGCTTTCCCCATCTTGACAGTAGACATAGATAAATCCGAAAAATTTGACAGAAATAAAAGCCAATATTTATTGAAGGAGAAAGAATATGAGCAAGTTTTAAATTTGGCATCTATGGGAGGAGGTGAAAAGGCCATCCACAGGCATGTCCTAAAGCAAAAGAAAATGCTGGTCAATGATAGAATAAAGTGTTTACTAGACAGTGATTCACGGTTTTTAGAACTATCTGTTATTGGTGGAATGGGAATGAAATATGGTGATGTACCAAGAACTGGCATAGTCACAGGTTACTGGGCTTTAAACCTACCAGTTAATAAACATGATAATTTTTTCAAATGGCTTTACAATAATTTCTCATCAGGTTAAAAGGGTTAGATGGTACATTTTTTGATCAATCGTACTTTAGTCACAGTAACAGGAATTTTTTAGCTAAGCCAATCAGAGATAATGTCACAGCTCATTTGAGCCTTCAAATCCATATGTGTTTAGAATTATCTGTGTTTGAAGGTTATAAAGACTAGTCGTCTTTTCTTGAGACACTGCCTGTATAGAAAAAACATATTTAAAACTTGTGAGTGAAATTCCTAGTTTGAAGTATCTTTAAAGGAATTATGCAATTATTGTACACTCCTAGTACTTCTGAAGACCTATTATGAATATTCAAGACCAAAATTAATCCCCGAAAATGGCAAATCTGTCCCTTTAAGCTTGAAGTGTATAATTTCAGGTATTGGTAAAGTTTGTAGTAAATACTGTATGATTATAGCTAATGATGCAACAGTAAAAGGTGGTTCTGTTTATCCTATAACATTAAAGAAACAACTGCGAGCCCAAGAAATAGCTCAACAGAATGGTCTGCCATGTTTTTATATTGTGGAATCAGGTGGAGCTTTTTTACCCCTTCAGGTAATTTTTTACTGGATAGTAATTGAACATGTCATGGTATATCAAGGGTTTTGTATGACAGTCAGTTCTAATCTGAGACGTTGACCTTGAATTTTTTATCTTCACTCATAATTCTAGTCAATCCAGCTGTAAATAGGTACAGTAATCCAGAAAAGAGGTTGGGCCAAGTACCAGATGTTTTTAAATGAACCTAAGTCTGTATCCATGTAAAATGTAGTTCTTTAACTTGTCCCTACTCTCTGACCACAGTGATTTGTGTTTTGAATTTTATAAGTCATTCCACTATTGTCTATTCCAAAATTTTCAAATTTGCATTAGAAAGTCATTATGAATACATACTTTAATATGAATATTTGGTTGTTATTTTACTTTGATCTAAGCACATTTACCAGAAATTTTAGTGAAAATTGCCCTCTAAATTTATATTTAGTGATATTGATGTCTTTAATTGAGATTTTCATGAACAATTTAATAATCTATAGAGTTGTCAATTCAATTCATATAGAAATGAAAAAAAAATTAAAATTTATTATGTGGTTGGATATTCTGTTTTTGTAATATTTTTTGTCAAATGCTGACTTGTTTAAGCTAAGGACAGACTGGGCGATTTTTATTCGCTGGTACTATGACCGAATTTATTTCGGCCAATGCAGTAGCACTGGACACCTTAGGCGAAGTTCGCTGGCGATTGACTTGCTCAAACCATTCGCCATGAAAATTCGCCCAGTCTGTTCGCAGCTTTAGAGCACATATCTTTGTTTTCAGGCAGAGATATTTAATCCTGGTGGTCAGACATTTTATAATGAAGCTATAATGTCTTCTCTTAATATACCTCAAGTAAGTAGATATCTTAACCATATTTACTATTTTATCAAATACGATTCTGATCAATATGATATATCATTGAGTGGACAATGGACATTAAAAATATATTTTGAAATATTTATTACAAAATAGTTATTGAATGAAGATTTTGAAATAAAGGTTATAATAAGAAAAACTTTTGCAAATAATTTTTAAAGAAAGGTATTACATAATGGAGAGACAAAAATTGAGCCCACAAATTAAAAGAAACCATATAAAACAAGAAATATTTGTCAAAAAGTCAAAACTATCTATATGATATTTTTCTGATTCTATGCGAGAGGCAGTTGAATAGCTTAGTTGAGTCTGAAAAAAAATTTAATACTTATAATTTAGTTTTACCAATTTAACTATTTTACTCTTTATTATTATTGAAACCACGAAAATTTGCCCCCCCCCCCCCAATAGGCCTATTGATGACTTCATAATTTATCCCTGTAAGTCATGTTTATTATAGTTAGCTATAGTATGTGGAAGTTGTACAGCTGGAGGTGCATACATTCCTACCATGGCTCAAGAAGCAGTTATAGTACACAAATCTGGTACCATTTTTCTAGGTGGTCCACCATTAGTCAAAGCTGCTCTAGGTGAAATAGTGAGTGCTGAAGAACTTGGTGGTGCTACATTACATTGCAGGTAACTTATTCTTAATCTAATACAATTCTTTTATTATCATTTGCAACATGTCATTCGAAAGGTTATGTAGCACAGTTGGTTACAGCATATGAAACTTTATTTTGCTTGGTTCCCCAAAACATAGTGATAACGGATTCTAATCTTGTGCATGTGAAAGTCTGGTGTTTACCTGGTTTGACCTTGAATAAATCAAGGATCCTCTTGAACCTAAGTTGTTATCCTTTCTTCAAAAAGAGAGCAGAAATTTTCATTATTTTATTTTGGACTTTTTGTTTGACTAAACTAGCAGCAATGAATGAAAGACTTGAAGGCAAAGCATTTGGGAATATGAATATTTTCATTGGAAATTTTGTATTAAAATATTTATTTTAGGAATATTTTCATTGGAATTTTGGATTAAAATCTGTTTATTTTTTTTAATACAGTACAAGTGGGTATACAGATTATTTTGCTGAAAATGAAAAAGAAGCTCTAAGAATGGGAAGAGATATAATGGAAAGTTTAAATATTGATGATAAATCTATTAGTGGAAGACAGAAAGATGTGATAGAACCACAATATGATATAAATGATATACCAGGTTTTATATCTGATGATAATAATATAGACATTTATCAGGTATATAGTGATAGTGATATGATAGTGATATGATAGTGATAATGATATGATAGTGATATGATAGTGATAGTGATAGTGATAGTGATAGTGATATGATATGATATGATATGATATGATATGAAATGAAAATTAGGATATGATATGAAAATTAGGATATGATATGATATGATAGGCCTACATGATATAATAGGATATGATTTTGATTTGGACAGTAAAAGGGGTTTTATACTAATCTAAATATTCAGCCTAAAGAGCCCGATTTCAGCTCTCCATATCTCTTTTCAAACTTAGAATCTGATCGGGGGTTCTCCTACATTCAACAAATGTGTAATGCATCAATTTCATCACTTTCAGGTCATGATGAACATTCCACTGTGCATTTATTTCCATATATTGTAGACGAACCATTCTTCGGATTTAGAAATGCTACAGATAGCTGAAAATAAGCTTGTTGACTACGTGTTTATCACTTTATAATACCATATATATTTTGCCTGTAGGTAATAGCTAGGATAGTTGATGACAGTAGATACCATGAATTTAAAAAGATGTATGGTACAACATTGAAATGTGGATTCTCTTATTTAAATGGGTATGTTAATTAATCTCTAATTAGTATATATAAGATAGCTTACTTAGTCCACTTTGTCTTGATAATGAGTAATTATAATGGACTATTTTTTTTTTTTTTAAATATACACAAATAAAGTTTTAAACAAAAACAAAGATTTCTCCCTTGTCCTTAATGGAAAAAATGAAATCAGTTTTAAAATATTAACAGACTTTTTAATTATGCTTGTGCATACTCCCCCTTTCATTCTTCATTTTACAAATTCCAATGCTATTAAATAAACCTTTCTTTACTAGACCGGAAAAAAACTATTTTTAACCTGTATTGTTCATGGTGACTTGGTGTGAACTGTTCACATTAATCTAATTAACTAATCAGTGATTAAAGTAGGCCTTCATGTAATTAAGCATGTCATTACTTGAATCATGTCATGTTAAAGTCAGACAGAGTTATAACATGCCAGTGTCAGACAAATGTTGAGTCATATCATGCTAGTGTCACACAAATGTTGAGTCATGTCTTGCTAGTGTCAGACAAACATTCATTCATGCCATACCAAAATGCAGGATATAAAAAGCAAGATTACATTTCCAAATCATATCATATCCAAATTTGTAAACAGTAAACATTTATTTGAAACAGAAACTTAAGATGGCTGTAAAAATTGTCTTGTGTTTAATTTTGGTGTCAGCCATGACAGTTTGGTGTGTTGATCCACCAAGTTGGTTTGGAAGATCTTTAAAAGTAGTTCAAACACAGAAACATAATGAAGAATATAATGTTATTCCCTTAATGCCTCAAGGAGAAAATTGGATGGCGTCTGCAATGGTGGAAGCAAGTCCATTTTCTAATGTTAGACCCAACTTAGAAGATTTCAAAGATAACAGTGTGAAATATGAGTTGGTAATACCAGAAGCAGACGACAGCGAAGAGATTGAAGAAATTGAGTGCCAAAATGGAGGTAGACTGCTAATGAGAAGCTTTTGTCAGTGTCCTGGTGATTTTTATGGTAAATTTTGTCAACACCAATCAAAAAATAGATCATGTGGTCGAATTATTCATGGTGCATGGCTGGAAACAGATTGTAATTTATGCCGTTGCTATGATGGTTTATTTCATTGTATTCCTACACCCGAAACAGATTGTTATTCTCCAAGACCAAAGTACCAGCAGTTTTTTGTATATCCTTCCAAGCCTCATAGGAACTTAATGTTTGAAAATGTAGATTCCGGTTCATCTTTAAAATTCCTATCCTCTGTATGTGTAATTTCTTTTGTTGCTATGGTATTTTTGTTATGATTGTTATAATGGTTGTTATCCTTTGTTATTTTTTGTTATTTGTTTAATACTTTAAATAGACTCATGAAAATATCAAATAAAACTTAAAAGTAGAATTCTTTCTGTTTTTGTGTGCTTTCATTCATAGATGCTTAATCAATTGAGTGAAATCATCTTCAAAATGGTCAAGGTATTAGTCATATTACGAACTTCGACTTATACATTGACCAATGGCCACCTTTCATGTCTCTCCGAAGTTTGTAAATGCAGTGATTTGATTGGATTGTACGCTAGTGAATACAGTAAATAAGAGACTTAGACAGAATATATGTAAATAAATATGCCATAATGTTTACAGACTTTCTGTCAAGAGCTCTGATTGGCTGTATTCGCTGATTGGCTGTATTCGCTGGTGTACAATCCAATCACATTGCTATATTTCGTGATAAAAGAACAATGGCTATTGTAGTCAAAGTGGAATGGAGTCCAAGCATAATTCAAACATTAAGCAGATTTTCTGCTGCTGATTTGAAGGAGCATTTCAAGATACATTTAATATGAGTAAAAAGGCAATAAATAAAAGGTTATCTAAGTGATTTTGGTTTAAGTGTTAAAGTCTGGTAACCTTGAATAAGTTGTTTTTCCTCATAATCCATTATTGGATGTTGATCATAATTATTATTTACCTGACTGTAAATAGGTAGTACAGATAATCTCTGAAAGGACAATGTGCTAAGAGGTTTGACTATGGACCATAATTGGTAGAAAGGATCTTCATGAACCTAAGTTGTTATCCTTGAAAACAATGATTGTGCCTCTCTTTCTATGACTCTACTTACTCTTACAGGGACATTCCACTTTTTTTGTGCTCAAATTTGTGAAAACTATAACCAAAATTTATAGCCATTATAAAGCTAATCACCAAAACTAGGTCAAACTGCTTAATTAACAATTAGTACTCTTAGTTTTTAATTAACCCTTTTAAAACAAATTCAGTTTAATCAAGTAGATTCATAGATATAAATAGCATAGGTATAATTTAGGACGTTTTTTGATAATGTCGAAAATGTTTTACAAAAAAAGCGGAATTGCCCCTTTCAGATGTTGAATTGAATGATTTGGTATGATTTTTATGCTGGGCAGTCATTATTAGATACAACTTTTTTTATTTTTCAGTTATTTAGTAGGTATTATTGGAAATCAGGGACCAGTAACAGAAGAAGCAGCCTTAAAAGGCAGCCATTTTGTACAATTGTGTAGTGAAAGGAATATTTCATTAATATTTCTACAAAATACACCTTTAACTGATGAACATAGTATAGGTACGTAAATTAATCATATTTTAGCTCAGGGGCAAACTTAAGGACATCTTAAGACTAATGACATGCAACTTAATTTAATCAATCAGAAATTACACTAGTGTTAGATGGTGATGAGAATATAGTCTTATGAAAGCACTGGCCTAGGTCACAAAGTAAAGATTTATCATAAAACACGGTGCAAGTTAAAGGTTAAGATAATAAGATACGTTGACTAAGGATGTCTCTGTAATACTATCTGTGTTAATAGTCAAGTAAACAAACGATTGTATCACAAAGAGGTTTTTAACACAGCCTTATAAAAGGGTATTAAACTAAATCTGCCACACTTTGTTTTGTGGTCGTTGAAATGAGATTGGTACTATTTGTATCTGACCAATCAGAAGGCACTTAACAAAAATGTAGAATGGGTAAACAAAACACAGTACATTGTTAATGTATGGAAATACTAAAATCATTTTTATACGCCCACATCTCTCTATGTGGACGTATATTGTCGGCACCCCTGTCCGTCCGTCGGTCTGTCCTTCCGTCCGTCAACATTTACTTGTAAACGCTCTTAAAACTAGATCTTATGATGGAATCAAATGAAATTCTGTATGTGTATACTTATTCATAAAACGAGGATCAAGTTCGAATTTGAGCTATTTTCGATCGTTAGTAGCAGAGTTATTGCCCTTGCCCCAAAATCTTGAATATGTTATTACTCTCTTAGTTTTCAACTGATTTTGATGAAACTTAAAATAGATGTTTCGTTTTTACCAACCGCATGCCGTGGTGGGCGTATATGGCTGTGGTCCACTATCTTTAGGTTTCGAATCATACAGTTTATTAAAAGCTCAGGGCAAATTGATGGCAGCAGTATCCTGTTCCATGGTGCCAAAAATAACAGTTAAAATAGGCAATTGTTATGGTTCAACTCATTATATGATGGTTAGTAAAGTGAATTTGTCTTCCAATAATAAGGGGACATAGGTAAAAATAACATGAATTGTATTAAAATTCTTTCTCCTTATGTACACAGATTCATAAGTTTTGTTAACAATGTAAAAATATTCTTGATTTTTAAATTATTTTCATTGTCTATAGAGGGAGTTTTATGATCTTCATTTTGAATTTATTTGAAAACGGTTTGAATGCTTGTATGACTCCAGCCATGTTTTTATGACTCCAGTCATGCTTTTATGACTCCAGTCATGCTTTTATGACTCCAGTCATGCTTGTATGACTCCAGTCATGCTTGTATGACATAAAAAACTATCTCTATCTTTCAGGGAGGAAAATGCATGAGTCCTAATTTTATTTTTAGTTGGCCAAATTCTTCTCTGGGTTTAATGAATCCAGAAATGTTGGCTCAAGAATTGCTTAAGGTAGGGATTTAAATTTGTATAAGACAAGATTCTCAGCAAAATATTGTTCTTAATGAAATTAAAAACTGTAAAAACATTGAAATTTGTACTTGAGATCATTTCCAAGATGTTCGATTTTAATGTGATTGTACATTTGTTTTCCATTCTCACATATCCATCTATAGGCTAAAATCTAAATATGACATCTTAAAGGCAATGGTCACCATTTTGGGGGGTTGATTTGGGTCTTGAATATACATATAATAGTCTTCAGAAGTACTAGAAAATTGCAACTAGGAATTTCCCTTCCTTTCAAATGCAGATAATTCTGGAGCTGTGAACTACTGATCTTAGCTTAGCTTAGTTTCTGAGACTAAGATACAATTGCCCAAACGAATGGTGAATCTGTCCCTTTAATGTTTAAACTTCTAAATTATTTTTATTTTTTTGTGATTTCTATTTGGTTCAGGGAAAAACAGATCAGCTAGATACAGAAGAATTCCAAAATCAAGAGAGAGAGACAAGATATAAATTGAGCAAGAAAATGGCAGCTAGTTCTACTTCAGCTAATTTATTAGATGATGGCATTATTAAACCTCAAGACACACGAAAAGTAAGACACTTAATCCATCATATTGTCACTTTTATTTTTATTGTATTGTGCCATGTTTACACAAGAATCTTTTCCTAATTACTGGGTGTTCAGTGGCGGTGCCAGTGGGGTTATTTGTCCCCTTAGAAAAATGGTACCCCGACTTTATTTCGACAAATCTACCTTTTTTCTCCAAAATATGTGTCAGAATGCACAAAATCAATTCATTTTTTTTAACATTTTCTTGAGAGAACCCTGTAAGACTCTCTATGAGAGGCTGGCGACTATGACACCATCACAGGGTAACCAAAATTTGAATTCAGTCTGAGCAGTTGTCCAACCATTGAGGTAGTCTGACCCTTATTTGTACCCCCAGTCTTGGAAGGAACTACTGCCAGTGTTAGGATAAATATGGCCAATATTGAAGCAGTCTGGCTGAAATCATCAGTACTTGGTAATCTAGCTTGCATGGAGTCAGAAAAGCACACATTCTTCATTATTTGCAGCCAAGTTCCACCTACATAATACAGAAAGATTTCTGTTGCTTCCACATAGACCAGTCTGTATATTCAGTTGCCTAATTAGTTTTTCTATTAAAGTTGTGTTAATAAGATTTAAATGGACAGTTTCACCATTTGATTTGGATCTTGTAATATATGTTATCAGTCTTCAGAAGTACGAAAATCTCATTATTCCTTCAAAAATACCTCAAACTAGGAATTTCTCTGACTTTTCTATTTTTGGCAGAGTCTCGAGAAAGGACGAGTCATCTTTTTAACTTTCCAATGCTGATAATTAAGGACACACTATGAAGGCTCAATTATGGACGGTGAGCTGTGAACACTATTACTGATTAGATAAGCTAAAAAAAACTCTTGAGACTAAGGTATAATTGGTCAACAGATGGCAAACCTGTCCCTTTAAAATCTATCCTTTTCCATATTATGTATTTTCCAAACATGTGGAATTCAGTTATATGAAAGACAACCCTAAAATAGGCTACAGCTTCAACAGTGTGCAACATTTATGGAGATGTACCTCATATAGTGTTGCTAAAGGATATTGCTGTTTTGATTTCCCATTTGAGCAACAAATCTTGAGAAATATTTATAGATTTTGTACTTTTTTTTGTTTTGGTTAGGTATTGGCTGAATGTTTACAGATTGTTCATGCTTATCTACCTCAAACAACAACTACAGAGTATCCAGTTTTCAGAATGTAAACAAAACAGTGTGTTTAAAGAATTCATGTTCTTGCCCCATTTGGTCCACAAATTTCCTATGACTGCTTTCATTTGATGAAAACAGTGTAAAAATAAGAAAAATCAGCTTAGCCACAATATGCTTAAATTAGAACACATGCATGATTTGAGTAGGACAAACAATAGTTCTATGGACAAACCACTCTTGCAATTGGTAAAATTGATGCAACCCCACATCATGGCCGATCTCTGCTATTCAGTTTCAGTGGAACAGTGTAACAAACAGTAAATTGCTAATATCATGATAATCAATGTTTCATTTCGGTGCCCATTCATTTAATACAATTAAAGAGATTGCAAAGAGGTTTTCTAAATTTTTATGTGCATCAGGGACACTGATAGCATCAATTTGCACCATTCCAATTCTCAGTCAGACATCTGCGGTTTCTGTAATTTCACTAAGACTAAGTGTTTGATGACATGCGAAGGCCCTAAGTGATAAAGCATATTTTGCAATTAGTAACGTCATTTCACACATTTTTGGAATTGCAGGAACCACAGACATCTAACTAAAGATAGTAGACTACAGCCATCTATGCCAACCACGGCATGCGGATGGTAAATATTCAAGATTTTGGGGCAAGGGCCATAACTCTGCTTGTAAAAATAGCTTGATCTTCGTTTTATGAATATGTATACACATACCGAATTTCATATGATTCCTTCTAGTTATTAGAGCGTTTACAAGCAAATGTTGACGGACGGACAGACGGGGGTGCCGACAATATACGTCCACATAGAGAGATGTGGGCGTATAAAAATTGGAAAAAATTAATGCCAACAGTGTTCCCTATACATATAAATTTTTGTTAGAAAACCGTTTACACAATACCTTTAAGGTATGACATTTAATAGCTGACATTTAATTAAAGACTTCAGCAGTTGACATGTTTTGTTTTTTTTTAATGGAAAATATCTATAAAATATAATTGACAATGTTAAATTGAAAAATAAATTAAAAAAACATTAACAAAACAAAAATAGTTTTAATTTTTTTGAGCAGGAATATCATGAATATTTAGTCCTATATTAGAAAGTTAACCTCCAAAGATAGCTTTCCTGATGAAGATTTTATATCCTAAACATGCTTAGATAGCATGAGATGGGCTGTGACAAGACATTTACAAGGAACTATCAATACACCAAATGATGGCCCCAGTCAAAGAAGGGAATTAAGGATGGGAAAACAATCTTGCCCTAGCCATTATTCACATGTGCAGATATTACCTTTACGAGTCATGGATAATAACCACCAATGAGGATGTCAACGATGATACAGGTAGCTGAAATTGAGCTCTATTAACTGATTAATCAATTCTGTAGATGAATACATTTTTTTTTTTCACACACTAAATTTTAATCTAACTTTTTGGTCAAAAGAATTGTGCATCATCAGACATTCAATTACGAGATTCAAACTGAACTATATTGCATGTATGAAAATTAAACAGAATATACAACTGGCATAGTTGTTTTCAATTTATTTTAGTCTTCAAGCCTTGAAATTCAAAGACATTTGTGACTATCTGGGAACAAGTAGGTCAAACATGAGCAGTCAACTTTTCTTTTCATTATCAAAAATATCATAAATTATACCTGAAAATATTTCTAAAGTATGCTATTTATATCTATGTATCAACTTGATTAAACTGACTTTGTTTTAAAAGGGTTAATTAGAAACGGAGAGTACTAATTGTTAATTAAGCAGTTTGACTTTTTTGACAGTTTTGGTGTAATGACTTAACATTATTAATTGAAACCTTCAGGATAAGTAGCAGGGATATTTCTCTCCAATTAGACGTTTGTTAAATCCATACAGTAGTTTTCTTACACTCTTCCGAAAAGCTTAAATGGATATACATCATTTTGTGTCTTGATATATGTTAATAGTCTTCAAAAGTAGTAGAATAATAAGGAATAATTCCTTCAAAAAATATATCAATCTAGAAATTCATTTCCAATTTCTATGTCTTTTCTATATATGGCATTGTCTTAAGAAAAGACGAGTCGTTTCTGACACTATATGATTGGACAAGTCAATGGCACATCTGTCCCTTTATTGTTCTTATGTAAACTTTTTAAATAGTTTCAATAATTACATGTATTTATTCTACCTAAAAAGGAAAGTAGACTAGTCCTGTTAACACAATTTGTACCCAGATGTGCACCAATATAATTTCTAGACTAACTATATACTATTATGGTATGGGTAAAGTCACATATTATCTGGCTTTCTTGATATAAGCTTGATAGTAAAAATTAAGAAATAAAGATAAAAATGTCGTGGAATATACAATTCCAAATCCTGATATTAGGCGTGGATATCCACAAGGCACCATAAAAGAATAAGTTAGGTATGTTGTTGCTAATATAAATTGTACCTGAAAATATGAAAAGATTGAAAATGGTTAATAAATGACTTGACTTTTCTTTTTTGATATCTTCTCATAATTTACTATAATAAATATTTAGTTATGCATCCTTATTAAAAAAAATAAATAAATTGTTAAATAGTTCTGTTAAATGCCAGTCAAGAACATATAATATAATATTAAAGGGATTGTAAAGAGGTTTTCGAAATTTGTTGAGGCAGCATAAAGTTGCATCATTCCAATTTTCAAGAAGTCTATGGTTCCTGCAATTGCATAGAGACCTAACAAATACAGAGATGCTTTGCAACAATTACAGCTTGCCTTTTCAACAAGTTCATAGAGCCATGCTCAAGCGCTGCAAGAGGGTCATATCAACACTTTCAGAGTGTCAGATAAATAAAACTCAGGCTTTGAACCAAAATTGCAGAGGTTTTAATGCATGATCAACAAATTCTGTATTACAAAAATAGTAATCAACAATTGCAGATTGACTAATCAACAATTGCAGAGTGTATAATCAACAATTAGGGTGTTTCAAATAGAATTACAGAGTGTCTTATGATGAACAATTGTAGTTTGGCAAATAAACAATTTAAGACCCGTTGAATAACAACTACAGAGCGCGTTATTACAACAATACATAGTGTCAGTATGATATAAACTAAGAAATTAAGCTAAAAACTTACAATTTGTAAACGAGTCAGGTATTTTTTCCACCAGAGGTATTTTTGCATGTGAGGTCCTAATGCTGCTAAGCCATAATATGAATACATTAATATGTGTATGCAACAGTTCATTAAAGCTGGGAAGAATTCTGAAATTTCAAATCATGAGATGAAATAAAATTTTATTTAACACTGTTTTTCTGCACCTTCTGGGTTTAGTGTTAATGGTTTCTCGAAACCATGCAGTGTGCAATGACCTTTCTTTTGCAAAAACTAACTGTAAAATACACTTAACATAAAATGCATAATAAGGCCAAGACTTGACCTGATGTTTTCACATTTAAAATGGAAAGTATGACCCATTTTAAAGGGACAGATTCGCTATTTTTCAGGGGTTGATTAGGGTCTTGAATATATGTAAATAGTCTTCAGAAGTACTAGAAATGTATGAAAACTGCATAATCCCTTCAAATATACTTCAAACTAGGAATTTCACTTTCTATTTAATTGTCGTCATTTTAACTTTCAAACACAGGTAATTCTGGACACACATGGATTTGAAGGCTCAAATTTGGACAGTGAGCTCTGAACACTATTACTGATTAATAGCTTAGCTAATCCCGATTCCGAGACTAAGTAGTTTCATCAAACGGTGCGACACTGTCCCTTGACATGACTAAACAGTAGACTATCATTGCCATTTGCCACTGCTTACTGTTCTATTATATTAATTCTTTTGAGAATCAAGATAACTTCTTTAAGAGACCAGTAGATTCCTTAAACACTTACTCATTCCTCCAGGCATAAATTTGGTGACAAACCAACAAACTAATACCATGGTACTATGATGATAAACATGTAAAAATGTCACTTGACTTTGCTTCTTTTTTGCAACAATAAATACCTTGAAATAAACAAATAAATACCTTGAAATAAACAAATAAATGCCTTGAAATAAACAAAAAATACCTTGAAATAAACAAATAAATACCTTGAAATAAACAGATAAATGCCTTGAAATAAACAGATAAGTAATAGATAATGAATAGATGAAAATTAAACTGAAATTAGTAGATATTTACTTGCGTGCCAACGACATAAAAATAAATATGTGAAGAGCAATGTTCAGATGAAAAAAAAACAAAACAAAACCAAAATTACTTACTGTATCTAACAATTCTATAACTTTAGAAATAAAATAGAACCATGAAGCACCAGCCATCTAGAATGAAGATTCATTGCAAATTTTGTTTTAAATACAGGCTTTGGGAAAAATGCACTTAACCATTTGGTAATACTGTAACGGAGTCGCACAGTGTGGACTCTCTGAAGGGAATGCTGGGTTGACAAACAGACTGGCAACATGTTGCCTTGCCTCTATAGTAAAAAATATATTTTTTATATGGCATATTTCTTATATGGCAACATGTACATAGGGCCTCAGCACATTGTCCTATTCTAACGACAAGAAGTGTATTCCGTGTTACGAATTCTGCATATATTTCAAATTTGGGAGCCCCTAGTTATGGAACAAACTATAAGCTGTTCCTAAATGCTTGTCAAAAGAAAAAAAGAAAATGTAACTTACCCTTATGGCCATTGGTGTATTGCTATAATCAACTACCATACAACCTTTATCAAAATCTACATGTAACACACTAACAAAAATCTGAAAGTGACAAAATAAGTTAGATAGCAATCTTCTAGAAAAATTGTTTATACTGTACCCCCACTTCATTTCCAACAAATCTAAAAATAACATTTTTTTTTTACATTTTTGCCCCAAATCAATTCTTTTTTTCAAAAAATTTCTCCTGGAAGAAACCTTTCTCTAGAGATGCATCATTTTGAATCTGTTTTGAATCCATCACTGTTTGTTTCCGAATCTTCCAGAAATGACCGATTTAATAAATCAGGGGCAATTAGTCTGCAAAACTAAACCTAAAATGTTCCAGTCATCTGATTGGTCAATCATTCAAATTGATTTTAAATTTTGTTTTATTATCCAATCAAATTACTGTATTTCTTAATACTGGATAATTCTTATCTTAAGTTAAGTTTTTGAGAATAAGGCCCCATACTGATCATATCATCAGTAAATATCAAAATCTGTTCTTACCTCATATAATGTATAACTGGTTAAAATGACTAAAGAAACATTATAAGTCATAAGCAGTTTGGTAAATACGTATGGTTTTCTATTGGCCATATGTTGAGGACCAAGATGCTTGACTATTAATAAATAAATAGCTACTAATGAGATCACTGTTACTGGACGTTCCATAAGGGGCCAATCTTTAACTCTTGGGTCTGTAAAATTGAAGTAAGATAATGTATAATATAAAATGAATCAATTGTATTTTTGAGAACCTTATAGTTATTTTGGACTGTTTATGCCGTTTGGATTTGGTGTAGAAAAGCAGTCTACTTGGTGGCATAAATGATAACCTTTATCATAAAGACATTCCAACACGATTATGATAATGTTATCTCTTTAAATGGCCACAGTATTGTCCGGGAGACTTGCAGGCAATTGTTTCACAATGTACAAGGATAAATGAAAAATTTAATTTTGAAAGTAGGGGGTGAGAAAACCTGAGTCAGCCCTTTCCTTGGGGCGAAGGAGTGGGTATACCCTATTGGTTTCTATAGCCTATTGGATAACTATTAAATTTTATTGGTTCAAAAGGAAAATAATAGCAGAAAATATTTTGTTTCAAAGAATGTAATTCAGTCGGAATTTTAAATTTGTGAGATTAAACAAACAGCTAGATCAAGGCTAGAGCTTGTACTAATACATGTACTACCATAACAAGATCAAAGTTCACCAAAGTTCCTCTAACTATAAAGCTTTTTTATGTATCCTATCTAAAACATTGCATATAAATCAATAATTATAAATATATATGGTCCAATGTTCAAAATTGATGTGTTGATTTTCAGAAATAAACGCTGCAGATGTTACAGACAATTATATAGTTAATATCAAGGCTTTTTACCTGCATATTGGTGATACAGACGGCTAACATTCCACGTTAATGATGTTCTATTCATTTTCGAATCTTACAACCGTATCTGAAATATGGAAAAAATTGTTTTGAAAACTAAAAACAAACTGGTGAAAATTGTCAAATAATTATGTCAAAATAAAATGAGCAAGAGAAGTTAAAAGTACAATATATGGTCATGACGAACGCTTAATTAGAAATGTATTCAAATTTGATGGTGACATGAGAACATTTAGTACAGATGTTTAGATTGTCAGTTTTACGGAGGTCATGTCCCAGTCCATTCCACACAACTCGCAAAATCCATCCATTCATTATTAGGCTAGGTCTATGGCATTAACATCTGAACTTTAAAACGATATTTAATCAGTGTGAGGCAGATCCCGACCATTTTCCCAACAATAAGCCGCGATTTGACGAGGTACAGTGTCCGTACATGACACCCCTCGGTCGTACCTCGTCTAGTCGATGATAAATTAGTTTCCAAACGTGTCGGCCTTCTTCACGGAACTACTACGTCACCTGGATACATGACGTTACAACAATTTCTATGACGTTTTGTTGTCGCACTTTTTCGTTCGTCATATTTTTTTTTCATCCCTTGGAAAATAAACTGTAGGCCAAAATGAAACTTCACCACTTTAAAGTTTAATATGAATTTTGACAAAAGAATATATGTATATAGCACGTTCGGAACTGATCCATCCAAAATATATTGCCCTCAGTGGTGGGAAAATCAAGTGAAAAGCGCGTGCCCCGTGAATGCACGTGCACCAAAAAAACGGGTCGATTAGCATGTCGGGAGTAAGACCTACCTAAACGGTATACAGCAAGTTTATAAAGTCAAAGTTTCCGTGTAAACTGTATTATACAGCTTCTATAAGCTTACATTTCACAGTTTGAGACAGAAATTCTATGGAAGATCAAGATTAGCCTAGGTTAGGCCCCCTACAGTTAGAAAATCAACACGGGGATTCTCCATTTTGGCGGGAATATAATATGTTAACAAATTGAGAGAGAATAACTGAGTGATTGATGCATCTTACTATGCATATACCGTGAAAAAAATATTGGCCAATATATAGCCTTATTCGCTTTAAAGCATAGCATGGGCAAAAATGACCAAATCGTCTGTCTCTGAATCTCTTTCTCTTTAACTCGTTCGTTGGTGACGCCAAAACATGTGAATACTGAAAAAATGCGAATTTCTTAAACGCGGGTGTGTCTGGTCAGGTAAAAACAAACAGTATACATTTTGAAAACAACACGAGGTCGTTTGTTTACACTATTTCGTAATAGTATTTTTAATAGTAGCCTATATAGCCTACTAATCTAAAAGGAAACATCATTGACATTCTTTACAGTTATTAAAGATGTAACTTCCGTAAACTATACCTAGCGTAGCCTTGAAATTACAACAGTTTAGCCTACATGGTTACATTATATTAGACTACACACCAACGCCCACTTTGTTCGTATTTCCGATATAGGTCTTATCAATGGATGTAACTCACAAACTCGTTAAATTGTCGACTTGTACTCTTATTCGAACTTGTCCAAAATCTTGTGGATATATAATACATACATTTACACATACAATTTTATGAAATAAAAAAAACAAACTGTGGCCTGTATACGCCACTTTTAAAATATTCTGTGTATATCAAGGGTGGTTTATCCAGGAAATATCTGTCTAATCGATCTCAAAGTCAAGCCTGTTTTTAAGTTATAACCTACATTCAAAATTTTTATAAAATTCTGGCAGTAACTGTAACCTTTATATATCGCATTCTCCAACCACTTTTAACACATTTTTGGTGTATCAAGGGTTGTAACTCAATATATATATTTGAAAAAAACCTTCCAAGATTCAAACTTGTCCCAGATCTGGTGAATATAATAGGCTACTATACACGCATTTTTTTTTCTCAATAATCCAAGACTTATGGCCTGCGAACAGACACTCAGTGGTTAAGGCAATATAAAGCACATCATAATGTGGGCGTAAAATAATGTGCGAGCACTGCAAGGGGATCGAGTAAATTTTGTTTATGATACTCACAGAATGAAGGAATCTTTCAGTAGAAAACTAATTTCAGTGATTTTTTAATCATTTTATAATACACTCAAGATTTTCAGGAATTACACGAAGGGCGTTGCCTTGGTCGAGCAATCGGAATGTTACAATATGAAACGGCTACCAACTGGACCATCGAAAGTTTTTCTTCAAATCGTATGTGGGCTAAGGTTAAAACTTACAATTTTATGTAACGCAAAAGTCCTAGAAGCGGTTGTAAAGAGGTTTTCTTTCATGATTGCATTTCTAATTTGCATACAATGCTGTCAGTATGTAAGTGTATTTCTTATAATGTTGTCGAATCACCGGTCCAATGCTTGAGTATGGCCTGGTAGGCCTGCACTGCACTGCACTGCACTGCACTGAACTGAACTGAACTGAATTGCAAAAGTATCTCGTACTACAATAGCTTCAAAAAATGAAAACACAAGTCTGCATACATACAACTGAACTGAACTGAACTGAATTGCAAAAGTATCTCGTACTACAATAGCTTCAAAAAATGAAAACACAAGTCTGCATACATACAACAATCCGAGTTTGAGAGAAAAAGAAAGGCCGAAAATCCACCAAATTATTTAGTCAATGAGTTTATATTTTGAATTCAAGTAAGGTGACACCAAAAGGGGTAAGAGTATAGGGCCACGCCAGTCAAAATGATTCGTTGATAAAGCGATGTGATGATCGGTATTGAATAACTAATAAATGCAGGCGTCACGTAATCTTATACAAGTCACGTAAGCTTATACAATAAATAATACAAGTACAGAAGCCTTATAAATACTCAAAATAACCGAGAATGAATCGTTCAAAGAAAAGTTACCTCAATGTGATCACTTGTCACTATTTCCACTCATAGTACGTTCACCTTTATTCAAATATTTCTCAATACCGGCCTGACTGCTTTAACTAACTACACGATGCATTCGAATATATGTGGTTCATATATACTAGTCGAGAAAACGAACAATCAAGTGAACTAACCACGCTTCACGTCAATAATTTCATAGTATAACCAACCATCAAGCGAGTATCCAACGACCCGTGTCTTCCGTTACTAGGGAAGCGATATAGACATAGCAATAGATCGTGTTTACAGCTACAGGAATTGGCTTTAGTTTCAACTCTTGACGTCGTTTCTATTTAGTTTACCGCTGAGTCGTTTTGATTTAGGCTATATAGCATGCTTAAGTGTACACATACTTTACTGGGTAATATGTTTTACATATCAAAAGTTTAAAATCACGTTCAGATCTGTAAAGGGACGAGCCTCAGCCTATTATAGTTTTACGCTTCATTGATGGTAATGAATTATATTAGGTCTTAAAGGGATTATACAGAGGTTTTCTAAATTTGTATGTGTATCAGGGACACTAATAGCATCAATTTGCACCATTCCAATTTTTAATCAGACGTCTGTGGTTCCTGCAATTCTACTTAAACTAAGTGTTTGATGGCGTCGCTAATCGCGAATCTTATGTGATAAAGCATAATTATTTTGCGATTAGTGATGTCATTAAACACTTAAATTTAGCGCAATTGCATTCACAGGAACCACAGACGTCTGATTAACAATTGGAATGGTGCAAATTGATGCTACCAGTGTGCCCAGTACACATTAAAAATTTAGAATCCCTTTAAGGTATGACATTTCATAGCTGACATTCATAAAAAAAATATACTTCAACTGTCTTATTCAAACCGTGCAAGTTGAGACTGGCACGCGCATCGTCTTAAAACCCATGGCCCTTCTTAATTAATAGATGGAAGCTACGCCTACGGTGTACTAGCTATGGCCGATTCGAGTTTTCAGTGTCTAAAAGCTTTCGTTTCTGTTAACCAAAGTTTTCAACTACACGTATTGAAAAACCTCTTTATCAAATCAATTTTCTCCAAAATGTTAACAAAATATTCTTACTGCCATCTGACCTAAATTGTCCCAATTATCCCCGCTTTCCCCTACAACAGCTCAGCTGACGACTGACTCGACACAATCATAATACAGACATAATTGTGAAGATGTGAATATTTTGGCGTGGTAGCACCAAGTACATTAGGCCTAGAGCCATTCGCAAAAGGCCACAGCTTCCTGACCAACGCAACTTCTTACTTACATTCATAAATTATTATGTAATGTTTAATAAAATGACTGCCCCCCTGTGCTAGGCAAAAATGAGTTATCTCCCTTTTGACACTCAGAAAAGGACTTCGAGTTTTTTTTAAAGGCTTGTTGTTTTATTGTTCAAGGGTATTTTTGCTTATATATTAACTTTCTTTCAGTCAATATTTTTCAAGTAAGACATAAGTATACATGTACATACTTTTTATCAGCGAGTCTGTTCTAGTCTACATTCGAAAAAGCTCAATCAAGGTCAAGCAACTCTATATGACTAGAAGGGAAGTAACTCTTGTTATTAAAGGATTAATCCAGACCACAATATGAAGTTATTTCAACTAACATAATATTAATTATGTTACACTCCTGTATATATTCATCAGTAGACCTACCAAGTGTCATAACTATACATCAGAATCCCAGTGTGATTTGATAAATCCATAAAATAAGTAATTATTCATAAAACTAAGTAAAATTATCTAAAAACAGTAAGTTGACTGATGAATATATACGTAACTCAAGTTTGAGAATTAATTTTATATTCATTCTAACAAGTATTATTCATTAAAGAAATTTTATCATGGGTTGTCAAATTGTGTATTGCTAGGTAGTAAAGGTTGTAACTTTAAACTAATGACAAAGCACAGACACAGGACTTAAGTTTTAAGTTCTTTAATTTGAATAAACAAAACGTGTGTTAATAATAATAATTAGATGTTCGTAAATCCGTGTCCTGTACATTTTAATAGGGTGTTGGATACGGGATCACCATTGATATACTGCTATAACAATCAACTGAACTAGTTTATTATTCATCACCTCTGATAATATTTTAACTCAATAAATATAAAAATATATATCAAATTTACATATAACTTTGGTAGGCCTACACAAGTGTCATCTTGCTCCTTTAGAACGAGCAAAACAATTTACTTGTCTTGTACTACACAGGAGCCAAAAATACAACTGATAATTAAGTAGACATATTTCATTTTTTAAGAAATCTAAAATGCCAAAATTAAGAAATAAAAATCTCGAAAATTAACAAAAAAATTAATCAAAAATATGTGAAACAAACAAAAAAAATTTTCAACAATATTTAAAAGGGATTTAAAAGAGGTTCTATAGCCTTCAGGTACAGTTTCCTGCGCTCTGTACAAAGTAGAGTTATCCGTTATCGATACAGTATACAAATTAAATACAGAGAATAAGTATTAGGCACTCACGAGTTTCATGCTGTGCGATCTTCAGACAACTGATCTATTTCACCCTATTGAAATATAACATGTTTCAAGTTCTGTTTAAATACTTTAAATATTTCTAGAATAAAACAGAAGTAAATCGTAAACCAAAGACATCTGACTCAAAATTGGAATGGTGCCATCAATGTCCCTGAAACAACATAAAAAAACTAAGAAAACCTCTTTACACTCCTTTTAATAGAAGATGTAATATCCTCAATACACAAGGGCTAGAACATTTTATTCTTAACATGGAAAGAACACAAATTTGTTAATTTATCTATAATAGTAGCACAAAAATTTCAAATTATGAACACTTATTTGGAGAGTTATGTTGTATAAATACCTCAGACAAAAATAGTTTTTCAAAACTATTTATATTTTTTCACTGGTATATATCATATTAATATGTTATTAAGATTTCAATACAAAAATACATCAAAGAAGTTTCATTAGGTTCTTTGTCAATCCTTTCAGCAAGGTAAAGAACAAATGCCATCACCATGTTTGATCATTTTATCACATACAGTGTTTCATTGGAAAAAATACATAAAAACTGTGTCTTTATGAATGACACATTTTTTCAGTTGATTCAAATTCTACAGTCTAGAGGGTAATATTGGTACATCAGCTAGCTTCTTCTGTTCTTCAAAAAAAGGTTTTAAATGTTTATAATAGACATCTGTTACCTGAAATACAGGAAGATCATAAAGTCTGAAAATTGTCATTTCATCCCAAATTTCTGTTTAAAATGATGGTAATCGAGTTAAATGAAGTAAAAAAAATGTCAAAGACTATTAATAAAATACCCTTAAAAAAGTTGAGTGAGTTGAGTCTCTGAATGAGAATTATAGTTATTTCAAAAAGTATAAATTATCATGGCGTAGCCCTTGGGAATTGTCCCACAATTCAACATAGGTACACAAAATAATTTCGTTTTTCGAGTCTTATATCAAAAGGGAAGCAACTGGAAAAGAACTGGATTCCATGTTTGTTCTCAGACCACTAAAAATTTTTTTATGTAAATGATTAAGAACGTAGTCCATGTTATTTTTAGAAATCCTCTTTCTCCCTCGCTTTGGGGATTTTTGCATGGCTATTTTTGACTAATTTTTGGTCTAAATTTGGAATTTGATGTCTGAAATTGCATTGATTTAACACGGAAACAGATGGCAAATGAAATGCCGGTCTGAGTCCGTTTACCTCCTCTTAATAAGAAGAAACACATTCATTCATAATATAGCTAATGACAGGGTCCAAATATGAAGAAGGGCAGTAGTGAAAGATGTCTGCATATAGTCGCTCATATACCAACCGAGCATTAGTGATTCAATAATCTCTTTCGCCAGTCAAAAATGTACTGGGTTACATGGGTGATTTGCTTTATTTTCAATCAAATCTCACTGGATTTCATAATATAGACCCACCTCTATCTGATTCAACTTCGACTCTTTAGCGTACTCATATAAAGCTTGGTAGACTTGACCATCATAACGTCCTAGACAGCTAGCTAATATTTCATCAGGAATATCAAAACTATCCACAATATTGACAGCATTTGGTCTAATTTCTGCTAGTAAATCTAGTAGTTTAGTATTCAGTAATTCAATTTGTTGACTGTTCAGATAACCATCCTAAAAATAGAAAAAAAACATTCTAGAGTATCCTTCAGGGTTGTTTTTGAAAGGTCTCAGATGTAAATTCTTCAACTACATAAACAGTTTGAGCTTCAATTTGACTGCAAGATAGATCTAGCTGACAAATCATAACAGATTCTTTTTTCATTTTTAATGACGAATCACACTGAATTGTCGAAATAGGCAAATCATACCATATCCTTATTGTTTTTTTACCAGACAAATCATGACGGAATAGCGACTGATTCTGGACAAAATCATGACAGATCCTTCTTGTACATGACAGATTATTGCTCTATTTTTCAGAACAATCATGACAGTTTCTTGTTGTATTGTATCAGATTAATCATGACAGTTTCTTGTTATATTGTATCAGAAAAATCATGACAGATCCTTCTAGTACATGGTTAATCATGGCAGATTATTGCTTTATTTTGTCTGAACAATTATGACATTTTCTTGTTGTATTGTATCAGAAAAATCATGGACAGATTGTTGCTGTATTGTTCCATAAAAATCATGACAGATTGTTGCTGTATTATTGTATTGTATCAGAAAATTGTGACACATTCTTGCTGTATTGTTTCAGAAAAATAATGACAGATAGTTGTTGTATTATTGTATTTCATCAGAAAAATCATGACAGATTCTTGCTGTATTGTTTCAGAAAAATAATGACAGATTCTTGTTGTATTATTGTATTGTACCCACCTTTACAAAATCACCAATATTTTCTAGAATGGTATAAATACAGTAAAGTTGGAATAAGGCTTGCAATACTTGCTGTAATTTTGGTCCCGGGTCACGACTTATTTGTTCTAAGTAGAATTTTACAACACAACATTCACAATGAGCCTGAAAATAACATAATATAAGTTAAGTCAGTCATAAACTTAATCTTGTTGAAAAAATATTCTGAAATACCTCTTCTTTTCAAAGGCAAAATCTTCCTGAACAATTTAATATCAGTTAATTTAAGTCTCCCAATCAATTTCAATGGTAGTTTTATAAGCCAATTAAATTGTGATGTTTCTTGGAATCTGGAATTTCTCGGTCAAGGTTTTGTAACTTGCCAGTATTCTGTCCTGATTTTTGATTTTTTGAGAAATGTTTCAACACTCAGATATGCACATGGATTCCATTCTATTCTAATCTATTCTATTCAAATTCGTTACCTGAGCAGCTTTGGTCAACTGAACAGATGTTAAATGCCATGCTTCTGATTGTGATTTACCATTTTTTACTAAATATTGTATTCTATGAGCACAGTCTTCTATCAATCTACAGTACATGTGTAAATGATAAAATAATATTTTTCTTTTACTTCATGAATTAAAGGATCCCTCACAATTGTAAATTGAAAAGAAAAAATTTATTTAACTGCACATTGCATCGCATGACAGTCAGCACTAAGAGTTTGATTATGTCAATAATCACATAAGGCCCTTCTCGATTAGTGACATCAGCAAACCTTTTGTTTTAGTAGAATTGCAAGAACCAATTGATTAAAAAGTTGAATGATGCAAATTGATGCTATCAGTGTTCCTGAAACAAAAACAAAATTTAGAAAACCTCTGTACAATCCCTTTCAACCTACATGTAGGAGCAGGTTTTATATTGGAAACATACCTTAAAGCTCTGTGTTCAAAAGCTGATACAATAGAATTACTATCAAACTGGCTGTTGATAGAACATGTCCTGCCATCTACTGGTTGTTTTAAATAGGCAACTAAGTTAGGCAACTCTTCACCTTGTTTTGCCGATACTAAGCACTTTGTTAAATATCTGCAAAAATCACAATTGCTGATTATACAATAATGTGACATTTTATATATGTATATACAGTGGTGTAACCTAATTTCGTGGATATAAGGATTCAAGACTGAATTTCGACAAAGTTAAAAAAACAAAATTTTTTATGTCTTAGATGTTTCCTCAGATATTCTACAAAATAATTAAAATTGGTTTGTTTCGATTTTCTTTATGAATCCTTCACTTCTCTTAGTATTTATCTTTAATATCAATTCATTTTAACTAGTGACAATTCCTTCAAAGAACCGCGATTTAAAAAAAAAAATAGTGACTGACAAAATAAGATACGTAGCATGATTTATTGCTAAATGTCACTGAAACAACATAAGAATATGGCCCACTTTATGTTCCATAGAAATGGAATCCGCTAGTCGATCATGTGACTTCATTCGTTGGAATGTATTCTAGCAGACAACACTTGGAATTCCGATTACGGCTAGGGATTATACGGAAATTCGGCAGATAAAAAATTGTGGCGTTTGGTAATAACTGAAATCGGCCATTTTGTATTTCTCAAAGTATACATTAATACATTTTACCTTGCTTGAAACTACTGAATTCATTCTACTAGCTGAAATTGTACAGAAAACCCATGTTTATCAAAACAAGCAAATGCGGAGGTCACGCGGGGTCGCACATGTAAATTATTAATCCTTTCCGGAAATCCACGAATAATAGGTTTCCACGAAATTAGGTTACTATATGTATATATCCTTTCCATGTCTGATTAAACATTATTTAAGTAATTTATCTGTGCTGTTTCTGCAACAAAATGTCAAATGGCTATATAGCTTTTATGAAGTCATTATTGCAAAGATTCTTATTTATAATTAGAAAGTTTGTGATAGTAACGTTATAAAACACTGTATTTGCAAGAACCACAAATGTCTGACTGAAAATTGGCATGGTTCAAATTGATACTATAAAAAATCCGTACAAGCAAGACAATTCCGTTTATCAAAATCTTTTGGATTTTAGGGGTTGGACGGTTTTCTTGGTAAAAATATGAATTAAATTATATAGTTGATAGCTGATATATAGACACAGCTTCTGCATGATAGGCTTTGATTGGTTGAGATGAACATCAACAGTACGCAGCCTTGGTATAAATCTGTTTTGATTACAATGGAGACTGGCCAAATATAAATTAGATTGTGGTATTTCTGACAAAGTTTTACCTGGCAGTTTGTAACAACAGAACTGTATTTTCTCCTTCATAAGTAGCAGCCGGTGTAATATTTACATAAAGTTTAGGAAAACCACTAGCCTGACTGAAACCATGTCCACCACAGGCCATACGACATCTCTCAGCCATCTCATTAAATTTATATGAACTACAGGCCTTCAAACCAGCACTTAATGCATGCAACTGGAATATACAATAAAAGAAACGCCTTAAAAGGATAGATTCAACATCAATTTGACCAATTGAACTTTAAGTCTCAGAAATGCGAATTTTTTAGCTATACTAATCACTAAAATTGTTCAGAGTTCACCGTTGAAATTTGAACCTTCAAATCCAAGTGTGTCAAGAATTATCTGCATTTGAAAATTAAAATGACGACTTATCTTTTCTTGAGATTTTGTAGGAATTATGTGATTTTCTTGCAGTTCTAGTACTTCTAAAGGCTATTTACATTTAATCAATTTGAGAATGAGATGAAAATAATTCAGCTGGCAAGATAAAGATGACACATGATGTATTTGTTGTGAAATTTGGCAACAATTTGTACTCCAAATGTTGGAAAAAATGGAGCTATGCTGTTAACTGCTACCTTAATAAAATCTCACTCACCTGAGGGAGTTCATCCAAGGCTCCTTGCCTTATTTTAGACGTCACATCCATGAATATACGACTAATATTCATGCCAGCAAATATATAGGCAAGGGAAGTTGCTAAAGCAGGAAATAGTTTATATTGTTGTGTCTGATAGTCTAAAATTTTTCTTTCTGTTTCCCTGAAAAAGGTAAAACGACGGAAAAAGTGAAAAATCACATATGCAGTAAGGCCCCTTTGACATTTGAACTACAACTGGAATCAAGTCACTGAAGTTTTCATGCAAAGGCCTACCAATAAGACTTATGGCTTCTATTTTCACTGAATCCTAAAAAAAATAACATGTTGTTACTCGGAATTTCACAGTGAGTCAACTGACCTATTTCAGCCTACATCCCTACTGAAGTTTGACAAGTAGAACTTATTCTCATGTCTAACAGTGAGACAAGTTTGTAACGTTTGTTTAAAGAAGTGTGTTTAGCAGCATTAATGGCGGAAAGCTTCTCAGTTAAACACAGGTTGAATCGTTTGGTGTTCTGAATTTATATGCAGATGTCGCACAGGAAATCAAAAAGTGGAATGGAAAGTATACATAAAAAGTCTCTTTTGACCCATGCTTTCGATACTTACCCAGAACTATCTGTGGTCTGACGCCTAACAGCACTGTAACGGATAGCAATAGTACAGGCCATGCTTATTGATCTACCACAATCACCAGTTATAAAGGATCTTATAGACACCATTCCACCATACAATAACTTGGAATTCGCAGGTTTTGCAAAAACACCACTTCTTGATACCTGAAATTTCATATTTGGTTTCAGAAATCAGTGATTTTTAACCAATCAAAACAACTCTTTTCATACAAGAGGGGTTGGTTGTACCACGTATCATCTACAAGATTTGTGCTTTTTTAAAGAAGTATTTGGAGCATAAATTACATAACATCATATTATTAGCTGATTTCTGAAAAGACCTCATCCACAGCTGTTGACACATGTTTCAGATATAAAAACCATTATCAGGACTAATGAATTGTATTTCCACATTTGGAATACCAAGCAACTGAATGAAACCAACAGGAATAAGGAATTGGGTTTGTCTCTATAACATTAGACAATTACCTTGGAATATTTCATTAACATATTTTCTCTTGGAATTCTGACATTGTTCATCCTTAGGTAACCATTATCCATAGAATCATAACCAAACTTGGTACCAATATCTCCTACCTCTACTCCTATAACATAGAAACATAACTTATATTATACACTTTACTATTATCTATTCATTAAAATTTATATAACATAGAAACATAACTTATATTATACACTTTACTATTATCTATTCATTAAAATTTATATAACATAGAAACATAACTTATATTATACACTTTACTATTATCTATTCATTAAAATTTATATAACATAGAAACATAACTTATATTATACACTTTACTATTATCTATTCATTAAAAATTATATAACATAGACACATAACTTATATTATACACTTTACTATTATTTATTCATTAAAAACTAGTATCACAGACACATGATTTATATTATACACATTACTAAGTCTATTATTAATTCATTAAAAATCATATAACATAAACACATTACTTATATGATAAACCTTACTATTCTTTATCAGTTAAAAATTAAACGTTAAAGAAGTAAACATATCTAAAATATCTATCTATTTAACAGTAAAAAGGTTTAGTACAAACAAAGAAAATTTTGAAAATTAAATCATTTTTCTGGAAAAACCAAGAATGATTTCAAAATTTAAAAGAAATTAATAAATTTGTGTTCAAAAGGAGATATGATCAATTAAAATGCTATGGAAAAGAAATGCTGTTGAAATGTACAAGTAATGTGGAAAAAATTTGAACTGACCTGGCATTGGTTGATGTGTATTGACATCACGAATATTAACAATAAATGACTGTAAACCATGACAATGACCTTGTGTATAAAGTTGGGCTAGTACCAGACAATAATTACAGGTTTTTCCTACTGAAATACATTAAAACACGTATTTTATATACCCTTTGTCTTGAATTCCTCAACAGTTTCAAATCCTAAGAGAGTAGCCTAATATCGCTGTCTGTAGTAAAACAGTCGGCGGTTTGAATTGATTTATAATAAAATTCTAGAAATCTGATCAAGTTTTTACAAAATTGAAATTTCTTGACTGTTTAGCTTGACACAATTATATTGATAACAATTACTTTAAAAAATAACTTGAGATGTTTCGACGATGATGCTTTCGGCTGTCATCATTGCTTGATAAAGATGAAAGCGTCATCGTCGAAACATCATAAATTATATAAGTAATTGTTATCAATATAATTGTGTCCAGTTATTCATATCCCAGTTACTAAATGCCACTCAAGAAAGCTCTTGACTGTTGTCTCTTTAAAGTATGCTGTTTTGCTCAAGATTTTTTGCAGCTGTTCGGGAGGGGATTGGAATCATTTGTCTAGCTATGTGGTTGATTGTCATTAGGTGTAATTTTGGTTGGTGACTGAATGTTTAATGTCAAATTGATCATGTTCATAGTTTTAGTTTAATATTGTTTCTTTCTTTTAACTTTTTGATATTGTTTAAATAACATTAGCTACTTTAAGCAGAATTGCGATGGCAGCCATGACATGCATACTCTTTTTAACTTCACAGGTGGAGAATTCAAGTCTATAGGTGTTTATATCAAACTTACAAGCTCCTGGCCAATATTTCATGGCTGTTAAAGTTGGTGTATTGATGATAAATTCATCAGTTTTCCCATCAAATGTTGCTGTGGTCTCCAGACCTCTGATAAATGTTCCTAAAATGTAAAATTAAAATACTTACAAAAACTAAATTCCACAAGCAAACATAAGTTTGCAACACGATTAAACGATTAAACATTACAGAAGGAGACTAATTCTTATCTTTTCAGAAATTTTACCAAGAGAAATGATAATAATTTAATCTTAGCCATGCATAATAAACTTTCTAATATTTCTAATCTTTTGCACCTTGTTATAGCATGAATCTTTACTTTGTGACCTAAGCCAGTGCTTTTATGAGACTACATTCTCGTCACCATCTAACACTGATTAAATTTTATGTCACATTTTTCTAAACTTTATTCCCATATCAACACAAATCGTGCACTTGCAAGTGCAGCAGCAAATAAAACATCACCAAAATAATATCATCATTAATCACCTTAAATTTTACCCAATAGGCCTATAGATCTTAAATTACATTTATAGGAATGCAAAATAAACCTTCCAATCGAAATGGGCTGACCGAATTATAATTGAAATAACAAAAGCGATATTGATTTCGCCACTCTGATGTCTGTTTCAGACAGATTTGTCACTGGGTTGTCTCTTAATTGCTCGAAATAATAAATAGTAATTTGCATACCATGACCAAGTTCAGTTTGAGCATATGTTCCCAGAATCTGATATGATTGTATTAATGGCAGCCATTTTGATTTCTGTTCTTCTGTACCTTGATTTGTAATAACATCGGTAAACATACTATTATGCAGACCAAATGGAGAGTTTTCATTGGGCATAAAAGCTCTAAAAATAAAAATTACACAAGATTATCACCTGTAGGCCTACCTCAGCATGCAGTTGGGCAAACTGTCCAAATTCCCACATGATCTTCCTTGATGATCAAAATATACATTTGATTTTTTAATTTTTTTTGACTGTAACTATAGAATTTTCAATAGGAACAAGTGCAATATATATCTCACATATTCCCTTGAAGACCATATTATTTTCAGGATTTTTCAGAGAATGTTCTAGAAATGAGCACTTCCTAACTTCTTATTATTTGAAAATGTCCAATCTAAATCCTCTTTTCTCCCACCTTTTCTTAATCAACAGTTCCAATATAAGTCTCTCTTTCCAAAGTTGTAGGCCTACTATTCTGAACAACAAGTTGCATATAGAACATTCTAAGTTTATTATATTTATAGTTAGTTAATAAATACAGGTAGTTAATAAATGGCTTCTTACTGGTTATAGAAATAACGATCAAGTGGATCAGTCAATCCAAGTTCCTTAACTCTTCTGGCCTGATGTATTGCTTTCTTCACAGCCAATTCATATCTTTCTTCTCTCGATAGTGTTGCCCAGTTAGGTGAATTCTTAAAGGTCTTGTCATTGATAGCTAAAGACTCTGAAATTCAAGAAAAAGTCTTCCACACTACTAAAGTCCTACTTTTTGTTACAGTTCAAATTCCGCAAACCATAGATTTTCTTATTTAGGCTATATTTTTTTTTAATCAGGTACAGTGGTGTAACCTATTTTCCTGGATATAAGGATTCAACACCGAATTTCGTCAAAGTTAAGAAAAAGAAAAAAAAAAATTATGTCTTAGATGTTTCCTCAGATATTCTACAAAATAATTAAAATTGGTTTATTTCGATTTTCTTTATGAATCCATCACTTTTACCCATATTTCATGAGCAACCAACTCGGCAACGGCGGCAGAATGCGTCACCTATTTTCGTGTACAATGTTTGATCTATAAATAAGTCGAGAATGGATACCAGGTGGTATAATTAACTTTTCTTAGTATTTATCTTTAATATCAATTCATTATAACTAGTGACAATTCCTTCAAAGAACCACGATCTTAAAAAAAAATAGTGACTGACAAAATAAGATACGTAGCGTGATTTATTGCTAAAAGTCACTGAAACAACATAAGAATATGGTCCACTTTGTGTTCCATAGAAATTTTCTGCTGACACGGAATCCGCTAGTTGATCACATGACTTCATTTGTTGGACTATATTCTAGCAGACGACATTTAGAATTCCGATTACCGCTTGGGATTATAAGGAAATTCGGCCAATAAAAAATGGTGACGTTTGGTAATAAGTGAAATCCGCCATTTTGTATTTGTCAAAGTATACATTAATACATTTTACCTTGCTTGAAACTACTAAATCCATTCTACTAGCTGATATTGTAGAGAAAACCCATGTTTATCAAAACAAACTAATGCGGAGGTCGCGCAAGGTCCCTCATGTAAATTATTAATCCTTTCCGGAAATCCACGAATAATAGGTTTCCACGAAATTAGGTTACTTGACTGTATAATGGGTAATAAATAGCCTAGGCTACTGTTGTTGGCAAAGTTAGAGAATTAAGATTCTATGTTCATTCTAACAATACTCCTTGATGTAGGCCTAATTGTGAATTGACAGTAAACTCGAATCAGAAACAAAAGTGATCTGCTAGTAGTCACTATTAATTGTTTTTGATACGAAATCTCCACCATAGCCTAGAGGCCCAGGTTTACTAGACTGACTCAAAAAGGTTACCGTTAATGAAAGCGCATATGAGACAAAACAAAAACTTACGGATATATCTCTTTCGGCGAGTTTTCTCAGGACCCCCATGAAGTAGATTTGTCAGCTGTATTGGATCAAATGTGCCATTTTCTCGTTCGATTTGTAAATCGGGATGAACTCCAGTTTTCATTGACGCCATGTTGTTTGGATCAAAGTTCAACAACAGTGCTTTATCACTTTATATGTCGAGTCGACCAATGTCCTTTGACATACTTTTTGTTACCTACTATAATGATAACCGTCATATAATCACTCGAAGAGGAAATCTAATCTGTGACATGAATATTATGATCAAGTGACGACAAGGATGATAACTTTTATATTTCATCAAATCATTCTTGCACATTAGTATGGAAGGGTTTATGTGCCATATTTTTTTAACCAAGTAAAAAGTTTTTTTTGTATGCTTCACGGACAAAACAAGTTGTTGACAAGCAAGATACGCCCACTTACCTAAAAGATTTTTATATAATTCTGACATAAACTGTCATCACCATCTACGGTTGAAACTCCCCAATATTTTTTGTCGAATCGACCCCAATTTCAAACTTGTACAAGATCTCGTCCAAATTTTATAAAAATGGGATAACACTGTAGCCTTTATTGCCTTCAACGGTAATATAATTTCAGTGTATCAAGGGTTGAAACTCCCATACCCTTTCATAAATGGTACTTTTATTGGGTGATTTGACACGGAATGACCCAAAAGTCAGATAAAACCTGAAGCCTATATTGCGTTCACAAGCTAATTGTGGACAGACGGACCAACTGACAGAGAATAGAATATGGGTATGCTAACTGATGCCACAGAAACATCATTGGCTCTCTTCTTGATATGGGCCTGTTTACTGCTAGTTTTAGTTCATCCAGGTCTATCAGAATATAATTCTAAAAATATGTTAGCTCTTACAGGTGGTAGGGAGAATTCTGTTTTTTCGTAAGACGAAAAAACATTTTGCTCATATTTATGAAAAATATATATACCAAAATCTAGAGAAATGTGTTCCTGGATCTAACTAAATAAATCCCTTTTTAATGCCAAAACTATTTATAAGGTTTACGTAAACTTTTTAAGTTCGATATGCTATTTGGGATGTGTTAGAAAACTACCGTGTGGATTTAAGCATTATAAACGCCGAAATATTTTACAGGTCTCCACTAAACATATTGAGTCTTCATGAGTTCCAACACCAAAACTGCTTCATTACAATTAGTACATTTTTAATTAATCCCTTTAAAACTAATTCAGTTTGATCTAGTAGATACATAAATGTAAAAAGCATATTTTGAAAATATTTCCCGGTATAATTTACAATGTTTTTTAAAATGAAAATTGTGCAAAATGTTTCTTTAATCCCCATAAAAATCAGTGTTTAACAAAATGAATAACAAAAGGTAGAAAAAACTTTTATTGAACAATGATTTGATTGGTTGAATAACCTGAGTGACCTAAAACTAATAACAATGACCTCAGATAATAAATGCCAGGAATCATTCACAGAAAAAAGATGAAACAGGCATCTATATTTAAATGATTTTATAGACTAAATAACTGCAAGTGCATGATATGTACTGACTACTATCCAATAAAAAATAATTCCAAACATTGAAGGCAATAATACTCCATATTCCATAAATGGCTTCTACTAAGTGTGATATATTCCTGAGTAATACTTATCTAGTGCTCGCTATTGTAAACACATGTTTACATTCACATTTTGATGACAAGATTATTGTTTATCCTTGTTATTCATGGACACAACACTACTTTTACTGTCATTTACCAAGATTGGCACTATTCTGCATCAAGCATTCCTTGATCCTGCCAACCAACCTCTGCTCACTAAACTTAATTCATCTAAGAAATAGTTCTTGATTAATTTCATTCATGGATATTGGGCAAAAATGACAGTCAAGATCACTACTTTCCAATGAAATGACATCGCCTCTGGGTCTAAATAAAAATTTAACATCAATCGGTGTTAACAGTCATAATAGACAATAATATTGGCTCGCTAAATCAAGAAGTATTATAATTATATTCCTCATTATCATCAACTAGACTTATCATCATCTTCTTGATCTCTACCATCATTATCATTATCATCATTATCACTATCTTCATCATTGTTTTCGTTTTTTTCTTTAAGTTTGTCATAGTATTCTGCATTATCTTTCATACACTGTGACCACTCTCTCATTTGTTCATAACAATCGGACCCTTTTGGTTCAACTTTACTCTGTATAAAGCAGGTAAAAGAGTCTCGAAATGTTTGGCCACAAGGACCATTCTGAAATCCACCCATACAAGGACAATCCCAGTTGATTTCGCCATTTTCTAGAATTGCACCAGCTGAAAAGTAAAAGGATGAAATTGATTGAATGAAGGAATGTTTAAGGAAAACAGTTCAGTAAAGTCAATTTAGTAATGAAAAAAGAAATCCATTGTTTTCCTTCAAAAAAAACATAAACACTATGAATAAAAATATCAAAGAAACTTTTTTCAAAAAGTGTAAAGTTTAATGTTTCTCATCAAAAGGAAACTTCCATATTCAATTCTTCAATCCATGTTTCCAAGACTTAATTACAGAAGATTACAGATTAATTTCCAAATAAGATAACCAATAATGATAATGTAGATGAGTTTCTAACATGTCCCCCTTTGGTACTGTATACAGATGTAATATCAATATCAATGAATGTAGATATTGTTATAATATATCTAATCTTTTATAAACTTTATTTGCATTTAGCTTTTCAAGCATAAGTCTGAATTTCAAAATTTTTCACCAAAACATTCTTTTACAACACCATTTAAATATCAATATTTCAAAATATGTAGTAATTCTGTACATACTCTTATTTTAAATAAAAAAAACATTTGATTAATATTAAGAAAGAATTAATGGAAAATGAAAATCTGAATTACCTGGAACACCCTCGGATTGATCATCTTCTTTACTGTTGTCACTTTCATCTTTCTCATGAACTACCTTATCTCTTTCTGAAATGAAAAAAGATTTAATTATACTTTTCTGCTCCTGATTTGGCTAATGAAGACGAGCAACATCATACAGTGTGCAATGTGGAAATTTGATTACCGGTACATATTTATTGCAAAATGACATAGGTGGCAACAATTCACATGAAAAGGAAACAGCTCAACAATTTAAGGAAATTCATATTCAAATTCACTTCCACGACACAGTGAATCTGTTCCACTGCACAGATAATCAGATAAGCAAGGTAGAATACAAGGGGTTGCATTTTATCAGTTTTATTTCAATCCGACCTGAACAATTTTGTCCTACGACTCAGCACTGTTCAACTCAAATTCACTTTAATGAAATGAGACAATGTCAACAGAGTTGAGTTGAGGTTGGCGAAACTAAGACACAAAATTTCATTCACCTTTTGAATCTGCCATAATCGATTGTTTTCTGTCAGGGCAATGTCATTTCTACCAATGATAAAAAGCACTATGATAATTTAAAAATTAGGCCTTCATAGTGATATAATCTGACGAAATTAGTCTTTGAAATAGTAAAATAAAACGTGTTTTGCTTAACCGGATGTTTACATTTTTTGGAAACAGACAACAATTTATTCTACCTATGGTAGATAGAGTTATCCGCACTGATTTTCTCACCAAATATTTATATTGTATGCATAGTATGCATCTTTGGTTTTATGAATCAAATGTTGTAAAAAAAAACAGACCATATGATAGATGAATGTAAAAAGTAAAAGCAGAGCCTATATAAACTCTGGTAAAAGGCATGATTTGTAAAATGGAAACATTTACTGTGGTCTGTATGGAGTAGTCTTGACTTTCCAGTTCTGATGAAATAACTGATCTACTTACTGACCTTAGATATTATGTAAACAAGTCATCAAGACTCTTGTTCTTGGAAAAACTGTAGCCTATTAGGGTTGATATTGCGTATCCGTTTGACAGCTTTTGAACAGGTAAGCGTTTGTTTTTTTGTTTTTTTTTATCTAACTGAATTATTCAAGGTGAAGAGACAATATATAAATAAATACAAAAGAAAAGATAGCCTATTCGAGTCAACAGATTAGGCCTGATTAAGATCCTTTTATAGGATATTTTGTCGGAGATAATTTAAAATAATATTAAATGCTGAGTCATTTATTCAAACATCTTTTTAGCCAGGGTGAATGTTGGTTAATTTGATCTTATTTCCATATTAAAGTTTTAAAGAGATTTTTTTTTTTTATCATGAAATCAAAGGGCCAGGCTCAAGCAGTCGTGGAAGACTTGGTTTTTATTAATGATCAACAGTGGACAACAGTGTCAGTTAGGGTGAGAAGGATTAAAGATGGATATCTTACCCTTACTTTTACTTAATAATTCAATAATTATCTAGTAGTCTACCCATCATTGATTTAATATTCTTTGAATTTACTGGTTCCCTGTAATATTCCAACATTAACCTGATGATTTTGTTTAAAGGGATTGTAAAGAGGTTTTCTAAATTTTGTATGTGTATCTGGAACACTGTTAGCTTCAATTTGCACCATTCCAATTTTCATTCCGATGTCTTTGGTTCTTGCAATTCCACTAAAACTGTGTTTATGGCGAGGGGAGCACCGGAAGCTACTATTGGTATCTATGCAGTTTCCCTCTATTGATGTCATGAAATATTCAAAAAATATAATTTGATTGATTTGCAGATTGTCATAATGAAGCTTGGCTAATCATAGGAAATATTGATTCATTTTGACTTGCAAACTGCGATACTATGCCACTTAAATTGAATCATTCTTTGAACAGATAGTTTAGCAGGCAACAAGTCAAGCTTTGATAGGTTCTTGTGGGTTACATGGAACAAATATTGGTCTTTGGTTTAAATTCGTTGGTTTACAAAAGACTGGTGATATTGCATAAATCATCTCTTTCCAATTGCCTGTGAACACTCTAGAAATCACTTGTTGGATTTGAAAACATGTAAAAAAAATTATGACCCAAGGATGAACCCTATTGGAAAATATGTTTTTGTTAACTGATTCCCTTCTTGTTAAAGCTTCCATTTTTGAGATCATAAATACTTTATAGGTGGTAAGTTAGCTTTAGACCTTTATGTAATTTTTAGAGACCTATATAGCTCATGAACAAATCACGTGTATTACATGTGGTTGAGTAACATAATTGAAATATTGCCAGATATTATGACAAAGCCTACAGGGGTAAGGATTTGTATCTTTCTTTGTTAAGCATGGTTGATTTTTGTAAATAGATCTTTTTGAATACTGTTTTCTATAGTATAGAGCTCTCATATGCAGAAAGTCCCAATATAACAGGGCCTAGTTTTTCTGTCTTTACACCAGCGGACATCCGTCTTAATAGCTATCAGAGGCTGGAATAGAGACAGATGTTTTGGTCTACATCTGATAGAGCTGAATTTCAGCTTTCCATGTCACTTTTATAAAATCGCATCAGGTTTTTCTACAATTTAATCAAATTTAAAAGTTTTAGATCATGTTTACTTTTAAAGAGACGGATGCGTCATTTTTAGGGGGGTTGCTTTTGTCTTGAATATATGTAAAAAGTCTTCAGAAATACTACAAATGTACATCACATAATACCTTTAAAAATACTTCAAACTAGGAATTTTACTCACTATTTCTATATATATCTTTTTTATCACAGAGTATCTTAAATTGACGAGTCGTCATTTTTACATTCAAACACAGATAATCCTTGGTACACATGGATTTGATGGCTCAAATTTCGACTGTGAGCTGTGAAGACTTTTACTGATTGGCTTAGCTTAAAAAAAATCCCGTTTCTGAGACTAAAGTATGATTGGTCAAAAAAAAAAAAAAAAAAAAAAGGCACATCTGTCCCTTTAAACTAGCATTGCCTCTTATTTTTATGATGTAGTTTTTATGTAGCCCCTATATCTAAATTATAATTGTTTGTTTTTATATAGACTATCCTTTATTAAAGCCTACGTGATCATTGAACTAGGTGTAAATGTGTCATATTTATTTATAGCTGGCAATATTCTTTAAAGGTCATTATATAAGATGGTTTTTTTTTTCTGTTTTTTGACTTACTGGTTTTGAATAGATATTTTATGATTTCGAGAAAATTAGAGGTATGCATTATGCTGTTGGTGGTCAAAATATCAAAATTTTTGCATCATAGAAAAAGTTTAGATTTATGACATTTATTTACATTATTCCACAATAAAAAGATTTTTCTTTCCTTTTTTGGTCCTTAATTTAGGCAAAAATCTGAACTGATCGCAAAAGGGTCTTATGTGATAAAAGCAAATTTTGCGATTAATGACATCATCAAACACTTAGTTTAAGTGGAATTTCAGGAACCACAGATGTCTGAATGAAAATTGAAATGTTGCAAATTGATGCTATCAATGTCCTCGATACACAGAAAAAATTTAAGTTTTTTTCTTGATCTTTTGGTCTCAAATCCAGTATAGATCCATCAGTACTTTTCAAACCTGTTTGGCCTTGCCAGCAATACATGTTGAAAGGTTTGACATTGAATCGAAGACAAAATTGAAGCTCTGTTTGCTACAGGCTTCGGAAAAAATTAATTTTACTGCCACTTTCTTGGCAAAATTTCCCTCATTATGCACTGCATGGCATGAAGGCCTGTCTTCCTTAGTCTTATCATGGCAGAATATAATATATTCAAATTGTTTATATTTTGAAATTTCAGGTTGAGTGTCCTCTAACTTAAGAGTTATCTTGACACCAGATTTAGTATTTCCTATTCAGTTTTATTGATCAATAGAAATATTGCTTTATCATGGTTGTTTATGCTAGATATTAGGCAATATGTAATTTATATGATATATTACTCTATAAGCTTGTGTATAGTCACTGTATAAGGTGATATTTTCTTGGAAATTTTACCATTTCATAAATGTGTAAGTAAGCTTATATAATGTTCTTTTTTTTCATCCTAGTCAACAACAGCATTTGAAATACTTTGAAAAATCTGTTTTTTGGAATTTTGGAAAACTTCTGATGCATATTCATGTACGGTACTTTATTAATCTCTTTCTTGGATTTCCAAGTAGTTCCATTAAAACGTTCCCGCCAACAGGTGACGCAATTTTATATCCCACGTGATATTCTTATGCTGATAACTTATCTAGATCATTTCCAGAGGAAATCCACATAGATTTATCTATCTGGATAACATCTGGTTATAACTGCATAAATTTATTTGCCATTTCGAAAGCAACTGGTAGTTATTTGGATAAAACTGGATAAAACTGAATTACTTTTGCAGTGCAGTATAACACCCCAAAAATTTCATTTGTAAAGAGGTTTCTGCACAACAAATCTCTCAACTGATCTTATATATACGTAGAACAAAAAGTTAAGGGCCACAAGATTTTGAACCATTGTTTCATAAATGAATTCAATTCACAATCATACTTGATAACACAGATGTATATATTTGGACCTAATGTTAAAAACAATATGTATTCGTGAAAAAATCAACAACAGGAAGTGGATGATCATACATTATATTATCTTTATAGCCCCAAATGCAAAGTATCTGTTTTTCATCAGTCTTTGAATGTCCTGTTGAGGATTTGCTGCAATGCTGCATCCAACTCTGTTACAGGTCTCTATGACGTACGCGACATCCCAGAATATATTGAATTAAAGTTAGTGGCGCTTAACTTTTTGTTCTACGTATATATACACTGTCTAGATATATGTAAGGGCAATTATCAAAGTAACAGCTTATATAACCTTTATAGTGTACATAGTGTGCGATCAATATCTATATAAAATTACTCTATATGTGAGTTGATAATTTGCTTTGAGCTAAAGGTGAAAATTGGTGTTAACTAAGATATATTATGATCAATCTGTAGATGGATAAATATGTTAGATGGATAAATTTGATATAGGTATGTTAGATGGATAAATTTGATATAGGTATTTTTAGTGTATGTTAGATGAATAAATTTGATATAGGTATGTTAGGGTATGTTAGATGGATAAATTTGATATAGGTATGTTAGATGGATAAATTTGATATAGGTATGTTAGGGTATGTTAGACGAATAAATTTGATATAAGTATGTTAGGGTATGTTAGATGGATAAATTTGATATAGGTATGTTAGATGGATAAATTTGATATAGGTATGCTAGATGGATAAATTTGATATAGGTATGTTAGATGGATAAATTTGTTATAGGTATGTTAGTAAGGAAGAAATTCCTCATGGAAATTATAATGTAAACTACAGAAATCAATTTATAGACTGATTTAGAAGTTGAGTGTATTCCACAAGTATTCAACTTCACATATTACATGCAATAGGTTGACATTTGTAACAGTTTTGTCTACCAGCAATATTCACTGTAAAGATCATTTTGATTTATTTTCTTTTCAAAAAGGTTATCATTTTCATTAAAATTACTTTTTTGTACTTTGTATTTAATTTGATTTATACATGCAAATGTCTTGTCTTGAGCTTTGAGAGGGCTTAATTTTCTCTTCAAAATAAGTTCTGAGCGGTGGGGGTCATAACCTAATGGCCCACCCCCCTAACGCCATTGCATATCATTGCCTGTCAAGTTATAAAGGTTTAAGTTGAATTGAGTGTGTGATGGATATCATATGAACATGTGTTCAATCAAAATCTATTTTTTGTTGCAGATAGAAAACAGTACAATGTTCAATAAATAAACAAAATGAAGATACCACATTGAATGAGAAAAGTAGATTTTTTGTAGACGGTAAGTCTATTATGATTGATACTCTTCACTCTTTAAGGAAAGAAAGGTCATTCTCAATTATAACTTGGAAACTGTGACACTCTGCAGCAGTGGCATTTTTAGGAAACATCAGGTGAAGGGGGCCGAGCAGGGACCACAAAATTTTCCAGGAGAGGGCCACTTCTCATTTCTTTCACTATGTAAAATGATAAAAACTTTGAAAGTGGGGGGCCAATGCTGGGCCAGTAACTTTTCTGGAGGATCATAATAAATTTATTTTTTTTGGAATCAACATTAGTAATTGTGTTTATTAAAAATAATACTGATCACAATTGTTTTTTTTTTTTCAGAATAACAAAAATAACTTTCTAAGATGGGTTTTGGAACTCAATTACGTTTGTTATTATGGAAGAATTTTATGCTGAGGAAAAGACATCCTGTAAGTACGAAAGCCTATGTAAATTATTGGAATAGCCCAGTATCTGCATTTTATTACATGACTTAATATCCAACTTTCTAATGCTGTTATCACAAAAAAGGTCTTGGTCGACTAGAAACTTATCAAAAGTTTCGCCGACCGGCTGCGGGCACACAATGATACAAAAGATCACCATTTTGTCATTTTCCACTGTGTTGATAATCATGTGTGGATCATGCAATTGAAAGGAAAATTAATCTGATTGGATGATGAAGCTCAGTCTTGCAGACGATAAAACAATTGACGACAAATATCAATCTCGTTTGATATAATAAATCCTTGTCATGGAAGCGCAGGCACACCTGAGATTTTAACGAAGAACTGTTAATGAAAATCTTGTTCATCTTATTTCAGTTAAGAGTGATAATAGAACTATGCTGGCCATTGTGTTTATTTCTTATCTTAGTCTTAGTGAAGACCAGACCAGATTTAGAAGAGAATGTACCAGAATGTAAGTTGAACGTTTTAGTGTTAGGCAACTCTGATACTTATTTAGGAGTGGAATGGAATGTTAAAAGAAAGAAGAATACATAAGCAACGAATAGAACTCAATTCTAATCATCTAAAAATTAGATGTGCAGTGTTGTTACATACGAAACATACAGTCAAGTTGATGGCCAAACCTCTTTCCTTATTCAAGTTCACCAGTTCACACGACCGAGATTAAAACCTACAACCATCGACGTATACAAGCATGGACTTCAAATTTTCTAACCTACTGCTACAGACCTCAAGCTTCTGATCTTTAATGATAAGTGAGAAGAGTTTTGCCATCACCTATCACCAGTCTGTGTTTGTGGACAGTATCCCTCTTTCAAATTTAATGTAACTGTTTATGTGTAGTGTAATGATTGTATTTTCGATATGTTATTATTTCATATCTTCAGGCCATTTTGATGGAAAGGCTATGCCTTCATCTGGATTACTTCCATTTCTACAGTCCTATTTATGTACCTACAACAACACTTGTCATATGAAAGTAACAGAAGATGAAACAGCTGGTGATGTCACTGGTTTTAACAATTCATTGTAAGTTTTCATTAATAGTTTTAACAATTCATTGTAAGTTTTCATAGATAGTTTTAACAATTCATTGTGAGTTTTCATTAATAGTTTTAACAATTCATTGTAAGTTTTCATTAATAGTTTTAACAATTCATTGTAAGTTTTCATTAGTAGTTTTAACAATTCATTTTAAGTTTTTAATGATATTTTTAACAATTCATTGTAAGTTTTCATTAATAGTTTTAACAATTCATTATAAGTTTTCATTGATAGTTTTAAAAATATATTGTTAGTTTTCATTTATTGTTTTAACAATTCATTGTAAGTTTTCATTAATAGTTTTAACAATTCATTGCGAGTCTTCATTGATAGTTTGAACAATTCATAGTTAGTCTTCATTGATAGTTTGAACATTTCATTGCAAGTTTTTATGGATAGTTTTAACAATTCATTGCAAGTTTTCATTAATAGTTTTAACAATTCATTGTAAGTTTTTATTGATATTTTTAACAATTCATTGTAAGTTTTCATTAATAGTTTTAACAATTCATTGCGAGTCTTCATTGATAGTTTGAACAATTCATTGTTAGTCTTCATTGATAGTTTGAACATTTCATTGCAAGTTTTTATTGATAGTTTTAACAATTCATTGCAAGTTTTCATTAATAGTTTTAACAATTCATTATAAGTTTTTATTGATAGTTTTAAAAATATATTGTTAGTTTTCATTGATAGTTTGAACAATTCATTGTTAGTTTTCATTGATAGTTTTAACAATTCATTGTAAGTTTTCATTAATAGTTTTAACAATTCATTATAAGTTTTTATTGATAGTTTTAAAAATATATTGTTAGTTTTCATTGATAGTTTGAACAATTCATTGTAAGTTTTCATTAATAGTTTTAACAATTCATTGTAAGTTTTTATTGATAGTTTTAACAATTCATTGTAAGTTTTTATTGATAGTTTTAACAATTATGTAATACCAACGACTATTTATTTATTTATTTTTTTTATTGTATTAATTTTGAACGCCAAAGGATAGAAAATAATTTAAATGGCCTGTTTGTAACATATACTTAGAAATATACTTTATATTTGATAGGTTGACACGATTTGTTAATGATATAGAAACTATTCTGTCTAGTAATATAGATAGAAATGAAATCGCTAGGGCTTTAGAAGATTTGAGTAATTTACAGAAACTCTTGTCTATGATAAGAAATGGTACATCTGAAGGTAAGACACAAAAATACATCAGCCAGCACACAAACCCCAGCAACTTACAATGTGACATCAAAAAAGAAAGAAGCAAATAGTCTGTGGTCAAACCTCGTGACAATGATCTTTCTGAGAAATTTACACTCATTAATAGCTTTTTGTATTGTGTTGAATATGACACTTAGACATTAGACATGTAGATGCTGATCAAAAATAGAACCCACTACTATTTTTTTTTTTTCAGCAAACCTCAACAAGAATTTAATGCTTGATCTTATTGTCATCACTATCATAAACATATTTTACTATATTTTTTAAGTCGTGGCTATGATATTTTAGCAGTAGCCAAATTGTTTATATTTTAGGTGAAATAAAACTAGGGAATCTATTGGTTGATCCTGATAGATTACGAGAACAAGTAGCCAATCAGAGCATAGATTTATCAGAAGAGTCTTTAGATCTTTTGTTAAATGGATCCATATCCTTAGACAAGGTAAACTCTTTTTTATTGGTAAAATTTGTACAAAATATATAGGATATAAAGGGATATATGGTAATATATGATAATCTTGATGATATCTTGACACGTATCTCTTGATGTTACTTTGACTTTGGATTAATTCTGTAATCAGTTTTATCTAAATTAGACGAAACTTTCTTTCCTTTTTTTTGTTAGCTTTATTTTTAACCTAGCCACTTCAGTTAGTGTCTAAAGACTGCCCTTTTGAACATTCATCCGTTAGATGACACTGCCAGCCAATCAAGTTTCTGCCCCCTCCAACGCTAAGATTTTGTGACACAAACGAAGAGTGTATTCGTAGAATAGTTTATCAACTGAATACACCTTTTGTTTGCATCACAAATTACCACGATAGACATGGCAGGAATTTTATTTTGATGAAACCGTTACTGAATACTGAATAATGCTTTTTTCAGGTTCTTGACATATTCAACTCTTCATCATTTAGAAATATTTTGAACAGAGCCAATGAGACCACTGTTCGAGAAGCTATTTGTCAAGAAGAAATACTAACTCGATGGTTTGAATTCAGTGATCCTAACACTGCATCTTTACTACAAGATCAGATCTGTAACTTAACTCAACTACAGGCTCAAGAACTGTATGATGACTTTATGGCTGAATACAACTCAACATATGCCTTTAATGAAGTAAGTTTGTAGATCATCAGCACAATTCACTATGCTGTAATGAATATACTGAATAACAATATTAGCTATAAGGATTGCTGAAAGGGATGCTGAGTTGAGAAGCTGAGTCACAAGCTGTGCATGCCCTAGTTCACTAGTAACACTTGCGAAATGTGGCGTATTTTAGTGGCGTTTAAATTTTTTAGTCTTTTGACTTAAGTTCTTCTATATTCTGACAAGGGTTGAAATCGTTACTAGTCAGAATTCTTTCTTACCTTGAGAAGATCACCGAGCAGACAACAATCCAATTGACTACCACTGCCATATATGAGATGTGTCGAATATGAAGTTGTAACTCTGGTATAGAAAGTGACTACTAAACTGCTATTTCTATTTTTCAGATTAGAGAATACTGGACAAAGAACCTAGGTGTTGGTCCTAATTTTGATCTGGAGCTTGTAGAGATGCTAGCTAAAACATATAGTGATGTAAGTTTTACAGTTTTAAAGGAAAAAATTACCCTGTTGCATAATGGCACCATGTGCTTTTGAAGGATGAATGTATTTTGGAACTTGGGATCGAAAACTTAAATCAAGGAATGCCCATTTTATAAGAATTGCAGGAATTAAGGAATCTATATGGGTTTGTAGACTACTATCCTATTCAGATTATGAAATTAGAAAGTTAATCATACAATATCTTTCAGATCATACAATGTCTTTCAGATTATGAAATTAGAAAGTTTATCATACAACGTCTTTCAGATCATGAAATTAGAAAGTTTATCATACAAATCTTTCATATCATGAAATTAGAAAGTTTATCAAACGATAGCTTTCAGATCATGAAATTAGAAAGTTTATCATACAATATCTTTCAGATCATGAAAATAGAAAGGTTATAATACAATATCTTTCAGATCATGAAATTAAAAAGTTTATCATACAATGTCTTTCAGATCATGAAATTAGAAAGTTTATCATACAATATCTTTCAGATCATGACATTAGAAAGTTTATCATACAATATCTTTCAGATCATGAAATTAGAAAGTTTATCATACAATATCTTTCAGATCATGAAATTAAAAAGTTTATCATACATTATCTTTCAGATTATGAAATTAGAAAGTTTATCATACAATATCTTTCAGATCATGAAATTAGAAAGTTTATCATACAATATCTTTCAGATCATGAAATTAGAAAGTTTATCATACAATATCTTTCAGATCATGAAATTAGAAAGTTTATCATACAATATCTTTCAGATCATGAAATTGGAAAGTTTAGAGTTTATTCTGAATGATTATGAACGAATACAGAATGATTTTAGAAATAGTAATATGACAGGGGGTAATGGTACTCGAAATCTTCTGGAATCCATGGGAACACTATTATGTGGACGCTCTCAAACCTTCGTGAATTTAAATAATGCTGACCGCCTGGGTGGTTCTAATAATTTCTTTGGTGGTGGTGGTAATGATGATGATGAAGATGCCAAAAAGAAAACAGCAAAAATAAAATTGGCTTACAAAGATGCAAGTAAGTGGCTATTTTCATGTTGAATGGGATATAATTTCAGCTACTTGTTGCATAGTTCAGAATCTGGCAAGATATAACCAAAGACAAGGGTGGCGCTTGATTGGTTAGCTCTGAACCTTGATCTGAGTTTCTGGCCTAAATCGAGCGGTACAAAATCACATAAAATTTTCCCTCCTATTCCTTTATCCACCATTTTGAATTCTGTCTGCACCTGCTATTCTTTCAGCACATGTGTAACACATTCTGAACTCTGTTCCAACTTGTTTTATTGTACAACCGGATGATTCTGTGAATCCAGAATATGAAGGACTCACCAATTGAGCGCCCCCATTATGATATCGTAATATCAGAGATATTTAATGCCTATTGTGTTATTTTAGCTCCATTCTGTCAAGATGTGTTTGTATCTATCGAAAGCAACAATTTATTCAGCATTGTATGGAGGTATTTGAAACCTATTGTATTAGGTGTTATACCTTATACCCCTGATACACCTCGAGTTCAAGAAATTATTAGACTGGTAGGTTTCACTCATTTATTATTACTAATACCTATCTTTACTATTATTTTTTGAAATCATAGATATATTTTGACCAGGCCACATATCCTCGAAATGATCTCCAACAATTCTTTATGGATTCTGTAAGCATGTTGTCGTCCATCCGTTCATCGATAAAAAACGGCCATGATGCAGTACAATAAAATTTGCTTATAATTCTCCATAGACTAAACATGAACCAAATGTGAATGGACAGCAAACAATGATTTGTACTTGCAATCAAAGCTGCTGGTGGGCGTATGTCACCATGGTTCTTACGTCTATCCTTATTTTTGAAAGTAGATGTAATAAAAAGTATGCCCTTCAGCATTATACTATTATCTATTGCAGGCCAATCAGACATTTTTAGATATCTCTGAACTGATTAACCTAGCTGATGATTGGGATAGGTTATTACCACAGATATATAACTACTTAAACGGTCCAAATATAGATTTTATCAGGGTAAGTTATACAAATTATACAGAGATATCAATTTGATGTTAAGTAATCAAACATAAAGCACCGTCACCCATGTCCCTTGGTTTGTCCCTCCACTATTGCTCTTAAACACTAGAAGGCACAATTAAACACAATTCTTGACTGATTTATTATCACCCAAGATTGAACCCTATTGAAAATTTTAAAAAATCACACATTTTGGCAATATAATTTGAATGATATTGATCATTATCACCCAAAAAATCAATCAATCATTTTCTCCTTTCTAGTATAACTAATGCAGTCATGTATATAAGAATTGTTGATTTTAGAATGTCCAAGATCAGAAAAGTTCTGCAAACAATTGTACATATTTGGTGCCTTAAGATTTTTTCAGTGCTTCCATTAACTAGTGTTATAAGTTTTTTTTTTATCAATGAAATGCTGTGTTTTAGCATAGCCTGACCCTTCCAATTCCACATCATATATTTGATGAGTCGCAAGTTTTTGAGAATTTTCATCATGGCAAAAATTTTGATATCTACACAAAGCTGAACCACCAAAGAGTCCATCAAGATTTTACCAGATATTCTACAATGTCCCTGTGCATAACACAGTACCATAATACAGCTGAGGGGTAGTCTTTTCCTTACTTCAAGCAACTCTTATAGTATATAGCCTACCCATTGACCTTTGACATTGCTAGTTCATGAATCAATCATTTTCTTCAGCAATTCATCAACACAGGACAGTGTCGATATTTTGAAGATTCAGTAAAAAAGGCGCAAGCTGGAGAAAATCAAGTGATACCCTGGTTACAAGGACTAATGGGAGACAGGTTTAACCTGAGTGGTATTCCCACTTTAAATCGTGACTTTAAGATATGTGAATATATTGGAAGGTTTATATATAATGGAGAAGATGAGAGTGGTTATGATTGGAGAGATTCTCTCAACTATACTGACATACAACTACAGACTTTAAAGAAATATCTACAGGTATGTGTATCATATTTTACTTTTTGTCTCAAGCTTTTGTCTTCCAAAAAAATGAAAGAAAAAGCATATCTTACAAGGATAACAACTGGAAACCCATCTTTAAAGGAAGTAAGAAAAGAAAAGAAAAGAAAGAAACAACTATATTTTACAAGAAAAACAACTAAAGATCTTAGTTAATGATCCTTTCTACCAGTTTGTCCTTGATCAACCTCTTGGCATTGATCTTCTTGGATTTTCTGGGCAAAGTTTTGATTGGCTGGCAGTGCAGTGCCAATCAAACAGACAATTGTTCAAAAAGGCTGTCTTAAGAGCCTAACTGAAGTGGATATATTAAAAATAAAAGCTGATAAAAAACATAAAAGTTCAGTCTAATTTTGAAACCACTTCATAAAATTTTCACTTGCTGACTGAGATTAGAACCAATGACCGCCATTTGTACAAATGCTCTAACAGACTATTATACAAAAAACTGAATAGAACAATTATGTTTTAAATAGTACTAGATGTGTACAGACATCTTTTCTTCACTGCTGCTCTTTAGTTTTATTACATTACATTTTATTGAATTTAATTTCAGTGTTTTAAATTTGATAAGTTTATACCATATAAAGATGAGACATCTCTAACTATAGATTCAGTTAAACTAACTAGTAATAATACATTATTGGCTGGTAAGAAATGAATTTATATATTAAGTACAGTATAACAGTATATCAAACGAGTTCAATAACGGTATTCATTGAGCCTGTGGGAGAGACAAATTTTTATTATATTTTACTTTTGAGTGTTTTATGGAGATTTTTGTTTGTTTTTAAGCTTTGGTATTTAATGAAATTGATGATAACACAACCCACATTAAGTATAAAATACGTATGAACTCAGATAACGTAGATAGTACCAAGAATATTCAAGACAGGTTGGTACCTTTTGTGACTTCAAAGAAAGAAGATACAAAAAACAAGGATACTGTTTGTGAAATGGTCCTTGGTGAAACCTTTTAGCATTTTTCTTTCCCAGATTATCCATACCGTTGTCAAGCAACCAAGATTTTAACAGACTTGAGTCCAAGTGTCTTTGATACAAATCTTCACATCAGAAAGATAAAATATAAGTTTTTATGATTTACAGATATTGGAGACCAGGAGCTAGAGCTAGCCCTACACAAGATTTAAAATATGTTATGTTTGGTTTCGCCTTTATACAAGATATGGTGGACCATGCTATAATACAAGTACAGACTGGAGAACCATCTAGAATCGGTGTTGTTTTACAACAGTTTCCATATCCATGTTATATCAATGACAAGTAAGTACTAAGTGTATGTCAATTAAGCAATAAACAAACTGTTAACCTATGGCGGTTATGGTCGTATATATCAGGACAAAGGTTGGCTCGAAAATTGAATAAATGCGCGTTAGTGCTGGTTATTAACTTTGTTTTTGGCAGTTTCACAATCTCATTGGTCATAATGATCTACTTTGAGTTTCGCTATCCCACAATTCATAGTTCATATTAAGACATGGGTTTTGCATGATGCGCTGTGATTGGTTGAAATGAATGTCAACATGGTTTCATTGCCAAAATTGAAATTTTAACATAAAATGTATTTATCGCTGAATGTCAACTGCTCTATGAATTGTAGTTCCCTTTGTTATAATAATGCAATGCATGGTGGATGCCAAGCATTATGGGATTTCACTTGAAAACATGTTGGTTTGAAAACATGCTGTGTCAAAAAAAATTAAAGTGTCGTTTGGTGAAACCAATATTCAACAGTAAATTCCAGAACTGTTTGAGACACTTTCTGGTGACTGACCATGTCAAAATAATTCTCAGAATTAATGTTAAATGCTTATTTTCAGATTCACTCGTACAATATCTAGAACTATACCATTATTTATGGTTATTAGTTGGATCTATACGGTAGCCATGTTGGTTAAAGGTATTGTGTATGAGAAGGAGGAAAGGTTAAAGGAGGTCATGAAGATTATGGGACTAAGTAATGGAGTACATTGGTTAGCTTGGTTTATTAATGCCTTTATAATGATGTTTATAACTGTAGTCATACTGGTACTTATTTTAAAGGTAGGGAACTAGAGTCATTTAATCAACTCCATTAATTTGCAAACATTACTACCTGTTTTGCTTAATAGATGCTTCTTAAAGATGGGTTCCCTTATTTTCATTTATGAAAATGAAAATGCTAATACTTATATGAATAGAAGGAAGAGGTGTTCTAATGACTTGGAAAAATACCAGTTTGTCTCACATGTCTATAATTAATTCATAATTAGCTAAATTAGAAGAGAATTACCAGCAGAATTCCAATGAGTCCAAGTCAAAATGTCTTTTTTTGTTTATCCAGACTGTACATACATTGACATTTATCATTGGTTAAAACTCTTTATTATATGCAATAAGAACAAAATGATATGATTACGATTAAGAATACATGATAATTCATTAGAAACACCAATTAATCAAATAGTTTGCTTAATTTGACACTAAAAAATAAAGAAACCCATCTTTAAAGGAAGTAAGAAAAGAAAAGAAAGGAACAACTATATTTTACTAGGATAATAAATTTGGTTCACAGTTAGAGATCCTTTCTATCAGCTGGTCCTTGGCCAAACCTCTTGGCATTGATCTTTCCTGGATTATCCATGCCCATTTACAGCTGGGTTAACTGGAATTATGAGTGAAGATGACTTATTCAAGGTCATCGGACTATTATCGAGATCAGAACCCACAGCTGCCATTCACTCAACGTAACCAAGCAAATGACGTCAAATGACCAACGCTTTAACCGACTGTGCTATATAACCTCATAATTTATATGCAACAGGAATCAATTTATAAAGATAAAATCTTAAGATCTAGAGGTTTCTGTATACCAACTGTTTCGTGGCATTTTTCAGCTGGGTTCACTCGAATGATGACTTATTTAAGGGCACCAGACTTTGATCCTGTCACTAAGGACCTCCAATTCACTATTTTATTCATGAAAAAAAAAATTCCAAAGACACTTTCTGACAAAGCTACAATCAAACCTACAGCTTAATGTAATGCCGGAGTAGAAGAAGAAATTTGATTTGTTGGAATCTTCATGTTATTTGCTTCGTTCTATCAATTAAATGGTGGTTGTTGGTTGTAAAAATGTTAAGAGTATGAAAGTCGAGTGACCTTGAAAAAGTCTCATCGTAATATGGGTAGACCCTCTGTAAATACATGCATTATCTAGGAAAGATCAATGTCAAGAGGTTCGGCAAAGGTCCAGCTGGCAGTGGTAGAGCCAGGTTTATTTCCGAGGGGGGCAAAATATCTGAGATTGGCCGAATTTCAAACCTTGTTATGAGATATTTGCTCGAAAAATTTGACTTCGAGGCTGCGAGGGGGGTTGGTTGTCCCATCTGCCCCCCTTTGGCTCCGCCACTGTCAGCTTCTTTGAAAATCATGTAAAACATTTTTTTTTCTTTCTCATGACCATCATTATTACACTTCTAACACTGTCCCCATGTTTCCTTTTGCATTGGTGATGTCATCATATAATGATAAATATTTTGAATTTCAGTATGGTGGTATATTAGAGTACTCAGATCCAACTGTAATACTGGTGTTCCTATTGGCCTTCACCTTCTCTACCATAATGCTGTGTTTCTTCATCAGTACTTTGTTCTCGAAGGCCAATTTATCAGCTGTCTGTGGTGCCTTTATATACTTCATGTTATATCTTCCCTACACATTTATTACTAGATGGGAAGAAATTATGACCACTTCTCAAAAAGCAGCTCTGGTGAGTTTATTTTTAGCATTTTTGCTGGATTTAACCATCTTTTTACCTTCATCTCTCAATAGGAGAGATCAGCAATGACATCATTGATAATAGTATGTGTATCACATGATATACAAAAACTTACTGTTGTTAGAGTGGTTTGTCCTACCACTTGTCCTTCTTAAGTCAGACGTACGTTCTATTTTTAGTCTATTATGGCTAAGCTGATCCCTCCTTTACAGATCGTAGACTGCCATTTTGAATGATCTCTCTTGTCATTTTCTCATGTATCATTTTTAGGTTTTAACCATGTGTCATTTTTTTGCATACTGACTTTTTTGAAAGTCGCTTGACATCATGAAATTTAACTATCTCTGTCCCAAGTACGGGGTTTTAAATGCTTGAAAGAAACACGGTAGAAAGATGTAATGGTTTCAGATGCATTGAAGAGACAATGATGTATGTGTAACTGATTACAGAATATTTGGCAATATAATGATTGACTCATTAATGGTTCAGCTTTGAATAGATACCAAAATTTGTTCCAAATTGGGCTTTTGTTATGGTGAAAATTCTCAAAACAAGCGACCCAAAAATGAAGCAACTCCCAAGAAAATCAACATTAAAACCCTAAACCCAACTCTGATATCCCATCCGAATATCAACTTTTGAGAATCTGATGGGGTTAGATTTCTTAAGCAAGTGTAACTGGTGATAAGTTTAAATAAGAATATGATATATTTTGTTATTTTAGTCTCTCGCTAACTGTGTACCACTAGGATTTGGATGTAGTTATATATCTAGATATGAAGAACAAGCTATAGGTATACAATGGAGTAATATTGCCAGTAGCCCTATGGTGGATGATGGTTTTAATATGCAGTATTGTATTGGTATGATGATTATAGATGGTATATTATATGGTATTTTAACATGGTATATTGAGGCGGTATTCCCTGGTAAGGCTATTTATTGAATTAAATTTTTTACCAAATTAAAGATATTCAAAAGAAGTTTTTATTTCTATTGTGTGCGCAAAGTAAAAAGTTTTTTGAATTTTTTCTTTACTTTTTAAGAGAATTGTAAGTCTTGGAATGTCTTTGCATTGATAAAAGTATTAACGTGAGCGCACATTTTGTTTTTACAGAGGCCGTTTTTCAGCCAAAATATTGCCTTTTTTGGATATATATTTCTAGGAGAGAAATGTGTTTATTTTCAATGTAAATTTATAAAAGAATTATATTTTTATCAACTCAAAGACATTCTAAGACAGTCAGTATTCTGATATTCCAATTCTAATAATAATAATGGGAAAAATTCAAAAAAAATTTTATTTTGCTCAAACAAAAGCTTTCGTATATGTTACACTATATGCTCCTATTTATACCATCTCAATTTCTCATCCAAGTCGTGTTATTCACCAGTATAAGAAAAACTTTTTCTTTTAGGACAATTTGGTATTCCAAAGAAATTCTATTTCTTCATACAGAAATCGTACTGGTTTGGTGCTCAGTATAATGTGGATTCTGAAAGTCCTGTTGAAGCCATGCAGTTAGGCTGTAAGTCAATTAGAATTTTTGATTTAAAGGTGGAGTGTGTTTCACCTGAATAGAAACAGAAAATGTGAGGTTTTACTGATATTGCGAAGCCAATTTTAGATTTTCATTATTGTCAGTAAAAGAACATTCTTTTTTTATGAACTTCCTTTGGTAAAACAGATTTTAAAAATTCTTTTAACCATAAGGTTTATTTTTAACTTTTCAAAAGATATTTTGATATATGCCTGTAAACTGACACACTACCACCTTAATAGAATACAAATTTCAGAAATAAAGTGAGATTATTTTTCTGAAGGTTTATGCGTGATGGCTACTACATTCCTAAGACAGCACATCAATGTGTAATCTTTGGCTGTTGTGTGGTTGATATAGCTTTTGCATGTTGTCGAACGACCTACCAACAGGATGCCCAATTCTGCAAATTTTTTTTGTAATCAAATATTCAAATTCTCTACAATAAATCAACAAAATATCAATCATTAATATTTAGTCTTGAAATATTTCTCAGAAGATTTGATAAATTACTACTGGTGCCATCTTTGGTTTTCGTTGCACAGGTGATAAAGAAAAAATAGAAGCAGAACCCAGAGATAAATCGGTGGGTGTAGGAATACGTAATCTGAGAAAAGTTTACTCCACTGGAAAGAAAGTTGCTGTTGATGGTTTGTCATTGAATTTCTATGAAGACCAAATCACATCTTTCTTAGGACATAATGGTGCTGGTAAAACCACAACAATGTAAGTTTTGACTTTTCTGAACATATTTTGTACAATATTGGAAAAATAACTAGAAATCATCAATTTTGTCAAACCCTGTGCTAATTAATTTTTAATTATTGTTTATGATCATATTAATTAATGATATGATTATACTATTTCATGTCCTCTAAGCTATGATTTGATATTATCATTGATATTATATGGTATTTCATGATACTAAATGATATTTCATGATATTCTATGGTATTTCATGATATTCTATGGTATTTCATGATATATGATATTTCATAATATTATCATTGATACTAGCATTGATATTATATGGTATTTTATGATATTATATGATATTATTTGATATTATCATTGATATTATATGATATTTCATGATATTATCATTGATATTATCATTTTATAATATTTTATGATATTATAATTCATATTATATGGTATTTTGTGATATATGATATTATATATTATGTTATGATATTATATGATATTTCATGATATCATTGATATTATATGATATTTTATAATATTTTATGATATTATCATTCATATATTGTATTTTATGTATTTTATTTTATGTATTTAATGAAATTTGATATGGTATTTTAGGTCAATATTAACTGGTCTGTTCCCACCAACTGAAGGTACAGCCTATATTTATGGTAAAGATATTAGAACTGATATGGATGATATTAGAAACAGTATAGGAATGTGTCCACAACATAACGTCTTATTTGACAGGTAAAGTTTTCTTGTTGTTTTCAAAGGTCAGGTATGAAGTTTAATTGAACAGTGTATCATCCATTTGACAAGAGCTGTTAGGATACAAAACCATCATCGATATTGGCTCACAGTTTCGAAAGCAAAAGTTCAATTAATGAATGAGATTTGCAATATGAGTGCAAAGAAGGACATTGATGGCTTAGAAAATTGACCATACATAAGCAGATATCCTTGTTTTTCATTTTTTCTATACAAATCAGAAAAAAACCCAGAACATTTAAGCTTGAGTAAAGTAAGGCCTTACTTCCAGTAATAAGCATTTGGGATTTGATTTTAGGATAACTTATGACTCAATGAAACAGTGAAAGCATTTTTTTTTTTTTTTTTAGATTGACTGTAGAGGAACATATTTGGTTCTATGCCAGTTTAAAGGGTTGTACTAAACAGCAAGTACAGACTGAAATGCCCAAAATTATCGAAGATGTTGGTTTAGTTAATAAAACTAAAGAAATGTCCAGGAACCTATCAGGTAACAATAGTTTCATTGACCTGCCACCATTTTGAAAAAAGGCTGTTTAGAAGTTAACATCATCTATTTCTACAAATTTATATTTTCTACATTCCCACCATTTTTATTCCTTGATTTATGTAATACTAGAATTACTAGAATTGTAAATGCCACTGAAGCCAAATGGTTTTTGAGATAATGATAGCACAAAAAACAATAACCCTGATCTGGAAACAGGAATGGTGCAAACAGAAAACAGAAAACCTGGTTTAAACTGGAAACAGGAATGGTGCAAACAGAAAACAGAAAACCTGGTTTAAACTGGAAACAGGAATGGTGCAAATAGAAAACAGAAAACCTGGTTTAAACTGGAAACAGGAATGGTGCAAACAGAAAACAGAAAACCTGGTTTAAACTGGAAACAGGAATGGTGCAAACAGAAAACAGAAAACCTGGTTTAAACTGGAAACCGGAATGGTGCAAAATGAAAACAGAAAACCTGGTTTAAACTGGAAACAGGAATGGTGCAAACAGAAGCCAGAAAACGTGGTTTAATACAGTTTGCATTAAGTCACTGTTTTTCCCTTTTACTCTCATCTGGTCAATCCATAACAAGTACCGGTATGAGTCCAAAGTTCAGACTAGTGGCCCAAGTAACATTTTTATAAAGAATTGAATGTGTATTTGTAGGTGGTATGAAAAGAAAGTTATCTGTAGCTATAGCGTTTGTTGGGGGATCTAAAACTGTGATATTAGATGAACCTACTGCTGGTGTTGATCCATATGCTAGAAGAGCCATCTGGGAATTACTTCTAAAACTAAGAAAAGGTAATGAAACTCGTGACTCTATAAGGAAGTCAAGGTGGCAATTCATTGGAGAGTCCTGAACAGGTTCTGTCTGTTCGCATTCTGTCACCAATTGAACGGTACAGAACCAGATTATGTTACATTCAAAAATTTCCCATCTATTTCCTTCTCCGCCATTTTGAATTCTGTCTGCACCTACTATTTTTTCAGCACACGTGGAAAGCGTTCTAGTGTTTTATTGAATGTTCTGGTGATTCCATAAAAAATGTGCAGAACTCACCAATCAAGGGGCCCCCTATATCCCTTTTTTACACCATTTGCTAGTGCTCATACGTGAAGTGATGAACCATGTTTTGATATTTTACCGTTAAATTACTGTTGAGGAGGTCAAGGTCACAATGCCCCATGAATTATAAGCTCTGAAATGTCTTAATCCCCACTGACCATTTCAGGACGAACTATAATCTTGTCTACACATCATATGGACGAAGCTGATATTCTGGGAGACCGAATAGCCATCATCTCCCATGGTAAACTGTGTTGTTGTGGCTCTAGTTTGTTTTTAAAGAGTAAATTTGGCAGTGGTTATTACCTGACACTGGTAAAACAAGATGGAAATGGTGCAGTCAATGTTGATGATGATGATGATGAAGATGGTTTGAAGAAAGCTTTAAATGATGATGATGGATTGAGACCTTCTACTGCTGGTAGTATCAGGACTATAGTTGATGTTAAGGTATGTATGTGAATGCTTGTATATAACAAACTTGATCTCTGAATATTATGACTCAGAATAACTATTGATCCCAGTTTCCACTGACTCAGGGATGGGAAATACTCGTCTCCTGTCATTAAAGATTTCAGAAGTTGATGCTGCAGGATGTTGTAGTTTCTATTGGGCAGGATTATCACTGGCCCTCCTAGTTTAAAATTTCAAACCATAATGCTATATAGAAACTCCACTGCTGTAGTCTATGACCTTCGACCCCTCCACCTAATGCCTTATAGAAACGCCACTGCTGTAGTCTATGACCTTCGACTCCTCCACCTAATGCCTTATAGAAACTCCACTGTGTAGTCTATGACCTTGGACCCCTCCACCTAATGTCTTATAGAAACTCCACTGCTGTAGTATATCACCTTCGACCTAAAGATGCAAAGAACTGTAATTGTGATAATGACTGTCTATGAACAACGTTTTCCATGTTGTAAAGACATTCAAAATCCAACAGCAAAGAGCATGGATAATTTTACATGTTACAGAATAATAATACAGAAGCCCTTTGACACCTCTGCATCTGCCTGACACCTCTGCATCTGCCAATGTGTATCTTGTTTTCTAGCCAATGGTAGGAGGAGATGTTGATGAAGGTTTTGGTGAAAGTAATGGAAGTACAACAGGAAGTAATGATACACCAACACCACCTAGTGATCCTGGTATGATCCCAGGTATTTTATTTAGCATTCAGCATGCATGAATAAAGATCTGACAGAGACTTGAGACTGCTGTTTGTTTATAGACATGATCTCATCTTGGCAGTAAGGCAATGTTTCAAGGAGTTTTCCATATAAAAGTGGATAGTGCTGTTGGGAATTTGAAGTTGTAGTTGTGATGAAAAATAACTGATTTCACTTCCAAAGCTATCCCAATGGTAGAAAAAAACTGTTAAAGGGATTGTAATGAGTTTTTTAAAAACTTTTTGTTTGTATTGGGGACACTGATAGCATCGATTTGCACCATTCCAATTTCCAATCAGATGTCAATGGTTCCTGCAATTCCAGTAAAACTAAGCGTTTTTTTATATCAATATCTCTAAAATCTGATCATAATCACTGGAAGTGGAACCACAGATGTCTGATTAAAAATTGGAATGGCGCAAGTGTCCCAATACATATAAAAAGTTAAAAAAAACCTGTTTACAATTCCTTTAAGAAATGCAATTGTTTTGTAGGTTTGTCTGTCGGTAGAATAACAGGATTTGTACAGAAATATGTCAAGAATGCTCAACTGGTAGAAGATAATTCTACAGAATTGTGCTACCAACTACCTACTGAAGCCATGTCTTCTGGTGATTTTGAGGCTTTATTTACCCAACTTGAAAGAAGTCATCATGAATTGGGAATAGACAGTTTTGGTTTGTCAGACACCAGTTTAGAAGAGGTATTAATATTAATTTTTGAAGAGCTCTGTTGCTGTTTTGCATTTTTTATGAGTCAGTACCAGGATTGGGTCATACTGATTAAAATTAAGCTCCAGAAAATATCAAAACAGAGCTTAAAATAACATGTTGTTGTTACTTAGAGTTTTCCGCTATGTGATGTTCAAACAACTGACCTACTTTCAGCTTGTGTTGAAGTTTGACATGGAAAAATTATTCTCATGTCTACACTTTGAGACGAGTTCGGAACCTTTGTTTAGAGAATATAGTTTGTTTCATTTACATTCTGTGCGCTACCCCACTCAGTCATGATCTAACAACAATTACAAGAGAGTCTCTCGACCAAAGTATGGCAAATTGAGAGAAAAAGTTGTATAGTTGTGGACTCCTCTATTATATTTCTTTGTAATTTTCTAGGTATTTTTGGCAGTAGCTGATGAGACCAATGTTGATGATTTAACTGATGAAGCTACAAGAAACAAGTTAGAAACAACAACAGAAAGTAAGTCCTATTATACTTCATTTTGATTTTATATTATGATTTTTAACAATTTGCATTCTACATTTGATTCTATTTCATTTTTTTATTAAAAGAAATTGTGAAAATTGCCATAATTTTAATGAAATGAAAGTTGTGTATTTTTAAGCAAACCTTTTTCTTTTTAGAAAATAATAAAATATGTCAGAATTTAACTTTAGCCTTTCACCTTGTTTTATAAAGTCTGTTTGTATTTGATGATAGACAAACTATATGTAGAATTCTTACACTGAAAAGTGATACAAGTAGTAGAAATTTCCCTCTATCAGCTGATTAAGCAAAAAATAATATTTTGGAAACAATAAACAATGATTAATTGATAGAAGGGGAAAGATTGGAGCGCAGGCTTTTGTATATTATACACCCCAATTCCAAAAAAAACCAATAAAAACCCAAATAATGTTGATCCAACCATAAAACAAACTCAAAATTCAAAATGATATTGGAAACAATTGGCAATACATTGGTAACAGCTAATGAACTTTTCAAATGAGGAAGTATATCAACCATAAAATCCCATTTACAGTAAATTTTCTCTTGATAACGCTGCCTGTATGAGAATGTGAAACGTTGAGTTCATAAATGTTAAAAATAGTATATCCATATATTTTGTGAATATTTAGTAAATTTTCATGTTTTATTATTGTTAACTATTTTTCCAGATGGTAAATATCCACGTCCAGTTACTAGACTAAGCTTTAGGAAGAAGAAAAAGTTTAATTTTCTACGGAACAGAAGAAGTCGTATTGAACATACTGAACTAGTAGAAGATACTGATGATAATGGTGAGTACTATTTAGATATTTAGACATTCGAACAAGTTTCTGCTTATACGATTCAAACATTAACACGAACAGCCCATTTTATTTTTAGGTGGTTTAGGTAGTATTCAACACAATGTAAGCTTAGTCTGTATAGGCCTATTACTATTTGTTTTACCTAAAGATAAAATGGACTGATTGTGTTTTGAATCTGAATTGGAAGAGCAGAACAATCTTTGCTAATTTAGTTAGTTTCTTAGTTTGTTTACTAACAATAATAGCTTATAAAGGTATATATTTTCATATGAAAATACTATTTGATACTAGTGAGTTGTTACTCTTTAGTCTTGAAGTCTCAAAGTTTTATTGGATCGTAAGGTTAATTGAGTACAGAAAAAATATATTAAGATACTGCAATCATCTGGCCTTTTGGGAAAAACTTTATTTTTCAATATCTAGAGTTTATGACAAAAATACTTCAACTTAACAGTGACGGCGCCGATCGGAATAAAATGTCTACCTTTTTTTATCCAAAATATGTGTCAGAATGCACAAAACCAATTTTTCTAAACATTTTCTTGAGAGAACCCTCTAAGACTCTCTATGAGAGACTTGTGACTATGACACCTCCACAGGGTAACCAAAATTTGAATTATTATTATCCCCCCATTGAATCAGTCTGCCCCTATTTGTACCCCCAGTCTCGGAAGGCTGGCGCCGCCACTGCAACTTAGATACTTCCCTTATTTGTGGCTAAGATTTGTTGCAAACTCCATGTGCATTATATTCTGAACAAAATCTTAATATCCTTTGTATTTCCTCTAAAAGCAACAAAATCACCTTTTAGGAGACCAGGTAATTGATCAAAAATAGTAACTGGAGCCAATCTTCCAAACTGTTGTATGAAGTTGAAGGCATTTCAAATACCATCTTCATACTGTCCAGCTATTATGAACTTAGTACTTATACCTTAACTTCAATAACTACTGTTCTTATGTCACGGAATGCAGTGATTTGATTGAATTGTACACCAGCGAATACAGCCAATCAGAGCCCGTGACAGATAGACTTTCTGTCAAGGCCTCTGATTGGCTGTATTCGCTAGCATACAATCAGATTAAAGATTAACAATCTTCCATGATACAAGAATGGTGGCTAATGCAGTCAAGGTATAAGTATGAAGTGCGATGTTATTTATATAATGTTCAGTCAAATTTATCACATGATTTATAAGCTTACTAACAAATATAAAAATGTGTTAATAGTTAAAAGTAAATATACATGCATGTGGAAGGTTGGCTCTTTAGATTATGCTTAGGCATCCTCTTCATTACCTCAATAGGTTATACATGTTTAGGTTTTACACTAATTGTATGTATTATATATAACATGTTTTAAGTGTTTTCTATTTTTCATGGTTATATATCACACATTTTCTGTGTTTTATATGCTTTATGGTTATATATCACACATTTTCTGTGTTTTATATGCTTTATGGTTATATATCACACATTTATTGTGTTTTATAAGCTTTATGGTTATATATCACACATTAACAGTGTTTTATATGTTTCATCGTTATATGTTTTATATGCTTCGGCCATTGTTATATCAAACATGTTGTTCACTGTGTGTGTTAGGATTTTACTTTAATAAATTACATCTTTTAGTGTAATATATGTCTCTTAGTTATAAATCACATATTTTCAGTGTATCCATCTGTACCAGTAGGCTCTGTACCAGTAGTCTCTGTACCAGTAGTCTCTGTACCAGTAGGCTCTGCTCTCATGTTCACAAGTCCATCATATTTCCTTGTAAAACTTCAAAACTCTAAAGTTTACACCTGATTTTGCTAAAAAGGCTTTAGTTCGAGCCCTTTTGAATATAAACCCAAGTGATCTTGCATATTGAATATAGGCTGTGCAGGTTATAGATCCCTAGATATTTGGAAATCGAAAAATAGCAGGATAATGCCGCCGTCCTGGCAAAATTTTCCTCATTGCACCCTGCATAGCATTGCCCATCTTCATTAGCCCACATGTGTGCAGAAAAGTAGGACGTAAAACTCCATTCATTTCATTTCATTTCTTCTAAAAATTAAAAGTGCTGAACTCACTTGGTTTTTTAATGGTTTTCTTAAAACTTGATATGAATAAATGTCATTAGTTACTGTTGTAGTTTGCAATGGTTAAAAGCTTGCCCAAATTGCAAGAAAAGATAGGGGCTGAAATTTTTGACTGAACAGTTTACAATTTTTTCGCGATGTAATTCATTGAAAATGCTTTATCTTTTAGATTTCAACCAATTTTGTATATTTGAAGTCTTAGCAATATGCAACAATTAAATTGTTACAATTTTGGAGTTTGGGGTTTTAAAAAAGGTTCATGTATTTTTCCACTGTTTTCTGTGAAACTTGGAATAAAATTCACGTTTTACCAATTGCATACCAAAATTGACGTTTTAGGGCATGATCAACTATATTCTCTACTGTAAACAGTTGTTTATTGTTTATTTATATATTTTGAGTTGATGTGTTTTTGTTTCTGATTATTTCAAGTGTTTGGTAGTAATGAGAGTATATATAGAGAATTATTACATCCAGAAGGTAGTCTTATTCTTACTTGGCTTAGAATTTGGATCCTGGTGACAGCTTAGGTTTAAGATTGCAAGTAGTATAGGCTATATGTGTATGCATGCCTCATGATTTGCTAAAATGATATTTTCGTAGCATGGGTCACAGTAAGAAGCATGGTTTTCTTTTATTTGCTTTTCCAAAGTGGCAAGTTGAATGTAAAAGTTTATTTCTTAAATGTTTTTTTTTTCATAATGGCATTTACACAACTCTTTATCTGCATAATAACAAAAAATTTAACACAAATGTTTTTGCCAAGCGTTTGGGTTGATTATGATGTCTGTGGACTCATCCTGTCCAAACCACACCCTCATTCGTCATACTTCCTCGAGTCTGTTGTAATACAAGTGAGAAAAATTATGCATTCATAGCTAAATATTTTCCAATCAGTGGCACCACTGTATTGGTGGCAAATTTCAGCCAATCAAAACAAATCACTTGTTATGATGCTTTGTTTGTGAACATAAACAAAACGAAAGCAGCTTGCTATTACATATTTTGATGAATATGTACAGTACAGAATTGAGTAAGATTTCCCTTAAAGAATTGAAGCCCAGAAAGAAAATCAAACCTTACTGTGGAATATTTTTTTGGAAAGAATTTGTTCTTATCTCTTCAAATGGATGGTGGCGATGTTGTGTTTTGTTTACATGACCTCATTTCTGTTCTACCGATCTGATTGGTCAGATTCAAATGCCACCAATCTCATTTCCATACCAACAAAACAAAGTGTAAAAGGTTTAGTTTAATATGGGTAACGGGTTAACAAAACCCATATTTGTGATACAATATCTATGAACTATACATATCTTTAAAATATATTTGAAATACACGACAATTATTTATCAAAGAATAAAAATATATTTTAAGAAGCATCATGATAAATACCCACATTTCCCATTTCAGTTATCAAAGTCATACAATTATTTGTTTGGCTTTTGCTTGAATCTACAGAAAAAATTAACATTATCACTGACAGTATACCGGTACAATTTGATTTGATCCTCAGGTTGTAGTGATAGATTTTGAGAGAGATAGATAGTGAATTCGGCTAATTATAAAAGAAATGGGATCGCACAATGGGTTGATTTTAATTGCAAATTGCAATTGGATACTGCTTGAATTGAGTCGTGAGTGCATGTTAAAGTGATACTACGTCTTACAATGAACATAAAATTTAAGTTCTCAAAATGAAAAATGTGAGTATATATTCATCAGTGAACTTACCTGGTGTCATAAAGTTACAACAGAATCCCTGTAAAATCTGGAAAAATTGGAAAATTCATAAAACTAAGTAATTATTGAAAAACACTTAATCTTGATATTTTTTCAATATTTATGGATAATTACTAAGTTTTTTGATTTATCGTATTATATAAGGATACTGTTATGTTATTTATGACACCAGGTATATCTACTGTTGAATATATGCTCTTATTGGCCAAGTTTAAAATTATTAAATTTTATGTTCATTCTTAGATGTAGTATTCCTTTAATATACTCTGACTCACAGCTTGCTTTAGTTTCATTTGGTTTTATTTCAATTTAAATGGGTGTGGTGCCAGGTAGGGTATGCTTACTCTTCTAGACACATGATACCACTTTCATTATGAAGTACTTACTCATGTATGATTGATATACTTCCTCATGTGAAAAGTTCATTAGCTGCTACCAATGTTTGTCAAAATGATTGGGTTTTGTTTTGCAGTTCGGATCATTAGTACTTATTTATTTCAGCTATCTTTTTCTATCTTAATTCTTTTCCCAAGAAGATTGTATTAACATTATGATGACTTTATCTATTAACTTGCATGTGAACCCATATAGAAGATTTTCATTCTAAGTGCTATGCATAGTGACTATATATGTATAGAAAACATGTTAGATTACAGTGGAAGCTGAAAATATCAGGAAAAGTAGAAACAACATTGTAAAATTATTTTGATAAGATTGTGAACCAACCTTCTTTGTCTCAGACTGTAAAATTTAGAGCAAGTTGGATCATGAGCAATATGGCGATGGAAAAATACTGTAGATTGAGTTTAATGTTCAAAACATCCAACTAGTCAAGAGCCTTATCATTAAACTATTGGTAGTAAATTTTACTCCATCTGTGGAACAAAATCATTTTGTAGACATTACCCTGTACTTAATTGCTCATTGTTGGTCCAAAGGTTGGTTAGTCAGATTTAATGATACACATATAGGCCCGCTCTCATAGGTCTCAATAAATTTTGGAAGCATATTCATTTTTTCTTGTTTTTTTTTTATATCAATTGTAATCTAACAAGTTTTCTACCTCAGTGCCGTTTTTATGACCCTATGTTAAACCAATGGAATCTTTTCACATAGAATGCATTTCTTGATTACAATACCAAATTGTGTGATATCTACTTGGGGTAGGCTGTCTCATTTGGGTCTTGCTATACCACAATTCATAAGTGTTATCAAGAATCAAGACACTCTTTGATTGGTAAAAAATAACGTCATAAGCACAGAACTGCAGTAGAATACTTGTTAGATTACTATGGAGATGCAAGATATTAATTAAACCATATCATCTAATAACACTGAGTTTTGTTTTTCAGTTTCTATTGCCTCCAGTACCTTAGAGAATAGAGTTGGATTTGCTAATTCTGGTGTTCAGAAACTTCATGGCTGGTCTCTTATATTCAATCAGTTTCTGGCTTTATTTATCAAACGATTCCACCATGTCAGACGCAGCAAGAAAGGTTTTGTTTGTGAGGTAAAAAATTAGTGGATTCTTCTAGAATTTCAAACTTTTAAAGTGCGTCCTGCATAGGGAATTGCCAGATATTTTCTCCTTAAAAACCACCAGGAGTCTTTTCAGTTTATTATCATTGATTGAGATCTTGAAGGTGTCCTCGAAATCATTATTTTTTGTGAGATCTAAATATATGAGGATTCATTAGCCAAAATCAAAATGAATCTATCAAATTGTATATTTTTCATGGAAAATTTTTGCCAAATCTAGAAATATACTACAGCTCTCTTTTCCATATCTTTAAGGAACTAATGTCATTTTCAAATTTTCAAAAATGGAACTCAAACATTTTAAATTGCTACCAAATTTTGATGTGATTTTAATCATACTTTAACATGGATAGCCAAAACTGAAATTTGGTGTGATAACTTGTTAATCAAATTTTCTAGTCTAAATTTAACTCTGCTCTGTGTGATATAAAGATAAATACTATATATAACAATATTCTTTATTACAGATCATTCTACCAGCTGGATTTGTTGCTCTAGCTATAGCTTTTAGTTTAATTCTACCACCATTGGTAACAGAACCTCCATTAGAACTACATCCATGGTTATATGTACCTAAAAAATCAGAGCCAAATCTCTACATGTTTTATTCGTAAGTTGCCATTGAATTTTTTTGATTTTTGTTTGTTATCAACCAAGGATGAACCCTGTCGAAAATCAGAAGAATTGAAATAATCAGGTTTTAGTTATTGCCCTTGTTGTAGTTGTTATATGTACTACAGCATCAGCCATATTTAGCTATTATTGGTTGTCAAGTAATGACAATCTTAGATGTACAAATTTTGAATATCCCTTTTGCAAAATATTGCTGTTAATTTTTGGGTGGTTGGAAATTTTGAGGACCATTTACTTTATCTTGATATTTCAAAGTCTATTCAACATCTAACCCTTATACAGTAAAGTTATCACTGAAAACCTTTTACCCACTCTTAGTTCTACTTACTTCAGTATTGAATTTGGCCTGTTTGCAAAGATGTTACCTGTTTCAGATAAGTTTGCATTATCAAATTATTGATGAAAATATGTGCATAACAAGTTATTTATATATAAGGGTCTTGTGTACCTGATAAACCAATTGTATTAAAGTGATACTACGTCTTAGAATGAACATAAAGTTTAGGATCTCAAGAATGGTCAATATGATTATATATTCATCAGTGAACTTACCTGGTGTCATAAAGTTACAACAGAATCCCTGGAAAATCTGAAAAATTTGAAAATTCATAAAACTGAGTAATTATTGAAAAACGCTTAATGTTAATATTAAGCGTTGTTCAAAGTTAATTGCATTTTTATGGATAATTACTAAGTTTTTGGGATTTATCGTATTATATAAGGATACTGTTATGTTATTTATGATACCAGGTATATCTACTGTTGAATATATGCTCTTATTGGCCAAGTTTAAAATTTTTAAATTTTATGTTCATTTTTAGACGTAGTATTCCTTTAATATAGAACAGTTTGTAGCGCTATCAGTGTGACTTGACAAAGAAAATCTTCATATTTCAGAAATGATAATCCAAGAAGTACCTTAGCTAATAGTTTAGAACAGGCATTACTAAGTAAACCCTGGGTTGGTACTAGATGTATGAATCCTGATGTTTATTCTATAGAGTAAGTAATGTTTCTTCTCTTCAATCCTTTCTAATTTCCATTGTTTTAAAGATGGGTTTCCTTATTTTCATTTATGAAATTGAAAATGCTAATACTTATATGAATAGAAAGTAGAGGTGTTCTAATGACGTGGAAAAATTCCAGTTTGTGTCACATGTCTATAATTAATTCATAATTAGCTAAATTAGAAGAGAATTACCAGCAGAATTTCAATGAGTGACAGATCAAGAAAGGTCAAAAAGTCTTTTTTTTTTGTTTATCCAGACTGTACATACATGGACATTAAAAGTCTTAATTATGTTCAATAAGAACATAATGATTAAGAGTACATAACAATTCATTAGAAACACCAATTAATCAAACAGTTTTGACACTAGAAAATAAGGAAACCCATCTTTAAACTAATATTACCTGAAATGTGTAATAAATTGTATGATAATACTGTAGTTCTGTTTCGCCATCTGTGTGACCAATTGCAGTCTCCGAAACAGGAGTTTTTTGTCCAAAAGTATCCACGTTAAAAAGTTATAAAGACACCTTGTCTTTTTTGAGACTCATTTAACCTTATTCTTTCAGTGGTTATCCATGTGAAGGTTCTTCTAATTCACAGTACCTCAAATGGACAGAAAGACCTAAAATGACTGGTAATCTGACTATTGATTCACCATCATGTGATTGTTCGCGAGGTTTTCCAGACTGTCCAAAAGGTGAGGAACATGTACATCACATTATCTAAAGCTAAAATAAAAAGTCTAGCCATCTTATTTTTCTCTGTTACCTTCACAGCTTTTGCCCTCCATGATCTTACAGATTTGTAATTCAACACATTTTTAGGTCAATAAAATATTTGACCAATCAAATGCTCTGTTCAATAAAATATTTGAGGAAACCTGGGTACTTATTCTTGAGAACATAAATTAAGATGATTTTAGTATTACAGTAATCTGATTGGTCAATCTGATTTTAAATAAAGTCTTATTATCCAATCAGATTATTGTATTTCCTAAATTCAGGGTTTTATCTTCTTTAAGTTTTTTGAGAAGAAGGCCCTTGGGTTTAAACATTGACTTTTAGTAATGTCTTTATTTGGTTGACAGAATTTGAAAAAGAATCTCACCAGATCATGGACCACTTTTTAGCAATGTTTTGTCACTGGTTGAGATCAAGTGTTATATTTGAAAGTTACTGGTAGGCCTTGAGGGCAGGGTTAAAATTTGTGAAAATGGTATTTTGTAGGTGCTGGTGGTCCGACACCCTCTATGAGTTATTTACCTACAACTGATTACCTGTATAATATGACAGCACGTAACATTAGTGACTGGCTAGTAAAAACTAATCAACAATATAGAAAGAAAAGGTATTTATTTATAAGTTATTATTTTGACATAATTTGTATGAATCCACCAATTTACCTTCCTATAAATGTGCTTCTATGAAATTTTGTTCCTATGAAAATATACTACTTCATAGCATTAGGGTAACAATGCGTGTGACAATTGTTAAAAATTTCATGCTACAATTTTGGAGATGAAACTGTATTTGATCTTAAAGACAAGTTCACTGTGATTGGCTTAAAATCCTACCTTTGAGTTTGAAATAATGGGGATTTTTTTTTAAATTTACAAGAAAATAAAACTGAAAGATTTCTCCCTCCATTGACACTAATGGAAACACCCAAATGGAGAATATTCACATATGCTTAAAAACTCTCATGTATTAGTGAACACTGGGAGAGAGGAGTTAGTTAAGTTTTTACGTAGCTGGCACACATTCCCTCTTTTTCAATTTGCTTTGACATGTTTATCTTTCATTATAGATATGCTGGTATTTCATTTGGTGACATCAATCCCTTAGCAGACGTCAACTCCAGTCAAATTGTTGATATTATTAATAGACTATCTGAAGCAGCTAATGGCGGTCAACCTATAGTGAATAATTCATTTTTAACAGACATAGACACACTGGCTAGAGGCTTTTTAACAAGAAATGTGGCTAAGGTATGTTTATAATGCTTATCTTCGTATTTATCGGCAAACTGAAATTTGTCGATTTCCTAATTCATATGTGGCACAGGAAAGGTATCCTTACTTTCTAGACACCTGATTCCACTTTTCATTTTGAAATACTTTCTCATTTATGATTGATATACTCATGTGACCAGTTCGCTACCAATATTTTGTTTTGAATTTGGGGTTTCGGCCAGGGGTTAAATTATTGAAAAAATATTTCAGACTACAAAGCGACTAATTAACCCCCAAAATTTACAAAATTACCCGCAGGTTGAAAGCTGCTGACCTAGAAGGTTATTATGTCTTGTAGGTATGGTACAATAATAAGGGTTGGGCATCATCTGTATCCTATATGAATGTATTGAATAACATGATATTAAGAAGTAAACTACCAGCGAATAAAGATCCAGCAGACTATGGTATCACCACTATAAATCATCCCATGGCATACAATCAAAAACAATTCAGTGCTGAAGCTATGTAAGTATTCACACACTCTTGAAAGTTTACAACTATCTTGAAGTAAGTTCTATAAGGTTCTATAGCACAGTCGGTTAGAACGTTGGTACTTTACATGACATCATTTGCTTGGTTATGTCAAGCATATAGTGGCTGTGGGTTCCGATCTCAATCGGCATATGACAGTGCGGTGACCTTGTTTCTTTCTTTGTAATTGTCAAAAAAGCACCTAATGGTTCATTAAATGTCTACCTTATTAATTTTGTCAGTTTTTGGACTAATTAATGTTAGATTACAATATTTTTTTTTCTGTCTCTTTGGTAATCTAAGTATTCTGTCACAGTCCTTTCCAATGACCTTATTTTTAACCAATCAAAGTGTGTGTCATATAGAGTAGAACCTGTTTCTTGATAATGATGACAATTGTGGCAAAGCCCAAAGAGGCTGTCATATTGCTCCACTTCAGATTTTGCTATCCCACAATTCATCATTGCTATATTATTATTATGGTGACTTCAGATATGTGATTTTGAACTGTATAGTCTCAATCAACATGACTGTTACGGTTTATTTTCCAGATTAACCAGTGTAATAGATCTGATAGTGGCTATCTGTGTGATATTTGCCATGTCTTTTATACCAGCCAGTTTCTTAATATTCCTTATTGAAGAAAGAGTCAGTGATAGTAAACATATGCAGTTTGTTAGTGGTATTAATCCTACTATATATTGGATATCAACGTTTGCCTGGGATATGGTAAGTGATATGTATTCTGCTGTTTAAAGGGATACAGTCTGTGTTAGCTCACAGGAGAACAATTCAAGAATTAAAAATTACTTAAAAGGAACAGATGCGACATTCTTTTTGTCCAGTCAAACTTTAGTCTCAGAAACAGAAATATTTTTGCTAAGCCAATTAGTAAAAGTGTTCACAGCTCACCGTCAAAATTTGAGTCCAGATTTAATCTGCGTTTGAATGTTGATATGATGACTCGTCATTTTAAGATAATCTGTTATAGGCTGTAAAGAATAGATATATGTAGAAATAGTGAAGAAAATTCCTAGTTTGAAGTATTTTTAAAGGAATTATGAGATTTCCTTACATTTCTAGTACATCTGAAGACTATTTACATATATTCTGACTCAAATCAACCCATAAATGGCGCACCTTTCCCTTTAAGCAATACAATTTATTTTTCAACAAATGTACAAATGGCTATATAAGCTCCACAAGCAAACTTTTTGTATGAGGGTGTGAAAGGCCACACTGGGCTGACTCTTAGAAGCACTGGCTGTGGAATCAGAATTTTTCTTACATTGAGGTGGATTCTAACCCTAAGCACCTAATCGCATAGCAGGTATCATATCTGACATAATTTTATGAGTAAATTGAAGTAAAGCAATTTTATTTTTCAGGTGAATTATTTAGTACCAGCCACATTATGTGTGTTAATATTTTTGGCCTTCGACCAGGAATCATATGTTTCTGCTTCTAATTTCCCATGTTTACTGGCTTTGTTGTTCTTATATGGGTAAGTGTAGATTCTTAAGTAATATTTGTGTGTCAAAATCAATAATAATTAATACTATAAACCCAGAAGTAATGTTGATGTAATGTAGAAATTTTCCTTCTTGATTACCACATAATGGTCTTATTTTAAATCATTGAGCTGTGGTGACTCGTTGAGTTCCCCTCATTGAATACTACATGGCATTGCCAATCTTCATTAGCGCAAGTAGGTAAGAGTAGGATGTAAAACTCCATTCAGTAGTTTATCTTATTGTAAACAAACTGAAAGCAAGATTGTTTGTTCTCTGAGGTGACACAGATAGCTGATAAAGCAATAAGTTGTTATATTTCAGTTGGGCTATTATTCCATTGATGTATCCATTCTCAAGACTGTTCAGTGTGTCTAGTTCAGCTTTTGTAACAATATCATGTGCCAACGTATTCCTTGGTGTAGTGTCCACCTTGTCTACTTTCATAGTAGAATTACTAGAACAATCAGATAAGGTAAACAAAATTTATTAAGTAGTCATGCTCTTCCAGGTCATCACACCAAAACTCAGGCAAATCAGGTTTGAGTTTTGATTCACATTCTATAACAATTCAGTAGAAATTCAAAATGTTTCAGTTGTAGACTACCAATGACAATAGCTGCAGTATATTTTTGTATTTACCAATTACTATTTGATTTGAGTCACAGATTGTTGTGATATATTGTAATTTTGACTGACAAACTGCGTTGCGATACAGCATAAATTGAACCCTCTTATACTTATAGGGATGTCTGAAATCATATACAGCCTCTTTATTTGGACATTCCAAGTAATAATAAATCCAATATATGTCTGGCTGTAAAGTTTAAATCACCCTTTATTCATTAATTTGCATGAGATTTTCAACTATGACCATAGTAGTTTTCTCCAAATAAGCTTTTCGACAAACAGTATGGATAGTTTATATCAACACAGCTTTATGGAACATCAATCACTGGTTAAAGTATTATGCAATGTTTCTCCCTGTCGTCCTCAGGCACATAATGTCGAAACGTTGCATAAAACTTAGACCACTGATTGTTGTTCCATAAAGCCCTGTCTATATATCGTGCTCACCATTGCTAAATGCCATTCAAAGACAGTATGGATATTTTTGGAAAAACAAAGGTATTTAGCAGTAAACAAAATAAAATGTGATTTTCTATGAAATGAAAATTTACTTTTAATTGCAATGTAATTCAAGATCATGCAAAAATATTTTTAGTAGTATCCAATAGATCAGAGAATTTTTTATAATTAAAAAATTAATTTAGTTAGAGAAGTCAATTATATTTTATTAAATGTTGCTATATATCTATTTTAGGAATTGGCTGATATTAATACGATATTAAAATCAGTATTTCTAGTTCTACCACATTATTGTCTAGGCCGGGGTTTGATTGATATGACACGTAATCAACTACAGTATGATCTCACCAAACAATTCTGTAAGTAATATCACTAAAAGAGGCAGTCTGATTTTTCAAGCAGGTTGTGAAAGTTAGGTGCTCAAATTGATAATTTATCCATTAGATTTTTTGAAAGTTTTGATTACAAGTATCTTGCTGTTAATTTTTAGAACACCAAAACTATTTAAAAGGTTTATGTAAAATATCTAAAAAAGTCGCAGTAGAATTTTTTTTTTTTTTGTCCTAAATGCACCTCTGTATAACTTAATTAGTTCAAACTGCTTTTTTTTTAAGTAGATACATAGAAAAAAAAAAGCATTAAAAATCTTTTCATGTATATTTTACATTGTTATGAAATGAAAAAATCCTTCATACTTAGCTAAAGGGAGATAACTCCAATGAATGAAGTCATAATAGTTTTAACTTTGTTCTGTTGCAAAGAACATTGATTTTACAGTGTTCATACAATTTTAATAATATTCAAAGATGCTATGTATTGTCATTTCTTTGAATGCTTTAAAAGTGCTTAAAGATTTGTTTCCTTATCTTTTAGTATCAAATTAAGCAAACTACTTGATAAATTGGTGTTTGTAATGAATTATCATGTATTCTTAATCATATCTTTATTTTCTTATATTGTGTGTAATTAAGAGTTCTAACCAATCATAAATGTCCATGTATGTACAGTCTGGATAAACAAAAACAGACCTTTTGACCTTTCTTGATTGGTCACTCATTGGAATTCTGCTGGTAATTCTCTTCTAATTGAGCTAATTATGAATTAATTATGGACATGTGAGACAAACTGGTATTTTTTCAAGTCATTAGAGCACCTCTTCTTTCTATTCATATAATTATTAGCTGTAGCATAAATGAAAATAAGGGAACCCATCTTTAAGTGCTACATAGTGCTTCTATTTATAATGGATATTATGCATTATTTGAAGGTTAATTATTTATTTTCTATTTTTTTTAAGTTCCTGATGCCAAACCTTCCAATATCTTAGCTTGGGATTTAGTTGGTCGTAATTTATTTAGTTTAGCCATGTTAGGTATTTTCTTCTTTATCTTAAATTGGCTTATTGAATACAGATTCTTTATCAAACCAAGGTATGGTTCAATTTTATTACTATTTTGATACAATTATTTAGAATCATTTGCTTGTTGCAAGGGAATGTTGGTTCAAAATTGGTTTTGCCTTTTGCATTCGTAGTATAGTATAGAATATTGGGAAAAAATCATCTTTTGAGGCTGATATTCCAGACTAAAGACACCCAAGTCACAGATTTTGTTAAAATTTGCTCATTTGATGCACAGTAATACAGCATCGTGTCCAAACCACACCCCCATTCATCATACTTCCATACACAAGTGCGAAAAATTATGAATTCATAGCTAATTATTATCCAATCAAAATTGCCCCCATTGTATTGCTAGCAAATTTCAGCCAATCAAAACAAATCAATCGTTATGACGCTTTGTTTGCAAACATAAACTAAATGAAAGCAGCGTGGCATTACATATTTTGATGAATATGGACAGTACAGAATTGAGTAAGATTTTCCTTGAAGAATTGAAGCCGAGAGAAAATCAAACCTTACTTTGGAATATCAACTTGGAAAGAATGTGTTCTTATCTCTTTAAACGGGTGGTGGAAAAGCTGTGTTGTGTTTTGTTTACATGACCTCATTTCTTTTCTACCGATCTAATTGGCCAGATTCAAATAGGACCAATCTCATTACCACGCCCCCAAAACGAAGTATAGTGGGCTTAGTTTAATACAGGTTAATAAGACCATGTATTTGTGATACGATAAGTAATACAGAAACATCCCCTCTATGGTTAAAGGGAAATCATGCAACTTATATACAATTTATATTTTAACATTAATTTCAAAGCGGATATAGAAGTTTATGACAATCTCTCAAGATCTAATTTCAATCTACGTCCCATGATCTTAAGTTTTCATCACTGTAAAATAGAAACATTTATTATCTTTTCTTCATTAAGTTAAGTTCTAATTGTAGAGTTGAAGAAGTAAAAGAAAGTGAGGATACCAATGAAGATATAGATGTCTCAAGAGAAAAACAAAGAGTGCTATCAGGAGAGGCAGACAATGATGTTTTAGTTCTGAAAAACCTTTCAAAGGTGAGGCTATCTCCTTAAGGATTTCTGTACAAATACTTTAAAAGCAGCCCAATGGTGATAATGGCTAGTTTTATTGAGATTTTCCCCCAAATTATGTTAAGCTTGAGCTCTGCCACAATGAAACTTGGATACATTATAAGAAATTCTATTATACATAGCTAGATCTTAGACAAGTTTGACCTTTTCGAAACACCTGATGGTACTTTTCTTTGGAGGAGTCCTCTACTATAATATTTGTACACTTGATTTTGCCATGCTTTGGACGAGATTTTATTAACGGAATTGTCTTGCTTATACTGATTTTTATTATTCAATTGTTAATTGTGATCATTAATTTTTATGAAGCTCATTTTGGGCACAATATGCTATATTATCTATTACCTTTCTATGAAAATAGCAAAATTTTTAAATTAAAAGTTACTTTATATAAACAAATTAAAATTTTTGGTTGTAAACTCAATGTTGTCTGTGATAAATAGCTTCTTTCCTATAGTACATTATGCCACTCCTCTGGTAAAATTTCCTCTTTGCACATGGCATGGCATTGTCCATTTTCATTAGCCCAATTAGGTACAGATTTTAGACTCTTTTTCATTTCATCTCCTAAAAGTGCTTCAAATTATTAAAGCAAACTGTGTCTTTAAGGTATTTTATGGAGCAAGGAGGAAGAAATTGAAGGCTGTAGACAATCTATGTGTTGGTGTACCAAGAGGACAATGTTTTGGTTTATTGGGTGTCAATGGAGCAGGAAAGACCACAACATTTAAAATGTTAACAGGAGATGTCCCTATTACTGGTGGAGCTGCTCACATCTGTCAGAAGAGGTAAGCTAACATTGCTGTGTTAATGGGAAGGATTCAAGTTTGACTAAAGTTTCCAATGGGTACAGGTGCCTTAATCACGTGTCACCAAAAAAAGATGACATTCCAAGTTGATCCCTCTGACTGGCATCACTTACAGACTGGAATTGAATTAACCAAAAGTAATATTTTGATCTGGGGTCAAGGCTGGTCAAGCCTTTGTGATTCAGAAAAAATGAAAATAAAATGAATGGAGTTTTACATCCAACTTTTCTGAGGGATGAGGGCAATTTTGCCAGGACAGGGGCATGCGTCTGCTCAAGGGATCTTTAACGTGTACAGCTTGTAGCACACAGGGCTTCATTTTTATTGTCCCATCACTGACAGGGGGAAACCAGGTTGAAAAGTCTGAAGGCATTATCTCAACCTATACCGGGATAGAACCCTGGACCTTCAGGTTAGCGAGGAAGCATCTAACTCACTGTGCCACCGTGGCTCCCGCTTGTGATGTGAGTAGCCACCATGCCACCTTAATTCCAAACCAGGAATAATTCATGTTGTTTGTTTTTATATTTAAAGTGTATTAAAAGAGAAGAATGATGTAAGACAGCTTATGGGTTATTGTCCACAATTTGATGCTCTAGATAGCTTATTGACTGGTAGAGAACATCTAGAGTTTTATGCTAGAGTTCGTGGTATTGATAGATCTGATGTTAAACAGGTATATTGACTTGATTTTTATTTCTAATTCTTCTTAGTTTGAAACGTAGGTATGCAGTTTCCCTCAGTGTTTGCCAGCATCAGACGCAACTTCTAGTCAGAACCTGGAGAATATTGGGGTAAATCCTTTTTTCCTTGACCCTAAAACTAGGTTTCTCTACTAAGATGTTTAATTAAATTGAGTAAGACTTTTCATTTGAGTAATTAAATGATGAAACAAAATATAGATGCAGAATAAGAAGATCCATGAAATATGTATACTGGAGGATAATCAATTTTGTGTGGTTAGTTGTGGTCTGAATATTTTGCTGAGTACTATCCCTTAAGATGATCTGATCCTAGATGTTCTAATGCTACGTTCGATACCACTCGTGAAAATAGTGTTTACAACTTTCTCGAAGTGCGAAAATAGTGCACAAAACTAGAGACTGTTCAGACGATATTCATGACTTTGTAACTAAGGATGGACGACGAAATAATGTTAGCCATTTTTCCATGAGGTCAAAGGTGAAGGCCTTTGAAATTATGAAAATGGAAGTCGTAAATTTTTCTCTATATTCACGACTTCCTAAAGTAGTAAATACGAGAAAAACCTACTATCGAATGGAAATTCACATCATTGACCCTGTGAACGCAGCTTAATTGTCATGCATCGTGTACTATCTACAAAATTGACTTCAAAATATTATCAAAACCCATATATTTGTTGACAATGGAAGAAATGATATAATCACAATTATTCCTCTTTTACACTCTAAATAAGGCAATTCAAGTAGCTCGTTTCACCCTACTTTAGTTTATAATGTAATTCTTGGCTAATTTAATGTTTACTAATGAATATACTAACAAGATTGTGATGATGGTTTTATATTTGTAGGTAGCTGATTGGGCCATTAGAAAGCTAGGTTTGGTACAGTATGCTGATAAGTCAGCTGGTACATACTCTGGTGGTAATAAACGTAAACTCTCTACAGCTATATCATTGATTGGTAATCCACAGATAATATTCTTGGTATGATATTCTGTACTCTATAAAGATCAGTCGTTATTTATAAGAATTGACAGAAATATTTTAAAGCAACCTTCTGAAATCATAAGCTCTCTTAGTCTTAAAAATTTGGAGAAAAAAATCCCACAAAAACATTGGTAATTGATTAGATTCTTTAGATTATCATCTGTAGATTTTATTTGATTGTAGACAAACTTTATGTCAAAAAAACACATAAAAACAGCATTGGTAATTGATTAGATTCTTTAGATTATCATTTGTAGATTTTATTTGATTGTAGACAAACTTTATGTCAAAAAAACACAAAAACAGCATTGGTAATTGATTAGATTCTTTAGATTATCATCTGTAGATTTTATTTGATTGTAGACAAACTTTATGTCAAAAAAACACAAAAACAGCATTGGTAATTGATTAAATTCTTTAGATTATCATTTATAGATTTTATTTGATTGTAGACAAACTTTATGTAAAAAAACCCACAAAAACAGCATTGGTAATTGATTAGATTCTTTAGATTATCATCTGTAGATTTTATTTGATTGTAGACAAACTTTATGTCCAATGTTTCTTCTGAAAATGAGTAGGGTAGACTGTTAGTGTGTTGGCATGTATTTCATTCCACTGTAATTCATTCAAATTTGAACAGGATGAACCAACAACTGGTATGGATCCTAAAGCTAGAAGATTCTTATGGAATTGTATAACTGATATTGTTAAAGATGGTAGATCTGTTATATTAACATCTCATAGGTAAACATTATACTTGATATCATTATTCTGTTATGTTGGGGGCTCTTCCACTCTTGATGTTATATTTACTGCTCAGGTCCAATTGTTTGAGAGTTATCCCCCATTAGCAAACCAACTGTCCAATAGCAGGGGCTAGTTTTGGATATTGTCAATTATGACACGATAGATATATATCGTGATACAAGGGTCACGATATGATACGATAGATATCGTGATATGGGGTAATGGGATAAAAATTAACATTTTATCTTCAAAGTTTCTATATATATTAATTCATAACTTTATAACTGTGATATTTGGTAATATAGTTGATGGAAGTGGCTAGTGTCTACTGTCTTAAAAAAAAGTTTCTAACAATTTTAGTGAAAACAATTGTTATATCATAAAATAACTTATAAAAATCCCCACTTTTTTTATGGAATAAAACGTATTGCCAAGTATCAATACACGACTTCACGATACAATACGGCATTGTGGGATGTCGTATCATGATACATCGATTCACCAATATATCCTGCCAGCACTAGAGGGGGCACTCGATTAGTGAGTTCTACTAATTAATCACTTAGTGCTCAGCACGAACCAAAGAGATCATAGAGATAAGCTCTTGAATCTTGCCCATAAAACAAGACACTTGCATTAGTTGCAAGCTTTATAAATTACCAAATTCCTAAACAGAATTGCCTAATCCCGACTATCAGTAATCAGCTTGCATATGAATATGGAATCCAAGGATTGACTTAAAGGTGTTGATGAAAAGGAAAAATTGGGATATATGATTGCAGAACAGTTTGACTCAAATCATATCTTTTCTATGTAATATTGTAGTATGGAAGAATGTGAAGCACTATGTGGTAGATTAGTTATTATGGTTAATGGTAAATTTAAATGTATTGGTAGTACACAACATCTCAAAAATAGGTTGGTATTTTTATAATTTATGACACATGCACTAGAAGACCCCCTAAAATGTACTCTTCTCCAACAACAAATTGCCACACCCCTGACACCCCAGTGTGAAACCCCCAGGGGCTTAAAACACCCCAAGTTGGGAACCAAGTTCTTGCAGTTACAAAGTTTCAAATGGTATATAAGTAACCTCCATTTTTTGTTACAGATTTGGTGATGGTTATACTCTAACAATAAGAATCTCAGGTCAAACACCAAATATGGAACCTATAAAACAATATATCATGGAACACTTCTCACAAGCTGTGCTCCTAGAACAACATAATAACATGGTTCAGTATCAACTAAAGACCAGCTCCCTATCATTAGCCAAATTATTTAGTTCTCTCCAATCAGCCAAACAAGAATATCACATAGAAGATTATTCTGTTACACAAACCACCTTAGATCAAGTAAGTTGTCTCTAATTGGGTGTGCAGAGCTGTGATGGCACGCATGCCAAAGGTCCAGGGTTTAATCCCAGCATAGGTCGAGATGATACCTTTGGATTTTTCAACTCGGTTTCCCCCTGTCAGTGATGTAGGATTGAGAGACTGACTTGGAAAAAGTGTCTAGTTGTTCAAATTGGACAATAAACTGAAGCCATATGTGCTACAGGCTGTGCAAGTTAAAGTCCCTTTTCTAAATGGGTGTGCTTGATTCACTGTTCATGACAATGTTCTTGAGGTGACTTTATTTCGGTGGTGGAACTGGTGGAAGAGTCATGCAATGATATTTGTGTAACAATCAAAACAAATCATAAACACAAAGAAAAAAGAAAAATAAAGAAAATTGAGCTCGTCCTATCTTTCCAGTGCTAAAAACTTACAAAATAATTGTCCCTTTCCAATTGCAGGTATTTATTAACTTTGCCAAGAAACAGACAGATATTGAAGAGACTGTTGATAACGAACTAGATATAGAACTCAGAGGTAATTCATTATTTAAAACTAATTGCTGGCAACTTTCTTTTGTTGTCTTTTGTTCCACAATGAATTCACTGTCCCTCTGCAAGGTGCAGAAAGATAAAGATAAAAACAGCAAGTAATTTCATTGAAATATTTTGTCAACAGGAAATAATCAGTGCAATCAAGAATAAAAAAAAAACAATCTATTTTGACAAGAGTAATCTAAAAGATTCTTGCGGGTCATGTGCAAATATACCATTTACATATGGATTGACTGAAATAATGAGAGATGACTTTTTATAGGTCTCCAGACTTTCACTGACTGACAGAAATCCAAGTCCATCACTTTAACCAAGCAAATAATATCATATTTCTTGGCATAGAGAAAATAGCTTGTGAGTCTTATTGACTAGGTTTGTGGCACTTTCTGCCTGCTCTCCTTATGATTCATACACACGCCACTATTTACAATGAGGTACCCCCCTACCAAGAAATAAGACGGTGGCCTGGCCTCCCCTGCTCCTCACCCCCATTTGAGAATTGCCTAGTTCCATTGACAATTATTCTGTCCTCTCTCCTAACAGGGTTCGCACAGCCTTGAAAAACGCTTGAATTCCGTCCGTTGCCTTGAAAAACCTTGATTTCAAAGAAGTCTTTGAAAACATCATAAAAAACCCATTTTCTCTTGAAAAGTCCTTGAATTTTGAGTCAAATTGTGTATATTTTTATCATTAACCCCATTGTCAAATATTAATTATCTTTATTGATTTCACAGTTCAGAAGTAAGGTACATGTGTATTCTGTCAGACTAATATCCTTGAAAAGTCCTTGAATTTCAAAGCCCAGAGTCCTTGAAAAGTCTTTGAATTTTTGAGGCAAAGTGCTGTATGAACCCTGTCCTAAAGATTGGTAGAAACATCACTACTTACCGTTTCCTCAGAAAAAAACAAAATAAATAAAACTCCATTTATAAGCTGTTTAGTTGTAAAAATCATATATCAGTAATATATTTAAAAAATTTTTTTTTTTTTTCAGAACCAAGATCTAATGCGATGTATGATGAATACAGTTTAACTGGTAGTACTGCAGAATTAGTACGTCCAGATAACTTTAGAAGTAGTATTCGTTCCTCAGATAGTAGAGGTTCTCAGATGGCTGATGTCTCAGTCGCCTAAATTTAGAGATATTTTTTTTTTAATTTTGATAGTACTTAATTTGGATGTATTTTTCTTTTTTTTTTTTTATATTTGCTGAACCAGCTGAAATAGCTCGTTTTACGCTATTCAAACCATTTTGTAGAATAAAATTACATCTACCATTAAAGAAAAACATGCAGGCAAAAATGATTTCATGTCTATTTTGATTGGATTGTACTTTTATAAATACAGCCAATCAGAGGCCTCGACAGAAAGTCTGTGAACACAAAGACGTTGGATTGCCATTTTTGGTGTTAATTTGGGTCTTGAATATATTTATATTTAAATAGTCTTCAGAAGTACAAGAAATGTACGAAAATCATATAACTCCTTCTAAAATATCTCCAACAAGAAATTTCACTTTCTATTTCTATAGATGTCTTTTCTACATATTGAAAATTGGAATGGTGGAAATTGATGCTATCAGTGTCCCTGATACACATAAAAATTTAGATAACCTCTTTACAACGCCTTTAAATGCTTTCTACATATAATATTCTACTAACATAAATTGTCTAATTAAGGTGGAAAAAATACATGCAGTTAATGATTTATCTTTGTCAGGGGCTATTTATCTTTTTTATTTTATGGAAACTGTTCAGAAAACATGTATTTTTTCCCTTCTATTCATTCATTTCAATTTCTTCCTCATTTTGTTCCAAACAAAGAACACAACTTTAAATAAACAAATTATACTTTAAGGTGAACTACCTCTAATAATGATAAAAAAATTGAAACTTTAAAACTTGATTAAAATGAGTCTTTGCATATCAGTGGATTTACCTGGTGTCATAATTATACAACAGAATCACTCTATAATCCAATAAATCCATTAAACTTAGTAATAATTCATCAAACTATGTAATTTTGAAACATGCTGAGAGGTCGTATTTCTTAAAGCGACATTTAGGGGTTCACATTAAATAACAGAGCACAATTTCATTCCACTTAATGATGACAATGTAAATTGTTGAAACGTTGTTGTATAAAAACTAAGGAGTAGTATACATACCATAAAATTGTGTTCCGTTATTTAAAATAAAAAATATATATCAAACTTTTTCTACCTTAGGGATGACCACCGAGTTTTATATCTAAATAAGATTGTAAAGAGGTTTTCTAAATTTACTGACGTTATCAAACATTTAGTTTTAGCAGAATTGCAGGAACCACCGATGCCTGATTGAAAATGGAAATGGTGAAAATTGATGCTATCAGTGTCCCTGATACACATAAAAAATTTAGAAAATCTCTTTACAATCCCTTTCAGAAAAAATGTTTTTAAGATATTAATTAATAAATATATCAGCCCGGTCAATATTTCTAGAGATTTTTCAATTTGAGATTTTTATATCTTTTTGCATTTTATATTCCATAATTTCTGTTAATATGTATTTTCAAATTGTTGAAATCAGTACTATTTTAATACTGAGATTTCAATTCACACAAAATATGAGTAAAATCTGATATCTCAAAAAGAGAATGGTTTATTCAGTTTTCACAACTGTTGCAGCGAACTATAAACATCAGTGTACTTGACAAAGGTCAAGATATGAAAACTGACTTGTATACCCTTGAGTTATCAGGTTTTATTTGAATTTGTCATATTAAGATTATTGAAGAAATCCATAGAAATAAAGCGCAAAACAAGTGCATTATTAACTAGGCATTGACAAAGGTTTAAATATGGCTTATCCACTTTAGACTTACTCAGATATTTTTTTTCTCTTGTGATTTTGTTATATATTTTGTGACATTTTTCTTTTGCTCAAGTTTTTCTTGCACTAATTTATACATAATAGTTTTATTTTAGGTTATAAATTGTGTGTGATTTAAATGTAATAATGCACCATGTGATAGTAAAATTTACTATTATTATTATTATTATTATTATTATTATTCTGTGATGTTTTGACTGTTTACTTGGATAATAAAAGTATGACATTATATTGTGTTGTATTAATGTATTCAGAACCTTTTTAAAAGATCTGGGGAGCCACGGTGGCTCAGTGAGTAAGAAGCTTTCTCCAGAGGCAGATCCAAAGGGGGGAGGGGGGCAGATGCCCCTCCTCGCAGCCCCGATAGCAAGCTTTTTCGGGAAAAATGTGATAACAAGGTCAGAGATTCGGGCAATCTTTGATATTTCGACCCCCTATTTCGACCTCCCTATTGGACATAAACCTGGCTCCGCCACTGGAGGTCCAGGGTTCAATTTTGACCTTCGGATAGTTCAACCCGGTTTCTGGTTGTCAGTGACGAAGGTGAGAGGGGCTGACATGGAAAAAAGCATCTAGTCGTTCGGATGGGACAATAAAACGAAGCCCCCTGTGCCGTGCATGTTAAGGATCCCTCAAAAAGAATTCATTCTGGTAGATCAATTTAAGAAGCATTAAATAAGGATAGGATAAGATACTTCTCTAGGGGATTCCACTTATCATTGGAGATCATTACTTGTCGTCGTGTACCGACCAATCCATTTCAATCCATTTTAAACAGTTGTTTATTACACCATAGTTTTCGAGTTTTTTGTCTCGTGTCTCACAGAGTCGAAGGCTTTGGTAAAATCTAGAATCTTGTACATCTATCTAGAGAAGCTGTCAAGTCTGAAAATGTCAAAAGATTGGTGGCGCAGAACCTACCATTTCTGAATCCGTCCTGGCGGTCGATAGCTGTGTTATTCAACTACATAAATTGTCAATTTGCTCGTCTCATTGTCTTACATAATTTATGATGCTGGTAAAACTGACGGTTCTGTAGCTGCCGGGGGGAGACTTCTTTTCTTTAATAAAAAGCTTTGGTCCCTTCATCCGTTGATTTTTCTAAAAAACGATAATAAGTGGTTGTTTTTTGAATATTCCTAGGATGCTTTTCGTCTGGTCCTGGTGATTTGAGGTCTTCAGACTTTTCAAGTTCGTGGTTATCTTTTAATTTCCATTGGTGTCAGATTGTAGGGTACGTTCTTAATGTCCTCCGCAATGAACTGATGTTGAAGAGTTTAATAATTCCGCCTTTATTGAGTATTTTGCTGTTTCACAGCAATCTTCATCATCAGCTTCTAGATAGGATACCCCTTGTTTGATCTCTTACTGCGTGCTTAAGTATAAAATGCTTTGGGGTTTTTCTTCATAACTTTTCATCACGTCCCTTTTTGCTTGGATTTTAGCTCTTGCTGATGTCTTGTAGATTTCTTGGCTTCGTTTTGCGATGCTGAGTGAAATCCTTGCTCTTCTCGAGAGATACATCATTTGCCAAAAGTTTCTTCTTAGTGCCTTTCCTTTGTACGTTTCGAGTAGCGTTCTGACTAAATGTTAAATAAGTTTCATCTCTGGTTGATTGGTTCACTCTCTAGATTTATATTATTATATTTTTTATCTCGATCGTCTTGGCATAAATTCCCTTATCATATTCAGTTTCGCTTTATTATCAACTCGAACGTTAACTTGGTGACAAATAAAAGTGAAATTAAGGAATAGACATTAGTGGCGTCTTTTACCAATGGGAGCATTATATTGAACATTTCCATTTGTCATTATTAAATCCAGTGGGTTCTGAGATTAGTTTGACCTGAAGACGAAGGTTGGGTCGACATGTTGTAAGAAAAGGGTGTGTCTTAAGGGGTTTCTATGATAAATGGGTATATATAAAAATGATATTCTCCAGTTTGCGACCATCTCGAAAACTCCCTTGTTAAGCCCCGTGATCCAGGGGCTTCCTTATAAACACCAGTGAAAATACTAAAGGTCTTTGAATGATTGCGTTTTGGGACGTGATCCAATGTCTTAAATATATTGTTTTTATTGATAGTTGGTTTGAATATTTAAAATTTAGCTCGGATTGCCATATTAAAATGTACGAAATGAAATTAAACGAATGGAGTTTTACGTCCTGCTTTTCTGCACCATGTGGGCTAATGAAGACGGGCAACGCCATGTAGGGTGCAATGAAGGAAATTTTGCCAGGACAGTCGCATTAGCCTACTCTTTTTCGATTTCCAACTGTCGAGGGACGTGCATAGCCTGTAGCACACGGGGCCTCGGTTTATTGTACCATTCGAAGGACTAGACGCTTTTACCTATTAAAATGTGAGAATGGTGGTTGATTTTTGTTTGTGATGGACATCATGGACAAGGCTTTTATGTTGATTTCGGCGAAGTTTAAGTTGGAATAAATACTTCCTTAAGAAATAGGAAGAGTAGCATGTTGAATTATAGCATACATTGAGTCCTATCAGTATTGCTGTGTTTTATGTTTCATTCCAATAGACTTTCCCAGCTTCATCTTCTGGCAAATAGATTTCTATGCAATCGTTCTAGTTCGAATGATTAGAAACAGGCTTGTTTTCCTTTTATTCGATATCTGATCCGTGAGCAAAAAAATCGACTGTGAGATTATTTTTCTTTTCCTCTGCATATTGTTTTGAGCATTTATTACTTGGTTTAATTGACTAAGGATATGTTTATACCGCATCCGGACGGATTCCGAGTTCATTTTGCACGCTTGAGTTATAGCCTGGAAATCTACCGATAATCATGGGATAATTGTAATAAGGTTTTGATGACATTTTCCGTCAATATCGGCCTTATTAACACGACGAAGTTGTTGATTTGTCATAGCTTAATGATGTTTGACCGGTTTAGGGTTATTGGGTTTATGGTTAGATAATTAAACATTTCAAATTTCACGATTTTCTTTCTCGATTCGCTGGGTTATAGATTTCATGGATCGAAGTAGTTCAGCCTAAAAGTTCTATCATTAGGTCACAAGAAGCTGAAGAGACACGTCGATCACAGACAACTATCATTTGTGCTTGGTTTAAATTCAGAACTACATTTTCCGACACAGAAATTGAAAATTACCGTAACTTGGTTGTTTTCTCACCCTGTCGATAGCTGTCAATGGAATCGCAGGAAACTTTAGTTAACTAACGAAAAAACAAATTCAATAACCATGGCCATAATCTACAATATTATGCTTGAAACTACATTTTGATTCGATACATGTCATTGGATTTTTATTTAACCTTTTTTATATGGAAATTCATTGTATTTGTCGTAAGAGATAACACCGAAACTGACGTTACGAGTTGAACTCCGATAAACTCCCAAGCCTATTTTGACCTCAGGAGCAATAAATAGGAACCAATTTATTGAAATCATGCCAACATAGACCAAGATATCATCGATGTACATATCACTTTACATCTAAAGCAGCTCTGTCTGTAAGGACCGACGTGTGAAGATACTTAATTTAGGCAATACAGGACGACATTTTCATGGGCGTGTAAAACTGCTATTGTTATTAAAGGACAGGTGTGCCATTTTGGGGTGTTGATTTTATTCTTGAATATATGTAACTAGTCTTTAGAAGTACTAGAAATAAACGAAAAGTGTATAATTCCTTTAAAAATATTTCAAACTAGGAATATATTCCGATATATAGTTCTAATATATCCTTTCTTAATATCACAGAGTATCATAAAATGACGAGTCGTCATTTTCACATTCAAACGCTGATAATTCTGGTAACACTGGGAATTGAAGGCTCAAATTTCGACGGTGAGCTGTGAACACTATAACTGATTGGCTTAGCCAAAAAAAATTCCCGTTTCTGAAGCTAAAGTTTGATTGGTCAAATAATGGCCCTTTAAAGGCTATGATTCGTCATTTTCGGGAGTTGATTTGGCTCAACATTTGTAAATGGTCTTCAAAAGTACTAAAATTACACGAATTTCTTCAAATATAACTCAAAGTAGAAATTTCACTTTCCATATCTATAAATATGTCTTTTCTATAAATGGCATAGTCTGAAGAAAAGACGACTCGTCATTTTGGTCAAAACATGTCTGTTTAAAGGCCATGATTCGTTGATTTGGCTCTTTAATATTTATAAATGGTACTAAAATTAATGACGGTGAGCTGTGAACATTATTACTGATAGACTTAGCTAAAAAAAATACCCGTTTCTGAGACAATGTTACAATAGTTCAAACGAATGGTGAATCTGTCCCTTTAAATCTTATGTGCCGGATAAGGGTCAAAAGGTTTTATTACAATTAAACCCATCACAATCTCATTCGATATGTCGATGTCATTGCATAACTTGAAGTTATACTACTACAGGGCTTATAAAGAATAGTCTTAATCAAGCGTATAGATTTATTGCTCTTTCTGCCTGGAAGATGGAATGAACACGAAAAGGTCGTATTGAGTTGACCAAAGGGCCTAATCCTTCCAATTTCAATCTTGTTGGGTCGATAAAGACGTGCTCGAATTACTAATACCAAGCACGACCCACGTGGCCTTCTTTACAATTATAGAAACAAAGCACACTCGGCTCTGTGAGAAAGATTCATTAATTCCTGCGTTCCATTACCTCCCGTGAACTGATCGATGTAATCAATGAATAAAAATAAGGTAGCTGAGAGAGCCGCCATTTTGGACGATATTTTCTTCTCTGTGGGGAGTTCTAACCAATCAAAATATCAGAAATCAATGACGTCAGTAGAAACTTCCAGGAACTCCGGGTCCATTATTGATCCAATTTTTCTAAGCGCGTGTTAGTCAATTCCAGAGAAGATATTTTCAATAACCATTACAATGTTCCTTCGGCATTTAGAAACGCCATATTGTTATCAGGAATATGTAGCATATAATCGGTAAACAAAACACAAAACCCATCGACCTATTTAAAAGCTTTAATTACACCAAATACTGTTTAAAAAAACTTATTTGTGAGTTTTTGATTGACCAAAATTGACTATGAAACCAGCGGAACCACTTCAAGTGCACCATTCACGTAAGTACATAATTAATTGTTATTGGATTTCATTATCTATATACCATACCCGTGTATTATATTCTGTGTATTCAACATAATATGTTATAAAACAATCATTATCCGTAGAAGAATATACATTTTTGTAATTTAAACGTCTGTTATATACCGATGTGGAATCAAGTAATAACTACATACAGTATATAAACATTCGTTGTAATATGTATGTGTATACTTATGAAAAAATGTATATAAATTATATACTTACTTTTTTAGGTAATGAATAAAAAAAAAATTATACTATCACTTGCAAACTTAATAAAATATCGGCATTTCAGGTTTTAACGCCCTAGTCTCCAAATATTGTAGTATCCATGCCGCATTTGACAACTATTTTGTATTAATTTATATATCCGTTTTCAAAGTTGAAATCGTAATAGATTGTCATTTGCTTTTATATAAAACAAGATTGAACACATCAGTTGATATTTTTTTGTAAGGATTTTTTCAATTCAAATATGTTGCGTAATAGTGAATGCGATTTTTCGGGGAAAGTTTTTATCTTAATGTAAAATGTCATCGTCTAAAAATTTCAGAGAGAGATTGTGAAATAACAGAAAAATAAATGAATTTATAAACAATTTATTTAAATACTTCTTAAAAAGTTGCGACAAGACAAATGTTAGCTCATTCAAATTACTCTTTTAGAAAAGGAAGTTCAGTTCTCAAAGGACAGTTATACTTGGCTATTATAGAAAGATGGTGTATGTTTTAGAATGCATCCAGCGCAAACATACTATGAGTATTTTTTGATATGACTATGCTTCATGGAATTCAATAGTGGTATCAGGTGTTTCAGAAGAATATAAAAATTGATATTATACATACTAAGTTCTGGGATTCAAATCTCGAATTTCAAACGATGTGGGACAAAAATAAAAGCAATGTATAGGTGATAAATATTAATGAATATACCCGATTATTGTATAATAACACCCCACCCCCCTAAAAAAAACAAAACAAAACGAAACTCGAAATCCCAAAATAACAGTTTGGCCAAACATTGGTAGCAGCAAATAAACAAGTCATAATTTACAACAACCGCTAGGTTACCAATACATTGAATCAAATGATAATATGGAGAAAGAGTCCGCCCACCAGCAGGATAGGTCTTTGCTTTACCACTTGGTAGAGGTCTATCGTTATAAGAGTGGCAATATAGAAACGTTTCAAAGGAACCCTTTTCTCTGATATCACAGATTATCAAACATAGAATTTTTTCTAGAATCGCCTGTACACAGGACAAACCACCTGGCAATGAAATTACTTAATCGTTGACAGGACGACAGCGTAGATTCTTGGAGATCCTTTTTTTTCAAGTTGGATATTGGGCACATCTCTTATCAAAAGACGTTCCTTCATACCAGTTCTTCTAACAAACCACTTTGCAATTACCCAACCACTGCTTTTGGTTGAGTAAACCAGCATAGGATTTTGAGATTCTTTCCTACCTACTGACCTTTGGACAAACTCTTGGCAATCATATTATTTTATCCTTACAAGATAATGTGTTACGTTCTTAATGATTCTATTTATAAGCTAGCCCTCGTTCAAACTTCGACCAATTATCTTTACCTTTATATAACAACTTAGTTTCGATGGTCCCTTTTACCAGAAGTCAACCTTCAACAATAACGTTGACAACTTCTACCAGCTGGTATAGAACAAACCACTGACAATCACAATTATCGTTACAAGAATAGAAATCTACGTTCGATGGATCCTTTTATCAGAAATCAATCATCTTGAAAACAACTTTTGTTGACAAATTCTACCAACTGGTACAGGACAGTTCCCTAACAATCATCTAGTACAGGATCAACAATTAACGTTCTTGGGGATCCTTTATCAGAAGTCAATCATCTTGACGATAACGTTTGTTGACAACGTTTTAACAATCATCTTTACCGTTACTGGAATAACAACCATAACGTTCTAGTGAATGCTTTTATCAGAAGTCAACCATCTTGGCAACAATGTTTGTTGACAACCTCTACCAGCTGGTCCAAACATTTGACAATCATCTTGACAATAACGTTTGTTGACAACCTCTACCAGCTGGTACAAACATTTGACAATCATCTTGACAATAACGTTTGTTGACAACCTCTACCAGTTGGTACAAACATGAGACGATCATCTTGACAATAACTTTTGTTGACAACCTCTACCAGCTGGTCCAAACATTTGACAATCATCTTGACAATAACGTTTGTTGACAACCTCTACCAGCTGGTACAAACATTTGACAATCATCTTGACAATAACGTTTGTTGACAACCTCTTCCAGCTGATACAAACATTTGACAATCATCTTGACAATAACGTTTGTTGACAACCTCTACCAGCTGGTACAAACATTTGACAATCATCTTGACAATAATGTTTGTTGACAACCTCTACCAGCTGGTACAAACATTTGACAATCATCTTGACAATAACGTTTGTTGACAACCTCTACCAGCTGGTACAACATTTGACAATCATCTTGACAATATTGGTGGTCAACTTCTACCAGCAGATACAAACATTTGACAATCATCTTGACAATAACGTTTGTTGACAACCTCTACCAGCTGGTACAAACATTTGACAATCATCTTGACAATAACGTTTGTTGACAACCTCTACCAGCTGGTACAAACATTTGACAATCATCTTGACAATATTGGTGGTCAACTTCTACCAGCAGATACAGTACCAAATTTTGACAATCGTTTTACATTGATAACAAGTTGCGTTTTTGGAGGTTCTTGATGAACTTTTAGGTCCGCAGACAAAATCTCTTTGTAAAATTAAATCTGTTGAAGTGAATCTTTTAAAATTTGATTTAATTAGGGACGCCTTCATGAGTCTGTCTGTAAGTCTTTAAGTTGAAATTGATATTTTGATAAGAAGAAATCAATACATCGAGACTCTATTCAATTCATTTATGAGAGTTTTATTATCTAAATTATGAAAAAGTATGAATGTTATCAATAATGTTAATATCTGAACAATCGATATTTCTAAAAGAAAAAAAAACATGAAAAAACATGAATTCGTGTGATTCAGAACACTTAAAGGGAAATGTTTGCCATTTTCGGTGGTTGATTTGGGTTTTTGATATAATGTAAATAGAATCTTCATAAGCATTAGAAATGTACGAAAATCACATCATTCCTTCAAATATATATCAAACTAGGAATTTCACCATTTATTTCTATATATACCTCTTTTCCATATCTCACATTCATACAAAAACTATCTGAATTACAGCATTCATACAAAAACTACCTGAATTACAGCATTCATACAAAAACTACCTGAATTACAGCATTCATACAAAAACTACCTGAATTACAGCATTCATACAAAAACTCATACAAAAACTACCTGAATTACAGCATTCATACAAAAACTACCTGTATTACAGCATTCATACAAAAACTACCTGAATTACAGCATTCGTACAAAAACTATCTGAATTACAGTATTCATACAAAAACTATCTGAATTACAGCATTCATACAAAAACTATCTGAATTACAGCATTCATACAAAAACTACCTGAATTACAGCATTCATACAAAAACTACCTGAATTACAGCATTCATACAAAAACTATCTGAATTACAGCATTCATACAAAAACTACCTGAATTACAGCATTCATACAAAAACTACCTGAATTACAGCATTCATACAAAAACTATCTGAATTACAGCATTCATACAAAAACTACATGAATTACAGCATTCATACAAAAACTACATGAATTACAGCATTCATACGAAATCTTGCTGAATTATTGTAATATAAATCATTATAAAGTAATCTGCAACGAATCACATAGAATCGTCATAAAATGAAATAAAATTCTCGCTAAACATGCGTAGGCTATATACATCAGCATCAAATGTCATTCTGTCATACACGGCTATTTAAAATAATATAATATATTATATAAAATATAAAGAATTAATGGCAATGCTCAAATATCGGGCTATAAACGGATACGTCCTTTGCATTCAATTGTGATGTCATTAGTCTAAAAGTTACAAAAAATAACCGCGGGCATTCTAAGAGTATAGCTGTAACTAGATCAGATGGGCTTCCCTGTGCGTCTTTTTGTGTCGGTTATACGTTCATACACCGAGGTTATATTCTGGTACAGTACCACTTGGCTTTTCAGTGTATTCATTCGACCAAAACTCGTGTCATGTTGTCAACACGCGTTTTAGATACAAAAATTGATTTCAAAGTCGTGTAAATTTTAATTATTTTACGACCTTTTAATATGAGGTAAATATCAAAGAATTTTGTGTCTTTGTTGTTCATTTCCAGTAAAGTCGCGTTATCTTTCATCTATATCATTTCTTTAATGCAAAACACAAACTTCATACGAAACCGATTTAACTTTCAGTTTTTTGAAAGATACATATCAAGGTGACATAGGAAAATAAAAACATCGAACATAAAAAAGCGAATCTTATAAACCTATCAATGTCATAGCGTTATCAAGTCTTTGTCTAGGGAAACTATAGAAGGAGAACCGTACGTGGGTGGACAAGACTTGGTATTATTCCTTGCCGTCATCTCATTTGTAATTCTAATAGACAGTTCCTTTCTCGGCTTACTCAATGGATTTAATGATTATCTTGGCCCGGGGATTGTTATGGACGTGAATTTTGATGAGCGTATTGCAGTAATTGCTTTATATGGAAGACTGTCATTGCAAAAAAGTAAATGCAGGGCCGTAACTTAGGTCTTTTTCTATGTGGCAAAAAACCTTCCTCTTTGACGTCATTAATGTCTTCTATCACACGCTTTCGGTAGACATCCAGCGGAAACCATCACAGACATCAAATGAGCGATATATAGCGAAAATTTCTATTTTTGTCGATTTCCACACGAGACATTTGCTTCATCGAATCGAATATATTGAAAAGTTAAGATTGAGGTCATGCTGACATTATTGAGGCCCATTTTATAATCAAGAAAGGAAATAAAAGAAGATTTTTGAATAAACATAAGACAAACATACTATTCACAGCAATTTTGTGGCCATTACTCAGGCAATCATATTCAAGCAAGCAACTGATTGAAACTGGTGTCTTTGTCTTCAAGCGCTCATGTCTTAATCTAGCGATTGAACAGATTCTCTCAGAGACCACATACTTTCAGTTGATGAAATTCTAGCGGTGGTCACACGCTCAAGATGGAGTTCAGCCGTGTCAGTAGGACATCGCTTCCTAGTTATGATTTCAACAACCGCGAACAAAATTAGGTTTGTTTCTCATGAACCAGTTTTAAATAGTCCCTATTATAACATATCATAAAGTATTGGAAAAGATTTCAATCCACAAATTGTTTTCTATGAAATTGACGAATTGCATTTAATTTGTTGTTAAACAAAGGCGACTTTCTCTGATCGGTATTCAATATTATTCCTATTTTAAATGTGAAGCTGAATCAATAAGTCGCCTTATATACTAAAGAACCAAGGGGAAGTTAATATTCACGTCACTTGTGTTTACAAAAATTCAATATTTACCACTACCACACTTTGGCAGACGAGTAGAAGTAAAAAAAAACAACATTCGTTTCCATGGTAACTGGCAAGGCGACATGATTAAATGAAAGAATTAAATTAAGAATGTAATAATAGTCATATATCACTCTCGATAGGCTATAAATTTGATATCTGAATAAAAAAAAGGAACGAAACATTAAAGCTCTGTCAGAGTTGTATTGACAGAGTAAACAATAATCATACTTTCGTTTGGTTTGAGGGTTCCTGACAATACCAATTATAGAGGTAGCCATGTTTGTTACATTGTGTGATGAACTAGTCACGGATATGAGAAGAGGGACTTAGTCTATATGGTTTTGTTCTGTGATTACGGATAACACAGACGTCAAATATTATCTTCATCTCAGACAAACATGTTCGGAAATTTTCCTCGGCAATTATCGGTTTAGATCGATTACAGATGATGTTGGCCGTAACGTGTTAGTTTTCTAGAGGTTTTCTAAGTATTTAATGTGTATCAGGGACACTGATATGACACTGATAGCATCAATCTATTGGTTTGTCCTAATGCTTAATTTGGATTTTCTCCTTAAAACCCAGCAAAATAGGCATTTCAAGAATTTTACAAGGCTTACATTAGACATACAATGTTCTCATACAGAAGTTCTGAAACCTTATCTAGTAATGTCATAAATCCTAATATGTAAATAGTTTCCATTGTTCTAAATCGCCCACTGTAGTGTCTTGAAACCAAAAATGTCCATCAGAGACTGGTAAGAGCTAGATAAGCTCGAACTTTTAGTCGTTCGGATTGGACAATAAACCGAGGCCTCGTGTGCTATACACTGGAAATCGAAAAAAAGCAGGCTAATGTCGCTGTCCGGGCAAAATCCCCTCGTTGTATCCTACATGGCGTTGCCAATCTTCTTGAGCCTACATAGTGCAGAAAAGTAGGGCGTAAAACTCCATCCATTTCATTTTTCACTCGTACCAACTTCAGGACAAGAATGCTGCTCAATGTTCAATTCACGGAAACTAACGAACATTGGCCAAACGTTGAGCCGAATGTTAGATTCCAATATTATTATTTATTCAGCAATATCGTGCCAATCAGAGTGGTTAATTAACGCCATAAACATAGGCAAACAACCATAAGAGATCTCAACAACACACGAAGTTATCCATGGCCACAAGGGAGTGTCAGCTAAAAGCTTGGTAAACATCAGTATAACATACTATCTCTCACGAACACCCAACACCATCCTTTAATTAAATTCACTCATTCCATTTCTTTACTTTTATTTCGTTCCACTAAAGAGTTTAGTAAATAGTTACCGAATATGAACGTGACATGAAAGTGAAACGAGACTTTATAAAATACTGATAGATTATTGGTGAATTTAAGAAGTTTAAAAAAGAGATTTTCCATTAGTTAAATGAACTCTAGATGATAGTCTGAGAACGTGCTTTTAAAGTTTATAAGTTTTTGCTTTGATGGTTTCTGAAAATATATCGTCATTATAATAGCTTATTGCGATACAAATGTTGTAGTATTTTGAAGAAGGGGGGGGGGGGGGGAATTTAGAACAGCGTTACGTAATGAAGGTTCGGATTTTATGTACAGTTCTGTCTGGAACACCTGATGTGACTCTTTCATTAGGCCAATCTTACACACCGGTCGGCAAGCGATAATCAGAATTATCCAGTGCAACACCATTATTATCAATTTAAATACATTGCAACAATGATAATTGATGTTGATCCAAAACATTCAAAACAGATTGAAGCATTCAAATATAGACGCCAATAAAATGTATAAATTTAATTTATTAATTCTGATCTAATCTGGTAACAATATATTTTAGTGTATGTCTGCATTATAATCCATATCGCATTAGACCCTTCTGAATAGCTATAAAATACAGTATCAATAGGATCGTGAACGTTGAATATTATGCGATTAATCATTATCATTGTTGATGAACACAATCTCTCTTGTGGGAATATGGGAAAAGGTTATCCCATTACATTGAATAATTGAAATCTCTTAAGACCTACGATATGGTATTACCTATATCCATCATTATTTACAGCTTACTAAAGCTATAATGCTATAATGCTATAATGCTAAAATGCTATAATGAGATTAATTTCGTGGATGATTGTAATGAACTGTGTGGGTATTAAATCGACTGTATGTCAAGTAATTCAAGGATCAATCTTAGCTACCCGGATCATTTTTCCATGTGACATTACAGTGTGTGTTTAGTATGCAATTGCAGAAAAACGATGTCGTAAGTGGTGAAAGTGACATCCGGTTCATATACCAGACCATTATTGTCATTCTGAAAAATACTATGAATAGCGTCCTTTGATTTCCTGTTAATATTTCCAAGAAGTGTGGACACATTAATTCTTAAAATTTAAATTAAGTAATAATGCTTTAAAACCATAATGCAGTGTTTTTATATCGAGTTTCTGTTTTTGTATTTCAGTGTCCGCTGCGGCTGTAAGTGGAATATGTATTGGAACGCTGGTCTTATTGCTTTCCATGACAGCTTTGGCTTACAAATGTTACAGACGGCGAGTCATGATGAACGCCCAAAATCGACTGTCTACTGCCATCAAGAAGGGTTTGCAGGAAAGTACATCTGGTAGCTTCAGGAAAAGCACACCAGTGCGCAGTACAGGAAATAAAGTGATGAAGTCCAAAGGAACAAGTCCAATAACTCCACCAGGTTGTGGTGAACTAGGTGGACTAGATCGAATCCCACAAGCTGGTTTCTCTACACCAACCAGAGATCCTGGACCAAGTAAATCTGAAGTTTATATCGAAAATGAAAAGGGTGGAGCTACCCCTGAGAAGGAAGAGCTGATAAAAGAGCGTTATGTGAGCGAAAAACCATCGTATCTGGGATCTATTGGATTTTCGGTAGAGTATGACAACTCAAAACAAGCTCTAATTGTAACCATCGCTAACGCTAATAACCTTCCACCGCGTGATCCAAATCTCGGTGGCTGCGACCCTTACATCAAGCTGCAGCTTCTGCCTGAGAAGAAACACAAATGTAAAACTCGGGTGTTAAGAAAGACTCTCGATCCGGTGTATGATGAAACATTCACATTCTTTGGAGTTGCCGCTAACCAGTTCACTGGAATTACCCTACATTTCGTGATATTAAGTTTTGATCGCTTCTCCCGAGATGATATTATTGGAGAGGTCATCTACCCTCTATCTGGAGTTGACCCGGAAGAGAAATTCAGTACAACAAGGGACATAACCCCAAGACATCTGAAGGTAAGATGCTTTTCTGCTATACATTAGATGAATATAAATTTTCAAGCAAATTGGTTTGGTTCAAGCTTTTCTCAAACATAGGCCTCCACTTAAAATGTGAATCTCTAATACAAGATCTTGAATATGTCCGAGTGACGCCACAGTCAATTGCAGCTTCATACTCGGGACTGAAGATTCTGAAAGTCATTAGCTACTAGACGACCTAATCTATATGAAGAGCTAATTTGGCCCCCCCAGGTTCGCACCGTTAGTGTAGCGATAAACGAACACAACAGGGTACCAGTTTATTACATGTAAATAACACAATTGTTAGATTGTTGTTGGCGGGAAAACATCGTAGTATCATTGGGATCCTGCTGAATGGAAGACTCGCTGTCGTCTGACTCGTATACCAATAAAAATACACGATTCCCCTGTCTCTAAGTCAATTTCGGTTAAGTCTTTTCGCCTTCAGACATCGAATCTTCTAAATTCCAAATAAGCCACGTTGACAAATAGGACGACCATTTAATGTGACAGTTAACGTGTTCAAGTGATATTACACATTTTCATTTTCTCAATGACTTCATATAGCCGTCTGGGTCGTCACCGAATTCTTCCGCTTCAAACTGTGGTGGTAATAGAAAGAAGTAGTTCACCAAACAAAAGCTGTGGTCCTCAACAGAGATAAATACTTGTAAGATCTTTAATAAGGCTGTCGTCTTGGAGACTAACATAAACAAACCTGATCAGAAAATTTGCTTTTCACCTTAATGAGATAGGTGGAATTAGATTTATATATTTGGAAACAATCGATAAAGATTAAGATACGCTGTCTATGGACAGTAAACAGAAGTAAATCGAAGCGGATTATTTCTTCAACATTTTAACAACGTGAAACAGACATTAATGACGTTATTTTAAAATTTATATTATCTACCAATCTTGATTTTCAATTGATTTTCAAATCATTGATTTTGTTTTCTCGAAAGAATATTTAAATCACAGAACGGAAAGCGAGTTGTTAAATTAGTGTCAAATTATTTTGCTCTGCATTAGAATTGATCAATTTAACCAATATTCATAACCTAGGGGCGTATATCACTGAAGTTTGTAATGTCTTATAATTGCATTTTTCCAAGCACTTTTCAGTGGATTTTATGCTTTGGTGGTTTGTGGTGAATTTAAATATAGCCAAATTGAAAAGTGTTGACAAAATTTAAAATGGGTCGATAGAATTTAATAGCTTTGAATGAAGTCGGTCCAAATGTGAAAACAAGATGATTTGGCTTATCTTGTTCAATGTAATGAATAAATTCGATCAATGATGTACTTTGCGCTACGTTTGACGATATAAACATCTACAGATTTAGTTTCGAAATCGAAAATGGACATAAAAATTCTAAAATCTTATTAATTATTGCATTCTTTGATTAAGTATAAGGTCACTTTATATATAATTGAGATTTGTGGACTATTTTTGGTTGAAATCACGCTTGGAGGTCGGAAAAAGTCACCGAAGAAAGAGTTAATATAATTAGACAGCTCTTTTTGACTACCTTTTTTTCCATTCAGACACAAGTTAACATTGTCAGTAACGTCAGGTTTACTAGTTTCGTGACCAACTTTATTAACCTAACTTCATAGACGAAAACTTTCTAAAGTCTTAACTTTTAGGTAATTAATGGTCTTAGAATAGAATTCTATTTTGAATAGGAATGCATGGCTTGCATGTTAACTACAAATTATTCTGCTGATACTCTATATTTAAGCTTTGTATTTAAAACCACTGTACTGTACTACGTAAGAATTAACATGGTGGGATATTTTTTTTTACAGAGAAACATGTTCACTAAGATAGACAATACCGTTAGATATCTTTGGAGTTTTAAAGATGGGTTTCCTTATACCTATATATTCCTTCCTTCCTTTAGTGTCAAATTAAGCAAACTATTTGATTAATTGGTGTTTCTAATGAATTAGCATGAGTTCTTTAATTTCTTATATTGCATATAATATAAGTTTTAACCAATCATAAATGTCCATGTATGTACAGTCTGGATAAACAAAAAAGACTTTTTGACGTTTTTGATTGGTCACTCATTGGAATTGCTGGTAATTATCTTCTAATGGAGCTAATTATGAATTAATTATGGACATGTTCTATTCATATAAGTATTAGCATAAATGAAAATGAGGGAACCCATCTTTAAGCCCCATGTTTCCGTAACTTACATGTACATGGATTGTACCATGGTATATCAGGAATTTGCCAGTATTCACCTGAAGTTTTTTTTTTTATTCCCATTATTTGTAGGTTCCTAAAATTTCATAGATACAGCAACCGTAGCTAGATCGCCCCACCCCCACCCATCCCATTGGAACAATCAGTCGCTGGGGTTGAGGTATGTCTTTTGTAGAAAGGTAGAAAAAAAAATCGAGAAATGAGATTATTATTCCAAAACCAAACCGAATTCAGAACGACCGATATTAATTTTAAGCTCTTAAGCTCTTTATTTGAATTGAGCTCTTATAGGGTTGGGTCTCTAAGGAAGATTGGATTTTGATGCATTATTGTTTGGGATCTAACTGTCATTTTCGGTTGACGATATTTTTTGGTATTGTTTCATTAGTGTGTATTATAATATAACACGCAATGTAATGTCGGATGATGGGAATATTAAATACTTGTTATTTACAATATAATTAGTAAAAATAACGGCACGAAATTGACCTTTATAACGTCTTGTCGCTTTTTCGTTTGTTAGTCTGGACCATTAAACATTTATATCTGGAAATTATATTTTTCCACTCTGATTTAATTCAAATTCTCGTGTTTTTGTTTGTATGCTGTTAATTGTTTGTACCAGTTGTCAGAAAGAAGGCATTTCGGTGTGGTTACAGATGGGAATTAAGCCGGTTATCACTGGTCATGAAATGAAGCTTTGGTACTCACTGCGGAATTCATTTTTCTGAAGGGGAGGGGTGGTACTCCTGTCGAGTTTGCAACTGACCAAATCTGCCATTTCAACGACTACAAGAAACCGATTGGAAAAGCTAGTTTTTCAATCTATCCAGCTGTAAATTGATAAAGCTAGCATTTTAATCTACCAAGAAAAAGTATTTCATTCTATCCAGCTGTAGATTGACCAAGTTAGTATGTCAATCTATCCAGCTGTAAATTGACCAAGTTAGTATGTAGATCTATCCAGCTGTAAATTGAGCAAGCTAGTATGTCAATCTATCCAGCTGTAAATTGATAAAGCTAGTATTTCAATCTATCCAGAATAGTATTTATATCTATCAAGCTATAAATTAACCAAGTTAGTATGTCAATCTATCCAGCTGTAAATTGAGCAAGCTAGTATTTCAATCTATCCAGCTGTAAATTGACCAAGTTAGTATGACAATCTATCCAGAAGAGCATTTCTATCTATCAAGCTGTATATTAACCAAATTAGTATGTCAATCTATCCTGCTGTTAATTAACCACGCTTATCTACAGGATCTCTGCGATGCTTCTAAAATGAGGACGTTCCTCCTTTCTTATTTTATACCATAAAATTATCTACTTATTTCCCAGACTCTGATAATATATTACGCTAGAAAAGAAAAAAAAAACATCAGGGAGGAAGCATCATTGTTACAGCTCTAGGGTATTAATCAGTATCTTCTTTTGGCTTTCTGGCAGTGTTACAATTACTTGAACCGTTACCATGGGAACGAGAATAACGATGTATATAGATAATAATTGATATATCAAAATCGATATAAGAGCACGGTAGGTATTGTTTTATGCCAATAATGTCTTCAATCATCGTGTCTTACATTTACATAATGAACTTACTTTACTTAGCATGAAATCATCGGAAATTAAGAACTGAATATTCCAAGAGACAGGTTTGTTAATGACGTCATCATTCTGAAATCGCCTTAGTATCAAGAATTTTCCCAAATATCAACGAAATAAAATCCGATTCGATGGCTGATGACATAACTTCGTAATGTCTACGTCACGTTTGTTGATAAGAATCTTTGCAAATTAGCAGCATTACAACTGCAACTGTTAAAATCGTAAACAACAATAATTATCTCTTCGCTCGACGAGATTATGTAAAGCTTCTGAATATTTTTAAACGTTATTGCAACCACACTTTTAATAATGAATGCTATCACAAATATTCTACGGTTAACAGTTCCTGATCTTATTATCTGATCAACAAAACATACATCACACGAAAACAGGTTGTGAACGTTAAAGATCCCTCGACAGTGGCAATCGAAAGAGAGTGAACAAATTTCTCAAAAAGGAGCCAAATATTTATTAACCGCAAAAAAAAAAACATCCCTTCCCCGAAATCCATTTCATTCTTTCTATCATCTCTCTATCATCCGAAAAATCCCTAAAACTTAGTAATCATCTTTAAAACTAAATTATTACGTTGTTTTATATATTGTCCAGATTAAAGATGGACTTTGTTGTCTATTTATGGCACCAGGCAAGTCCATCTGATGAATGTTCATGTACAGCCAAACATGTACTGACAGTCACATGTATTAAGCACCACCCTCCAATTAAAATGAGACGCCACCCCCCTCCCATGCCATTTTCAACAAAATTTACCTCTTTATTTACTTTTGAATATCCTTTTGACCGCATGCTTAATACAGGTTTGACTGTATACTCTTATTGGCCGAGTTCGAGAAGTTGAATTCTATGTGCACTCTAAGAGGTAGTATCTTATATGTGTTATCATTTCGCTATGTACATATAAATAGATAGTTGCATCATTATATATAGAGATAGTTGTATCATTATATAAATAAATAGTTGCATCATTATATATAGAGATAGTTGCATCATTATATATAGGGATAGTTCCATCATTATATATAAAGATAGTTGCATCATTATATATAGAGATAGTTGCATCATTATATATAGAGATAGTTGCACATTATATATAAAGATAGTTGCATCATTATATATAGAGATAGTTGCACATTATATATAAAGATAGTTGCATCATTATATATAGAGATAGTTGCACATTATATATAAAGATAGCTGCATCATTATATATAGAGATAGTTGCACATTATATATAAAGATAGTTGCATCATTATATATAGAGATAGTTGCACATTATATATAAAGATAGTTGCATCATTATATATAGAGATAGTTGCATCAATATATATAGAGATAGTTGCATCATTATGACTATTGTTAAAATTGATTTCTACTCTACCAGGCACTATAAGACGTACTTGATAAATAAATGATGATATTGTCGTTACATCTTTATGTAAAGTTATTGAACGATTAGACTTTATTACGAGTTAGAAACTCAGAAACAATTCTGTCATAGAAAAGCTATATATAGAGAAAGTGAGTAAAATTCCTAGTTTGAGATATGTTTTGAAGGAATTATGTGTTTTTCGTACATTTCTAGTTACTTCTGAAGACTATTTACATATTTTCAAGAGTCAATCATCACAGTTGAATTGTCACCATTCTTAATAATTAAGAAAAATGTGCTGCAATAATTCGCCTTTTTTTCAAAAATTTTTGCTCCATTTTTGCTGAACCTAATTAAGAATATTTTATAGTTGATGTTTCCTTTATGAAGTAAACTAAAAACTAAATCATATTGGATTTTTTCCACTTCGGCATGCGATATAAAACATTACGCTTGACTAATTACACTTATTTAATTAAAGTCACGATTTCGGATTACGACCTAGAATATCTTCATTCCGTTTTTGTTCATTTCCTGTTTATATCTGCGCCTTTTCTCATTAATAAAGATTAGTATTTAATGATGAAATAATCTTCTTATTATTTATTACTTATGAAATAAATCTTCACTTCACGAGAGTCGATCATTAATTATTATTTCATCACGTATTTATATTTGATTATTTATTATATAAGCCAGCCAGCCATATATAATATATACAGTTTCACATTCTCTTGTAGCAAAGAACTAGAGCGGAATCTTGTTTCCCAGAGTTTTAAGTCTGCCGCAGACGAGGGGAACCAGTTGAGCTGCCTGCCTCAAGGCTGTCACCTAGGCAACATTCTCATTACATTTTTAACTGCACTCACTGGAAAATCTTTGGCCAATTCAGTAGATAGATATTTTCCTCACAGCCTTTCGAGGCAGAAATCTCACTAAAAATTCAGTGCACTTGGGAGAAACAACTATCCCAACGTCTTGAGGCAGGTAACTCAGCTGTCTGCGACAGGCTTAACGTTGTGCAAGCTTAAGACAATTTATTTCAGCCTATGAACCTTGTGATACCCATTCTCTGCACAATGCAGAATAAACAAGTCATGTTTTATAACTCTTTCAAAATCAAATATATTCTTATGTAAAGTGATAGTGCTTGGCAATTTACAAAGTGTATTCTGAACTATCTATCTCATGGTTGTAATGAATTTGTTGTCATGTAAGATTTTGGGGTTTTTCTTTGTAAATGACAAGTTCAGTTCGATATTTTAGAAAATCTGTCTGCAATAACTAAATTACAAAAATTACATCTTCGAGAGAAATTTTGGTAAAGATTCTAATTTTCCAATCCAATGATAAGCTAGAGTTGTTTTGTGCATTAAATATGCATTAAATCCTGGTTGAAGATAACATCTATTGATGTAAAGACAGTTGACAAGAAATTGAAACCTTTTCGAAACAACCATTACAGGGAAAAATTTAAATCGATTATTAAAACTATAGAAATGCTTATAAACTGAGTTTTATTTTCTTCGTTTTATTTTTTGAAAATTGACCAATATCTTAAGTGACTTGGACGAATAAATTGCATTATGAATTTCATATTGCTTTATAATATCATCGCTTGATAAAGACGAAAGCATCATCGTTGAAACGTCGCAAGTTATTGTTATCCAGTTATACTAATTCGTGACAAATAACCATTCTGGACTATTTTAGGTTTTTAATTGATCTTCGTGAAACTTGAGTTTGGACTATTGCCGAAGCACGTTTGCTTTGGTGGCGTTGTTCTGGACTTGCAAGCTAATGTGGTTAATAAGACTACGTCAAGACGAGCTGGCAACCTGGAGTGACATTGGGGCATTTTGCCTTAAGTGCAACGCCCACGACCATTACTGTCTTGCGAAAATGACAAACGCCTAAAGGGTCTCCGATAGAAGAATAATTTCTGACATTTGATTGACACAAGCTCATCTCTTACTTCCGACATTTATAACGGATATTAAATCCCCATGAAGGCAGCTAGTTTGAAAATCGGGGTTAAAGATATAGTGATTAATTTGAAATACATTACGTGGAATTGGGAGATAAATATTTAATGTCTTACGTATATCAGGCGCCTATCTGACAGTTTACATTCATTTGTGCAAGCCCTTTACAATAGATTCTTATACATATTTCAGTGCATTGATTATAACCTTTGATTATTTTGATATATAATACATAACCTTTGATCAATTTAGTATATAATATATAACCTTTCATTATTTTAATATATAATATATAACATTTCATTATTTTAATATATAATATATAACATTTGATCATTTTAATATATAATATATAACCTTAGATGATATTCATATATAATATAAAACCTTTGATTTATAATATATCCATTCATTTAATTTAATTTTGATTTATAATATATAACCTTTGATTATTTCAATATACAATATCTAACCTTTGATTATTGTCATATATAATTTTGGTTATTTTAATATACAATTTTCAGAGATAATATATAACCATTTATTAATTCAATGAAGATATAACCTATGATTATGTCAATCAAAATATATTGATTCATTTTTCAAATTAATCATTGAATTGAAGTAGCTATTTGTTCTGTTTATCTTCCATTTTTGGTAGCCAGATTGTGAATTTGAGGTTCCCATTCATCTGTAAGAGATGCCCTGATTTTCAAAAAGCTGTTATAAATCTTGTGTTCCAGGAAAAAGGGATACAATGTTTTATATTAAATATGCTATAAAACGGCAGTTAAATTAATACCATATTTGATTTGTGATAACAAACAACGTTTGTCAGAACTCTTAAATTTGGTATTTTGAAACCGGAAGTATTTCTCAAAACAGGAAACCGATATAATAACAGGAAGTTGTTGAAGATACAAGCATGGATTAATATGATTGACACATTGTTGATGAACATTGCATCGCCCTTCTTTCTTATCGACCTCGCCTCTGTTATCTCTTGTTGCTTAGCGCCGTGACACTACTTTTTCCACGAACCGGTAATTAAGATATATTGCTTGGGAAAGACGCAAGATTTGTAATCAAAAGAAGCAGTAAAGTTGATTTCCTTTTCACTGGTGTTTTTATTCAACCAATCAATCAAGTGTGATTGAGAATAGCTTTATGCAAACTTTTATAACTTCTTTTTATTAGAAAGTATAGGAGGCCCTCAGTGTGTTTAATGTTAAATTAAAAATTGATTTCCATTACATTCTATTACCTGAATTTTAAACATATTTTTTTCGTATTGTTATGTTTAATATATTCTTCTAAACAATGTGTGGGGGTTTTATTAAAAAGAATTAACAATTTTACAAGGTTAACATTGTAGGTTTACTTAAGATCTTGTCTTGGTAAAATTTTTTGGCATTGAATTTTTCCGGATTATCCGTACCCATTTACAGCTGGGTAGACTGAAACAATGAGGAAAGGTCGCGTATTCAAGCATGGCAACGACATAGCCCGAATATTGGTATGGTGATACGTCTTATATACCTTGCTTTGTTATTTATTCCTCTTTTGAATAACACAACTGGATTTTCAAAGACTGGTGGCATCCGGAAGGATCTGAACTACCGCTGAATTCAGTTGATCTGAGTGCACCGACGACTCAGCTGCCACCAGTTGTCACTATTTGTTCATATTGAAATTTCTATCAAAAAAATTGATTTGATCATCTGATTAGAATGGTTGGCCAACCTTTTGATCATATTATTTGTAACCATACGAATCTTTTAGAGATTTTTTTTTAATTTTAACTCCGATTACCATATTGGATAGAGTAAGTGTAGTAGTATTATTCGAATAGTTCGATTTGGTACACTAAAATCCTTACAAAATCGTGACCAGAAATTTGCGTTTACAGATCGTGTTGAGAAGAATTCAGTCTATAATGATAGAACCGAAATAGATGTACGCAACCAAAGTCCAATAAAACCAGAAGGTAACAATCGGAAGTGAGAAATGTAATTAACTTTAGAATTGATACCGACTAGTCTATAAATAGAGTTCAATATCTAACCATATCATAATATAGCAGGAAGCCATCAAATGGCCATATGAAAATTGTAATGGCTGGACTTATCAGCAGCCATATTGATTTTTATGCCTTTGATCTTTAAGGTCTTCCGTTAACCATTCCAACGTGACGTGATCGTCTATATTTCCCCGGGGGACGAGAACACAATTTGATTACAGACTAGACAATCCTTTTCTTCTGGTTTTAAGATCCTATAAAAGCACCAAATCTAAACGAATAACCTTCAAAGAAAATGATGTTTTGATTCAATTATTTTTAGAAAGCAATTATCTGATGGAATAAAGAAGAGATTTAATGATATTTTGAAATTGATGCAATATCTTGATCGAATTTTAAACACATTTTAAAATTAAACGCTAGATATTGATATTAGCTGCGAAACAAATGTTTATTCAATAAGTATAGACAAATATAAGGAAATTATACAAGCGAATATAACAATATTAGGCAATTATCAGTAAATTTTGAGAAAATTTCAATATCAATGTAGTGAGTGAAGGGGATTCGTAACACACAATATATTATGTAGTCTATAGAATTGTATTGAAAAAAAAAAAATCAAAACTAACAGATTTATCCATTGGCGATCACAAGCGACTGCTTGGCTGCAGAGTCTTGAATTTGTAGTAACACATGCTTC